CCTTGCGACTCCTCCAGTAAGTCACCACCTGGACTCTTCTGGTTCTCGGAGCGTTCTCCTTCATCCTCCAAACCTCTGCTATTTCGTTCTGAGTTCTTTGACAGCATTTCCAAGATCTTCGATTGGGTCTCGACATTCTCTTTTCTCATCGCCTCTATAGCTTTCTGCTGTTCGTGAGCCTGGAGACGCATCGCCTCCATTGATATTCTCATTCCTGAAAGTTCTCTTTCTACAGTCTCAAGTCTAGAATCCATCATTGAATCACCAGTCTCCGACTCAGCTGATTCCGATATTGACCTTGTCTGTTTTTTCTTCTTAGGTGGCATCCACCGCCCAAGTATCCGGCAGGTCGGACCACTGTTGCAAACCACACAAACGCGAATACAAATATAGGGAACAGGAACAAAAAAAGGCTGTGAATATAGGGAGAATATTGTTTAAAATAAGTAACGGAAACGAACGGAATAAAATGCACTAGAAGAGCAAAATCTCCTAATACCCCAGAGCTAGGCTCCTAATAGAGCAATCGCTGCTCTATCCTGCAATAGCGAAAGAACAGAATCAACATAACATTCTACCCCTGTCTCATCGTGCCTAAATAATGGAATATTATTCTTTCTCCCTAACTAACTTTGCCAGCACAACATTTTATTTGTCATTTTCTGATTTCTTCTTTCTTCTCACATAGACAAGCCATTCTTTGGGCCGTGTAACTGCTTCTTGGACTAACATTTCCTCTGGCCCAACATTGCCTTTTGGGTCCCCATCAGCTTGCTTCCCTTTATTTTTCTTTTGACAATTTGTTTTTGCACCACTCTTTATAAGTACATATTTTTCTAAGATTTGCCTTTTCTTGATGAAGCCTTTTTAATGATAGAAAGGAAGTTGCAAATCGAGTGACCACATGCCTCACTAATTTCTTTTTGTTTGTAAAATTTCTCAACAAATTCAAGGTATTTGGATGACTATAGATAAAACCAACAAGAGATATTCCCTTTGGAATTGTCTTCTTTATTAAGGGAAGTTTACCAATATGTTCAAGCATAAGGTCTATATAATGAGCTACACAAAAAGTCCAATAAAGATGTGGTTTTTTTTCTTCCAACATCTTACAGGCCAAGACATGCTTCCATTATTTGTTATAATTTTCACAATTTTATTCTTTCCAATCTCCTTTACAAGAGCATTAAGCATTTCAAATAGCTTTTCACCAGTCTTTACAAAATTAGGTCCCCCAGTGAACATTAGTCCTAGCAGAGCTCACTAAGAAATTAATCAAACATTATTGCCTAGAAACGGTCTATGATGGAACAATCATGTTTGCTCCATTGCTCCTTGAAATCTTTCAAGTCAGAATCAATATATTCTAGCTTTTTCTTAAGAAGTGGAATTCTAATCTCATGATAACTCAAAACTAGCAAATTTGGACCTAAGGCATCGATAGCTACAACTATTTCCTGATATCTTTTTAATTTAATAAGGTTAAAGAAAAGGTTAGCTTGATACCAAAATCGAGATATGTATTTATAGACCCTTGCTTTGACTTCCTTGTCACATACTTTTCTTATATTTGCTTGCATTAATTTTAAATTCTTTCTTTTCTCAATGGCAGTTTCTAGCTTGCTACAAAATAAGTCTATTGACCCTTTCTTATCCTCCTTCTTATTCCCCATAGCAATACTATGTGTCTAACTATTTTCCTCATCCTTGCTTTCATCATAGCTTATACTTTCAAAGCCTCTCACATTTGGAATTTTGAAGTTATCTTGACTCTCTTTCTCCTTTTGATATGTGTCAAACTCCTTTTTAACTTCTTTTAGACACTTCGGGCAAGATCTCACATTACCCTTCTTTCCAATTAGATGATGTTTCATTCTAGTGATCCCTGCACTCATATCTTTTCCAGAATAATAGCATACGGTGTTATTTGTACTGCCATTTGTCAATGAATTGGCATATTTCCATTTTGGATTAGAATAATTAGAAACTCCTGAAAAATTTGATGAAGACTCTTGTTCAGCCATGTTAAGGAAAGCTCAAATAAAGAGAAAAACGATTTAAGGAAAAAAAAGAGAAATAGAGCTGTGGGAGAGGGAAAAACTGAAGTAAAGGATTTCAAACAGAGAACAAAGAAAGATGGAGGGGGAAAAACTGAAATCAAGAATTAAAACAAAGAAAAAAGAAATAGGGGAGGGAAAAACGGAAAAAAAAAAGGTACTGATTAATTGCCGGAACTACAGCAACAATAGTAACTAGAGACTGGCCGATGTTGAGGAAGAACAGGGGTTGAGTGAGAGTGAGGACGAAGAACTTAGATGAAGCAGAGAGACAAAGATGTGAGATGAAGAAGAGAGGAAGAAGAGATGCGATTCGTGTGATTTAGGGTTTCTGCCATTGTTGTGGCAGTTTGGTCAGAAACCACTGCCGTTAACTGCCATGGTGGTGCCACAATAACTGTTTTTTGACAACATTGATAAGCACTTAATTAACCTGTGTCCAAATCCACCCTTCTTGAAATATTTGGGAAGGAGCAAATTGTTCTGTGAAAGTACCTGTTGTTTGGTCCTCAAATAATGTATTGTGGCTAAAATGTGATTTCCTTGATGTCCTAACTAACACTATCATAAGTATCAATTTGAAGTCACTCAAACTATATTGAGGGACCACGTTAGTTTCTTGGAGTGACTAATTTGTTCTTGCAAACTTTTTTAAGGAAATATTTGGTTTTTTTCATTTAGAAATTTGTCTTATCTGAATATGAAATTAAGTTGCATCGTGTATGTGTAATATTTGATATCTGTATGTTATACATGTTTATTTTTTCTCTATCTGAATTTTCCATGGAAGCTAATTGTAAAATTTGTATCTTCATAAACACTCATACCTGAAAATTAGACAGAGATACATTCTAAGTGAAGAAAAATGATTCTGAGCAAAATGAAAAAGATATGAATATTTTTGCTCATAAGAAATATGAATGAATTGAAGAATATACACTCTAACTAAGGTGCAGATTTTCAAAACCTTTGCTTTCATAGTTTATTATTAGCCAAAGTTTGAAGAAACATTCCAATTCTAATGTGCACTAAATGTGTGCACCTGAATTGTGCCTCTTTGCTTTTTTGCAGTAGTGCAATTTTCTTTTCAATAGTAAAAAGTTTTGTAGCATTATTGCTATTACCTACTACCTGTTTTTAACATATTGAAAAACGTTTCAACAGGGATATTTGAACATTTTCCTGTAAAAAAATTACCTTTTAGTTGGGGTTTTTTGGCTGGACAATGAGCTGATGTAGGTTCAATCTGGCATAACTGGTGGAAAACCAAGACAAACACAAATGCCCTCCTACTTATGTCTCCTCCTTTACATCGGTATTTATTATTAACAACTAATAAAACAGATTGCTTTACATTGGTTATTTCTGTCAAATGCGAACTATATATTTGTTGGGTTGGGGTAATTTCAAATCTTTGATTAGTTTCTTTCGGAACATTATAGATTTTACGTGTTTGATTAGTAGAATGATATTTTATTGAATGTGATTCTAGGACATCGCGTGGTTAGACCAAAAAACAATTTTTGGGAATAATTTGTGTGCTTGGGTAACTTGTAAAGAGTTTCCTATTCTGGGATATGAAATTGATGATGAACAAATTTGCATAGCCTTGGGAGTATGAAGGCCTATCTGTTCTGAATGCCAAAAGGATGAGGTTGAAGGACAGAGAAAAAGGGTTGACTGTGAATGGATTTTTGTTGGTTTTCACTTTTCACCTAGAGATGTGAACAGCATGGAAGCTGGTTCAATTTACACGGTGGGAATGTATGTGATTATCTGTTTTCCATCTACAAAGTTTCTGCCTTCTATCTTGTAGTGCTATAATCAATGTTTTTAAGATTGTGACATTGCATTGACTTGTCATCATTTTGATTTGGTGAAATTGCAACAAGATCCACAAAATACAAAAACTCCTACCTTTTCATCCAAATTTTTACCTCATTCTTGTGCTTTCAAGCTCAGTCTTGTTGCATAATTGTGCCGTAGTTCCCTTGTGTGGTTGGGCCATCCTCTCAATTCTTTTGACTCAAAAGCCAAAATGCTCTCTCATCGTATGTTTGAACCCTTGTACTCTGACTGGGTCTGCCTTTGGCTCTCTTTGGTTTCTGGCGTTGGGTTTGTAGTTGCACTTGGCAGCAAGCCAGCAACTACTTTGGAGTTATGCTCTTTGGTGTTGGGTTTGCTTTGTAGTTTCACTTCTTTGGTGCTTTGTCTTTGCTATGCTCTGTTCTGTCTTTGTGCATGTCTCTGTCTTTTAACAATTCATCTAATATGTGTAAATGTATGTCTGTCTTTGACAATTAGAGGGGAGAAGTAGTTGGTTGGAACCTATGTTGCATGAATATGTGTATGGTATTTGTACCCAGTATGAATATGGATACAGAATATGGTAAATTTAAAAATTAAAGGAACGTGTAGTCATATACAGTAATATAAAATTTAAATAAAATGACTGAAAAATGAATAATATTTGTAGATTGTTACGAAAATATTTTGTAAATTGTTATGCTAAGTCTTATAATAAAAAGAAATTAACAAACTTGTATCTCGCATCTCACAACTAAGGATGAATGAGTTTGATTAAACAGCGAAAACACACACGGAAACGAGAGAGAGCAAAAAATTCTAGATTTACCCTAAAAACGATAAATTTTTTCAAGGGAAAATGATCCAACTAGTACTTTAGGCATGTCTAGCCATGCTACACAGTTTCGTTAGAGTCATACTCAAGTTGCATATAAATTTTTTAAAATAATTAATTTTAGTCAGTAACCAGGTGTATCTGTACCTAATACGCACCAAGTGTGGGTATATTTGACAAAATGAAGTACCCATGTTGCAGAGGTTGGCACAAAAGTTTAGTTGGATATGTAATGTGATCTTATCTTCAAAGAGAACCTAGATTTTCTGACCTTTCGCTTGTCTTGTGGCTACTTGTATTAGGGAAATGGAAGGGCATTTTGCGCAGGTGGTGATGTTGCAACTGTTGTTCGTGATGCAAGAGGAGGTATGTGTTATTTTATTTGGCCTTTTATTGCATAATTGATCACTTAACCGTAATATACTGTGTGATGCACAGGGAGTAATCATTAAAAAAGTGATAAAATATCTGGACTGGAAAGCAAACATAATATGATTAGGTCACTAGACATCAGAATGGACTAAAGCAACGAGATAGATCTCAATGGCTGATAGGGTTTGGAAACAAACAAGAAGTATGTTTCCCTTACACAACTCACTAGTTAATTAAGTAATTTGAATAGCTTGGACTATGGCATTAATGTTTGGAGCTTGGCAAGATTGGGATGACCTAATTAAGCATGAAGATGGAATCACCATAGAGCACACAATGGAAGAGTAAAAAAATCTACTAGAGGGCACGGGACTCACATTTGCCACCAATCTTATTCCTTGAACTTTGGTCTCGCAAGATGGCATAACCTTGGGTGAAAATTTAACAATCAAGAAAATGAGATACTTGGCTCTTAGAAAGAAAACTTAAAGAAGAGTTAGGGACATACAAAACATTATCAGTTGCGAGTAAGGAAGGGATGGATTATACAATCCCCTTGGGACTATATCTTAGAACAATGAGCCTAGGTGACAGTTGGCAAATATCTAGAGGTAGAGAGGGAGGAGAAAAGGGACTTTGTTACTAGAGATATTATTAGTGGCACAAGAACCAATAATTGAAGATGAGCACTTCCCAAACAAACTATGAGAGTACTTATTTTACTGAGCACATAAATTATTTTCCAATTTTTTTCATAATGTAAAATTTAGTGATGGTGATTCTGTATTTTTTTTTTTTTAATAAATTTAGTTTCTCTACTTGCTTCACCACCCTTGAGGAACATTGTGAATTTGATAGAGGCTGTTTTGATCTGAAATATTGTACTACTATGAAATTCCTTATATGAACTTGTGGCATATTTCAAACAACTATTATTCAACAAAGGATTTTGATAAATTTGTGTGCATGAGCTCTTGAATGTAGTTTTTAGTTTAAATGCAAAATTAATTTTTATTTTCTTTGGAAACAGGTGATTGGAAGTCTGGTGCAAAATATTTTAACATAGAATTTAAATTGAATTACATGATGGCAACATATAGCAAGCCCCAGGTTTTCCTTATCTACAAATGCTTCATTTTGTTTTTGCATTCGTATATGTGCCTTTTACTTACTCTTTTTTTGCAAACATTTGAAGATTTCAATTCTTAATGGAATTGTCATGGGAGGTGGTGCTGGTGCTTCTATACATGGAAGATTTCGTGTTGTTACGGAGAATACGGTATATGGTTTTGAGTGCATTATTGTAGAAGTAGTGTTTAGATTCATTGTATAATTTAATCAGATTAGAGAACTATATCATTGTATTAAGTGCATTAATTTTATAGCTATATAGTCCCATAGCCGGTCCTAAGCTCGAGCAAAGGAGAAAGGTTGTGTTAAGCATTTGGCAGTCAACGTAAAACTAGTCAAAACCTTTTACATCGATTGCTTATGACAATATTGTGCTAGGGCTAGGTCGTTATGTGGAAGTAATGCCTTGTATGGCTCGAGTATGATGTTAGATGAGCTAGAGTTGCTTCATTGGTGCTCAAATGTAGTGTTAAAGCAGTAAAAGGGTCCTCACATTTGATTGGACAAATGTAAGTAAAAAAGTTAGTTTAAGAACGTGTGTGTTTGTTTGGTTCATAGAATATCATTACTTTGACAAGAAAGTCATTAGAAGTGGTGAACATTGATTTGTAGAAAGATTAACATCATGTGCCTTCAAGAAACAAAATGGGTTGAAGATAAGTTTAAAAAGTCGATACTACATATTTCAAACTTTGATACATAGAAAAAGTTAAAGGAACAAAATAGGCATAATTATGGATAATACTTGAAAGAAGAATGTGGTAAAGATTAAGAGGATTGTAGACAAGATCATATCCTCGAAGTTATTGGTTGCAGAAGCCACTATTAATATTATCAGTAGTTATACTTCATAAGTTGACTTAGAAGCTCTTTTGAAAGAAGTATTTTTGAAGAATTTAAAGGAGTTGATCTAAGATAATTCACAAACCAAAAAGATTTTCATAGGTGAAGACTTAAATGACCATGTTAGTTGTGAGACGAGACAATTTGTAAGGGTTCTTAGTGGTTTTGGTCTTATAGAGTTAAATGAAGAAGGATAATTTATTCTTGATTTTTCAATGACCTGTGACTTTAAAATTATGAACATTTGTTTTAAAAAGAAAGAGTATCTAATAACTTTTAAAAGTGGGTTTTAAGTTTGTCAATTGATTTTTTATTAGTAAGGAATCTGTGCAAAAGAATTTGCAAGGATTGTAAATTGATTTCAGGAGAGAACGTTAATACACAACACGAGATTTTGATCGTTGATTTTGTTTGAAGACTCGTAAACAAAGAATTCAACAAGTTTTTGTTACAAAAATTAAGTGGTGACTTCTTAAAGGTGAAAAATTATTGGAATTTCAGAGATAGTTAGTAGAAGAAGGTAGTTGGGTTGCACAAGGTAGTGCTATAATCATTTGGGACAAAATGGCTATGACGGTCACGAAAGTTGACTAGAAAATTTTACGTGAATCTAGAAGTTTTGGACTAAGAGACAAGGAATCATGGTGGTGGAATGAAAGTATGTAAAAGAAAATTAGAATATGCTGTGTTTCAAAACTTTGCATACATGTAACAATGCTGAAAATTAGGCAAAGTATTGAAATGCAAGAAATGAGACAAGGAAAAAGTGAGTGAAACACGTTCTAAAGCTTTTGAAGGGTTTCTATCAAGCTCTAAGGACAAAGTGTGGTGAAAGAAATATTGGAAACTTGCCAAAAGTAGAGAAAGAAAATCTAAAGAATTGAATCAAGATAGATATATTAAGGGTGAACAAGAAAAAAAATTAGTTTTAGGTCCATTGGGAGAAATATTTGTATGAACTTTTTATCGATAGACAAGAAGCAAATAGAAATATAGAAAGATTAGAAGTGCAAACGAATGGTCTAAATTTGACATACTACCATAGGATTTGATTAGAGAAGTCTAGGAAGTTCTTAAGAGAATAGACAATAATAAAGTTAGTTGTTACGATAATATTCTTATTGAAGTTTGGAAAAGTTTGAGAAAACAAAGACTTAATTGACTTACTAAGCTTGTTAATGAGATTTTGAGATTTAAGAATATGTCAAATAAATGGAAGAATATTTTGGCCCTCATATTCAAGAACAAAAGTGTTATTCAAAATTGTGTAAACTATAGAAGCATTAAGCTTATGAGTCACACTATGAAGTTGTGGAAAAATATAATTGAACATAAACTACAAACTCAAACTAGGATTGCAGAAAATCAATTTGATTTTGTGCCAAGAATGTCTAAAACAGAAGCTATTTATCTTTTACGAAAGATGATGGCAATGTATTGCTACAAAGGAAATGACTTGCATATGATTTTAATTGACTTGGAAAAAGCAGATGACTGTGTATCAAAAGAATTATTATGGAAGACTTTAGAGAAGAAAAGATTTCGTATAGTATATATTTGGGTTATACAAGATATATATGAAAGGGTAACTACGTGTATAAGAACTTTTGGAGATACATGTAAGGACTTCTCAATAGGTATAGGTTTACATCAAAACTTCGCTTTGAGTGCTTACTTGTTTAAACTAGTCTTAAATGTATTTACTAGTGACATACAAAAAAATATATAAGTGCATGTTTTTTGCAGATGACAGAGTATTGGTTGAGGATTCAAAAGAAGAAGAAAATGCTAAACTTGAGTTATGGAGGGAAACTTTAGAATTTAATAGTTTTTTCCTAAATAAAAGTAAAATAGAGTATATGCATCATAAGTTTAGCAAAAAGAAAAAAAATAAATAAATGAAGACCGTGCATTGGAAGTTAAAAATGGATATAATATAATTAGATTTAATTATGTTTTTGGTCTTTATAAATATTGGGCATTTTGTGATAAATCCTTCTAAATTTTTTTGTTAAAACTTAGTCCTTGAAAAATTAAGAAGTTAGGATTTAGTCTTAGTCATTAGCTCTCTTCTGTTAAGCGCTGAGTTGGTTGACGTAAAGCCAATTCAACACTCCTATGTGGCAACCATGTCATTTATTTTAATAATATTTTATTATTTAAAATTAATGTGTAAATAAGTCCTTGGTTATATTTTTTATATTTGCAAAAGTCCCCTTCTCTTTTCTCTATTTTGCTCTCCACCCCTCTTCCCCCCTCCTCCTTCCCATAACCACCCAACCCAACTCCTTCCCTTCCTCCTCCCTGCACCCTCATGAATCGTAAGATCTGTTTTTAGAATCATGAATCAAATCATGACATTCAAGATCAATAATTTAAAACATAAATATTAGAGCATTGCAAAATAAAGAAACATGAAAACATCTAATATATTAATATTTTGAAGTCAAATATTATATAACTAACAATGTGACATGCACTTGTTAGCAAGCAAAGATTCAAATCATAACAGTCAGTCACATTAACAAAAAAAACTGAATGCTCGAATTCAATATATAGCCTTTTAAAAAGATAAACTGAAAAATAACAAGAAGTCACTATAGCAAAAGTTCAAATGGAGAAAGACATCAAGAGTTATTTATCGGTAAAGTACTTATCAACCTGAAAAGGAAATTTTATCATATTGCAAAACAACTAACTATCCTATATGGTAGCGAATGTTGGACCAAAAAGGAACAATACGAAAAAAAAGTGAGTGACAAAAATGAGAATGTTAAGGTGGATAAGTGGTCGCATGAGAAAAGTCAGAATAAGAAATGATAGTATATGTGAGAATATTGGAGTTGCACTTATAGTGAAAAAGATAACTAAAAACTGTGTTAAGGTAGTTTAGTCATATGCAGAGAAGACCTTTACTTAATACTAGATTCCTAAACCTAAATAAATAAGGGAATTAGTCATTAAGTATAATGAAATATGAAACCACTCCTAAGAGATAATCCAAGATACCCGTGGTATATTGATAATCAAATACTGATTTTTATTTTTCATATATTGTTGTAAGTTGTAACACTTATTAAACATACGATTCATCACATGTCTCGCTTTTCTTTGTTAATTCAACACAGTTGAAATGAACTATGAAATAATGAAATTCTTATTGATAGGTAACTCCCATAGTTAGTTAGTAGAATAATTAGTTAGTTAGTTTGGGGCTGGGATAATCAGAGAAATATGCATGTTGCCTATGAATAATAAATGGGGCTGAGAGGGAGATTTTATCTTGTGATTTGAGAGGAAAATTCATATTGTTTGGGAGAGTCCAGGCCTCTCGAAAGTCCTGGTAATCATTTGTACTCTTTTCTTTTAATAGAAACTTTTCTTTCTACAATTCTGATCTAGGTTCGATCTACTTGTATTAGAGCTGTGGGTGGTGCATAATGGTGAGTTCAGGAGTTCTTCAGATTTCAACAAGAATGAACAATGGCTTTCTTGACATTCTTGGAGAAATCAAGAAAGAAATTGCAAATTGGAGAAGGGAGATTAGGGAGGGTAACCTTATTAGGGAAATAAGGAAAGGGCTTACTTGTATAAGAAGAGAGCTGAGTGAAGAACAAAAATCATGGGAGAGAAGAAACAGATGCAAGAATGTAGATACAGGGGTGGAAACCAAGAATCAGAAACAAATCTAGAGATCAAGAACCAGAATCAATATGGTGAACAAGGAACTGTCAGAAAGTGAAGGACCATGATGGTCATCATCAGCTACCACTTGGCTTATTATAGTCCTTAAGGGATCCATGGGATCACAGCCCAGTAGCAGAGGCTTTGATACTCTGTTTCACAGCCAATGATATTACTGAAAAATAGAGCACTAGAGGAGCCCTTGTTTATTTTGACCTAGGAGGAAGAGGAAGTGGTAGTTATTTTGGGCTATAATGGTTTAGGAGAGTTTATGAGAGATAGATCTTGTCATTTTGCAAGAGGAACTTAGAGCCTTTTGGCATTGGTAGGTACAGATTCTAAAGTTCTGTGAGTCTGTAGCTATATTTGAGGAAATTCTTCCCAATTCCTTATAATAAATTATCAGTTTCTATCACTTACTTGGTTTTAACTTTTTAGTGGCACTGTTAGGTTTGATTAGTGTACTGAATTCTTTCTTTCCAAGATATCTCAGATGAGCAAAGTATGTTATGATAACTTGAGTTAATGGGACTATTTTGCATATAAAAGAAATGCAAGAATGGTATTAATTCTGAATATGTGTCTTAAAGTCTGCAATTGACTATATGATTTCTTTGTTAGCTTTTCTTCTTTTAATCTTTTTATTCTTGTGAAACTTCTATCAATTTGTTTCATGTGTCTTTTTTACAATTGAAATTGAGATTTTCTAGTTAGTTGTGTACAGTTGTCAGGAAGAAGTCACCAATTTACTAAGCCTGGCCTTCTAAATTTTCTTTATTGCTATATTAGAAATTTATTTCATAACATGACCTATTTTCATAAGTTTCAAAATATATGGCATTTCTCTATAACCATAAGCATCAGATATTTGCATAATTGATTGCATAATACCATTAGGTGCTTTTGTATATACATTATTCTTCGTATTTGGTTAAACTTTTCTTATCCTAATAATTTTCTTTCTATCCATAAATTGGAATATAGTGATAGTAACAGAAGGTTGGCTTGAAAGGGCCTTTACATGTATACCTTTCCATTTACGTCTATCTCCCATCAAAATCTTTGTTGACTTCAAATTTTCTGTCTGTAATTCATGACCTACTTGTTCTAGCATTTGCATTGCAGGTCTTTGCAATGCCAGAAACAGCTTTGGGTTTATTTCCTGATGTAGGTTCCTCATATTTCTTGTCTAGACTCGCTGGATTTTTCGGTATGCATGTTATATCTTACATCTCTGTCAATGTAATTGGTTTCCTTCATATTAATCTTAATTTTTCAATCTTTTGATTGTTCTTGTCATTGATGATCTCTCCTGCAAACTGTTGGTGCATTACTGTTTCTTCCAGTCAATTAAAATCTTTCAATGCTGCATGCCCACACACACACATACAGAGAAGAGAGTACTGGGGATGGGAGAGGCTAAGATTCTTGATACTGTTTCATTTGAACACTTCCAGTTTTAAATCTAAAAGCTTTTAAGCATTCTCAAACAGCTACTTGGAAAAAGTATAATAACATTTCCTTTTTCCCTTTTCTCCTTTCTAATGGAAAACAAATTGCAGGAGAATACGTTGGTCTTACAGGTGCTAGATTGGATGGTGCGGAAATGCTTGCTTGTGGTCTTGCAACACATTTTGTCCCAACTTCGGTATGCTACCTACTTCTATATTTGTTGGCTCTTTCAGATGATTAGTGTCTTTGGTAACTAGATACCAGAACTTCAGACGTAGAAATGTGTATTATAAAAATCATTGAAAATTTAGTGCAATTTTGAAGTATTTTTTAACCTAATTTCTTCAGGTCTGGATTGAATGTTTATGATGAAATATCCATTGATAAATTCAGAAAGTTAGAGACGCTTTTCATATGCATCTCTAACTTGGCATCACACTTTATTACCCTAGGATTCAAGCAAATGATAGGTGTGCACCTTCTGAGTAAGGTGAAAGTTTAGTGACTGGCTGAGGTGTTAACCTTATTTTTATATAGAGGATGACGTGTTGTTTTTAATTAGTTTCTAATGCTATGCAAGAAACAAGAGAGAGTGGTTGAGAATCTTGTTTCTTTCAATTTGGGCAGTTTTGAATATTTTTGAGTCGTAGCTGTCTGCTTTTTAAAGCCATTGCCTTATTTCAAAATATTAGAAACTTTATGGTAGTCTTAAACTTTATGGACAGTTAGCTTGAAGATTTATATTAAACTAAGATGACACAAACCTGATCCTAATTTAACATCAATTTCCATAAGTTATGGTGTGTCTTCCATTGGAACATTATTATGATTTTTAGTTCATAATATTTTCTATCTAATGTATCATGTGATGTTTATTCGCTCAGGTTTCTGATTTGTATCCCTGATTTGTTTTCTTTTGTAATCATTCAATGCACAGAAATTGTCTTTGTTGGAAGAATCATTATGCAAGGTGGAAACCAGTGATTCATCTGCAATATCTGCAGTTATTGATAAGTACACCGAACAACCTTCCCTAAAAGAGGATAGCGTTTATCACAGGTTGGTATGTAATATAAATAAATAAAACATGATATATATACTGTCAAAGGTGGAACTCACACCTCCAACACACTCACTCTCAACCTCACAAGAGAATTGTAGAGGAAACACAATAATCTGATTGTATTACTGATGATCCCCTTTGATTACACTAGGGTGTTATTTATAATCCTTATTCCTTAACAACCAAGTCTATCTTTATCTTCTAATCAGATAAAACAAGATAACTGATATTAACAGAAAATTGATTATAGCTAATAGTCTTATCTATAAAATAATCCATATCTAAAAGACATATAACATATACACATACAACGACAATTGATAGTTTAGCTATATACACAACCGCTGCTGTAGCAACAACCAAAGCAATTTCCTACTAGGTTGGGATGGCCACAAAAATCATTTGTTGTCATTTTTTTCTGTCTAAAACCAAATTTTGGGATAGGAAAAGATAGTGAGGAAATAGGGAAACTAATCCTAAAGGAAAATCTAAGATATGACAACATAGGATAAGATATTTTATTATGTTCTTACACATACACATGTATGTGTGTATGTTAACTGTCCTACTTTTTATACATTTTTATTAGACATACCATATTCTATCCTGATCTCTGTGAAAACAGATTGGACAGCAAGATATATTTTTGCATCTTCCTGGACTACCATTTTCTTTTTGATTTACTGTTTCAGATGATGTCTTATCCTTCTCAAATCTCATGGTTGTACCTGTTTTTTTATCTTTCTACTATGATTCAATTATAAACTTTTTCAACTAGGGATACATCTCTGATTCCATGTATGGAAGATATTTACATAATGGAATGTGATTTGTTCATGATCGATAACACTTGAATGAAGTGATCATTTTAATTGAATTTCTTATCATTCATTTTTCTTTTGGTTACCATGATCCGTAGGGTTTTGAACTTTGAACATGTGACCTAGTAAAACCCTCACTGCTAATTCTATGATAATTAATTCTGCTGACATACCAAATATCCTAAATGTCTGGAATTATATTTCTAGTGATCTCATTGAAATATGTTCTTGTTGGTTAAAGATCAATGGTTGGGACACCTCCCCCACTCCCAAGCCCCCATAGATCACTTTTTTGGATGACAAGAAGTTTAGAGATGGCAAGACTATTTTGTTAGTGTGTATCGTTTTCTGTTTGGCTTTATTGATTCTCATGGTAGGATGATAATGCTAGAATTTTAAAGGATAGATATTGTTTATCTCTTTTATGAAATTAAGTGCTACTTTTGGCTTCTTTCTCCAGCATACTTAATGGCTACTTTAGAAGGTTTCTCTTTGTTCAAAATGCATAAGAATTGGAGAGCTTTGCTTACTTGATCTTTGTCCTGGCTTTTGTGGTGGGATATCTTATCCATAGCTCTTGTTTGTTTCTCTTCAGTAATAAAATCTATTTTATCTTAAAAGGCATCAAAATAAACAATTTTGGGCTTGAGCTCTGTAAATATACATTTTTCTAAAAAGTTGAGCTTGTGTTGGTTTTGTTTATTTTCTTTATTTTTCTAAAATAATTGAAAACTGGCATTGTCTCGTATGTCTCAGTTATCTCTGCTTGTTATGCTGGCTCATTGCAGGATGCATATGATCAATAAGTGTTTCTCTAGAAGAACAGTTGAGGAAATATTATCTTCTCTTGTAAGTTTTGGAGTTACGTTATTAAACATATCTGATTGATTAATATTCTTCAAGCTGCATCAAGGATCTAATTTTGCCAATTTTGTAATCTTAATTTTATACTGTTTAGGAGGAGATGGAAGCTATGAGTAAGGCTGATAATTGGATTTTGGCAACTATTCAAACCTTAAAGAAAGCATCTCCAACAAGCCTTAAAATCTTTCTTAGATTGGTATGTGTCCAGAAAGTATTGAAAGTGTTTTTTCTACTTTCTAAAGCTCACTTCTCTTATATGTTCTAGTATGTTGTTGTGTGGGTAAGAATACCTTAAAAATAAGAATTTTACAGGTATGATAGGGCATATGATCTGCAGCATTTCATTGCCTCATTGGTATTAGTTTTATTAAGCACGCTGTCCTATTAGGATCCAATTGCAAGGTATGGGACTTGAGTCCCACACTGGAAGTATGAGATTCTAATGCCCATTTTATATGGCCTTGGACTTTCCAACTACAATAGCTAACTTTTGTAGTGTGGTTCTCCCAAGCTTCTTATCAATTGGTATCAGAGCCTTCCATCATGTCTCCTAACTAGTGTCACAATGTGGTGACGCCTGCATTGCAATGTTTGCCTAAGACTAGTCAAAGGGGCTAGGGATTTATAAGGCCTTGGGCTCTCCAACTACAATGGATAGCTTTTCTAGTGTGGTTCTCCCAAGGTTCTTATCATCTCCAAATAAAGGACTTAGCCTTCGAGGGAGCCCTAAAATTCAAAATATTCACATGAGAAAACACCAGAGGGATCAAGAAACTAGATCCTTTCTTCTGGATTAGAAGAAAGAGAACATGGTGAAGGAGACTCAATAGAATCTCTAATTCAGAGAAATACCTATCATATTTAGGTTACAAAAGAAGTAGAAATCCCATGAAAATGTGGACTCTTGAATTCTATTAAAGTTGAACAGGGGATCTCATACCCCATGGTCCTCCCAAAAGTTGAATGAGAACCATTGTCTTGTCTACCTATGAGGAAAGCAAATACTTACAAAGATAGTATTACCATTTGAGATACATATCCGTAGACTGAAATGGGAAGCTTGGTTTCCTATATAGTATCTCACCCATTTTGGTCTAAGCCATACTTACTTGAGTAACCTTGTGTCCAAGGGAAAGAGATTGCAACAGAAAATGACATAAACAGCCAAATTACCCAAAACTGAATCCCCTCCTTTCTCCTTAGGATGACAACATACTTCCCAGCTCAGCAAGTGATCACATTTCATACCCATAGGACTTAATGATAGAAATTTTGATGGGAAACGATAATTACTATTAGGAATTAATAATTCTATTATAAGTTATTTTATGTATGGTGTGATGATAGATCGTTATTAGGTTCAGTTATGTTATGTTAGGAGCAATTGTTTTATGTATGCTCTGATTGTAGACAGTTAATAGGTTTTGTATGAGCAGTTATGTAATTTTCATTTATGATATGCTCTAGCTTGAGGAGGAGTGTTGAGAATTATATAAATAAATTGGGTAATGTTATAAATAGGTTACTTTTTAATTGGTGTGATTCTAAATAACTGTGAATCATGTATTTATTATGACTTATAATTATAAATAGATAGCTCTGCTGTGTACTCAAACCACACAGATTCATCCTATTCTTGTTTTTCTCTCTCAACACTGTATGAAGTGAAGAGTTATTAAAGTTATTAAATTACATTCATGTATAAGATAAGAGTTGTTAAAAGGAAAGCTAGATTCGACTTAGGAAGAAGAATGTGTAAAATTTGCTTATATGGTAAATGATAGAAGTTTAAGCTAGATGTCATCTCAAAATCTTGCATCTCATTTTTTATCTAGGCTTAATTATGTTTTTTATCCTGGTTTTGTGATAAGTCCTTATGAAATTTTTTGTTAGGATTCAGTTCTTAGAAAGTTAAGAAGTGAAAATTTAGTCCTTGTCGTCAACTTTATCTATTAAGTGATGAGCTATTAGACAAAAAGTTAGCTCAAGACTGTGTACATGGCATGTTACATCATTTTTTTATAAAATTTTATGATTTAAAATAAATATTTGCAAAAAAGTCTTTGAACATATTTTACATATTTTTAAAAAAAAAATCTTTGCAAATATTAAAAATATGTTCAGCATTTAATAGAAGAGAGTTGACATTAAGGATTAAATCTTAACTTGCTAGGAACTAAATCCTAACAAAATTTTATAAGGACTTATCATAAAATGACCAATATTTATTGGGACAAAAATCATAATTAAGCCTTTTATTTTTATCTATTATAAATTATAATAGATGGATATGACTTATCAAAGAGTATTTCTTTTTTTTTTTAATCACACAACTGTTTTTAGTAATCAGTTTTAATTGAGATATGCGTTACAGAAAAAATAAAAACTAAGAGAGAGAGGTATTGTATACAATAGCAAACACAGCGTCCATTATTTGATATTCAAATGATGGAACTATATATTTATATGGTACCGGACTTGCCGATCTCTCCTTGTTCAAAATAGAAAAAGTTGTCTGCTGGTATAAAAGCGACGAAAGCTTGAAATGGCTTTTGTTGATTTTTATTTTTTATTGTTATTCACTGTTTATTTTTTCTCATTGCACGAATGGATTGGTTCTTGGAGACAATATTTTATTATGGACACGTACGAAAATGCATGGATCACGACAATAGTCCAACTATGACCACAGTTTAAGGGTGTGTCATACAGACAAGCTCATTGATTTTTCCCTCTTGTAGCAAATACACCAGTCTTTGAACTCACTTATCATTGTCATCATCATCATGATTATACTATCATCCTCATTATGAACATTTATTAATTTCTATTGCCTTTTACAGATTAGACAAGCCAGGCTCCTAGGTATTGGTCAATGCCTTGTTTGTGACTATAGAATTGTCTGTCATATTCTAAAAGGACACTACAGCAAGGATTTCTTTGAGGTTCTCTGATAAATCCTACTCATGGTTACGCATTTAAATTGTTTCTTTCTTGCCTTTACTCAATGGTTATTCATTACTGCAGGGTTGTAGGGCTATACTGTTAGACAAAGACAGGAACCCAAAGGTAGGTAGCCACTTCGATTGTGTATAATCGTTTGCACATTTACTCATGAACATTCCTAGATGCAAATTAATATTATTGAAATTGTATTTCTTTGGTTCTCATGTTGATAATGTCTTTTTCAGTGGGAACCTTCCAAATTGGAGTTTGTTAGTGATAGTGACGTTGATCGTTACTTCTCCAAGCTTGACGATGAAGGATGGGAGGATTTGGATCTTCCTAAAAGGTTCAACAATCTGCCTGCATATGCTATTTCAAAGCTGTAAGGCATCAACAATCTAAATCGTATCAACTTAAAATAAAAATATAGAAGACAAGTGTCACCCCGTTCAATGGATTCCCGAATGCTTCAATATGGCACTTTAAAATTAGGAAGAATAAGAGATGGACAAAATTTCTTTCAGTTCTGTCTCTACACCCAACCTTCTACACGCAAAAATGATAGCTTCTAACAAATCAAGCAAGAATTAGAGGAAAGATTAAAACCTTTATGAATATAGAACAACAGTACGAAACGATTAAGGGTTGAAGCTTTAACATCGTGAAATTGGTTGACCAAACAGAAAATCCATTAAATTTTATCTTCAACTTTAAGCACTGTTGCACGCATCCCCGAACCCAAAGACGAAAGTTTTGATGGTCTCAAAGATTCTACTTTTAGTTTCTATATCCTCTGTTGCTTTTGTTCAACAACAAAATATTGAACAAAGCTAACGACTTTTAGGAAGGGAATATGAAGACGAACTATCCAAAAGATGAAGAAAGAGTAGTATTGGAAATGGCAAATATGAGAATAAATTGTGACAATAATATAAATATAGCATTTGCATTATCTTCATTTTAATTAGTAACGGGAATGGTCTCATTTTACTGAAACATCCATTATATAAATTATTTCACATCATCTTTTAACTAAAACTCACTATTTTCCACAATCTCCTTTTCTTTTCATGCGGACAAATCTAATGCTTCACTCTTTCTGATCAACCGAATGTACCAAACCACAATATCTCTTAATTCATTTGCTAGGCGCTCCTCTTCGTTCCAAATGAAAAAGCAGAAAAGAAAAGAAAAGAAAAGAAAAAGAGCACAAGTAGTGTGTGGCTTGCTGCAGATCCATTATTTTGGATCACCGTTGGCACAAGAGTCCTACTTTAGGATTCATTGTAAAGAAAAGAAAAAGTAAAAGTAATATAATTTATAGAGAAATTTTTTTAGACCATCTAATGAAACACCCAAATAATGATTTTGCTTTGATAATCAGCTCCTATATTTTCTCTCATTCTTTATGCCCTTTTTCCTTTTATCTTTCTCTTTATTTTCTATCATATTTGCTTACTTTCTCTTTTTTTTTTTTTTTCAAATCTTTGTTGCTTCAACCTATTTCATATCCCAAAAATGAAGTATAAAAATTTATTTTCTTTAAGCAATCAGCGGATAACGATTTGACAGTTGCTGGATTTTCTCCACTGAAATGAAGGGATCGTGTGGTGTTGTAGTTTGCCCCAAAATTTATTTTCTATTTTGTTATTCATATAATCAATCCAAACATGTTTATGTTATCATATAATAATTGTTATCACAATATTTAAAAAAGACGTTGTGTTCTTGTCCATGTCAAAAGTTTTGACTTGTGATAATACAACTAGTTAATAATATAAACTTTTTTAAAAAAATAAAACTAGTTGTGGATTAAAATCAAATGTTTCGAGTTTTTATCTGTTGTGTAACTTTAAATTCCACCTGCAACAACAATCTAATGATTGTTAACATTAATCTACTAATGATTAAATATTTAATCACGTAAGTTACTTATGGCATGTGACGCAACTGTTTTACGTGAAAACAATTTCTTTCATAATTTAAAAATCACACGCAAAACAGATCAACGTAGCAATTTTTACGTATAGTATATGCTGGTATGATTCGACAGATTCGTTGGCATAGCTTGTACACTCGGATCTCGAAAAAGGCATAACATGTATGTATGCATGTGGAGACAAAGTCAACAAGAATAATAAGTGTAATATCACGCACATTTCTTAAATAATCGCCACCAATTTGTCATATTGAATTTTGGAGTTGTGTGAAAAAATTTCCCCCTTGATTTATGTGATCCAAAAATACTATTTTTTAATTTTATTTAGGTTTTCCAATAATTAATTCTCTGACCAATGAAAACTACAGATCGATCCGAAAATTGAGTTGAAGATATGAAATCTATTTTTTAATTATTATCATAAGATTATATATGTTAAGAGAAACAATTAGAGATTATAAACAAGACAATATTATTGTTTTTTTGTTCTAGACAACTACAGAATGCTATAACCTCTTCAAACATATTACTAAAAGATAAGTGGAATTAGTTTAATTCTGAGATACGAAGTGTGTCATCAATTTATCCTCTCATTAATAAAAGAAAAACATTAATCTAGTCTCTTAATTGTAAAGTCTTCATCAATAAGAAATAACATTAATTTAACGCTTTAATTTCATGATTTGTTCTCAATATAATGGTCTTGATGTAATTATCAATGGTAAGAGATCTGAATTGATGATATTCATTTTTCAAAAACTAAACTATTTATCTTTTAAGGATAAAAATTATTAAATATTTATTGAAAACATAAATTATATAATAAATCATACACATGTTAAGTACTACATATATTATAAAAAATAATGTATTATACTGACCTAATGACACATGATAATTGAGAGAGAGAGAGAGAGAGAGAGAGAGAGATGATTTAAATTCATTTTATTTTAGGAATCCCCGTGACAATAATGAAAACTCACAAGTAATTTCATTTGATTTGCTGCGGATTGAAATAAACAAGATAACTGTTATGGCATTTCATGGGCATAATTTACAATGAACTACTACATATTTATTGATAATTAATCTTAAAATTTATGTTTAAAATTAATACAACAAATCTCAAATCTTTAAGGGGTAAAAAAAGAAGAGATTTCACTCAACGGGGAGCTATGATTATGAGCAAAAGAATTCAATAGGAAACATGATTGCCACTTGCGAGCTAACTCGCTGGGCCATCGTCATATGTACATTCCCAAACGAAAAGCCGAATAGTTGACATGAAATAAGATAAGAACAAAATTTAGGTAATTTTACTATTATTTATGGTAACATTAAATATAAAACAATTTAAATTTGATGAAAAAAATATTTAAATAATTACAAATAATTTTTTTCGATAAGATAATTAGTCTCGACAACCCATGCCACTCACACCTTTTCTCACGTTTCTTATCCACTCGTCATAGTACCATATTTATATAATTTTATATATACCGAATCACGAAAATTATATTTAATGAAGCTCGCGTAAGAAAATACACATAATAATAAATTAAAATATGAAATAACGTGTTAATCAATTAATGTGGTTTCTTTTTCTCGTGGTTAATCCATCTTCCTAAGTTGCTTCATCAACAGTACAACTTCATCATATAATGTGTTGTTGCTGTGCACAAAAGTGACTCACTCTGTGATATCTGATCAAAACTAAAGAAACATGGCTTCAAATTCCAGCAGCAGCTACCCCATCAAAACGATCGTCGTTTTGGTTCAAGAAAACCGTTCCTTAGACCACATGCTGGGTTGGATGAAGTCCCTCAACCCGGAGATCAACGGAGTCACCGGTTCAGAATCAAACCCGGTTTCCACATCCGATCCAAACTCGAACCGGGTTCAATTCGGGAACCAATCGGTCTACGTGGACCCGGATCCGGGTCACTCGATACAAGACATCTACGAGCAAATCTTCGGCGAGCCTTGGAGCGAAGCCTCGGCGGCGAAGAAGTTGCCGGCGGCAATGCAAGGCTTCGCTCAGAACGCGGCTCGGCAACAGTTGCCGAAGAATGCAACTGCGACGATGACGGAAACGGTGATGAACGGGTTCAAACCCGAACTGGTACCGGTTTACAAAGAGTTAGTTAAAGAGTTTGCGGTATGTGACCGTTGGTTTGCTTCGGTTCCGGCGTCGACCCAACCGAACCGGCTTTATGTGCATTCTGCGACGTCGCATGGGTTAAGCAGTAACGACACTAACAAGCTTGTTGGAGGATTGCCTCAAAAGACCATTTTCGATTCTTTGCATGAAAATGGGTTCAGCTTTGGGATCTATTATCAGTCTCCACCTGCCACCCTTTTCTACAGGTTCCTGCATATTTTACTTTGCTACTGTTTTTGCTTTATTCTTTTGCTTGCTTCTGTGGTTGTTATAATTTCCCTTTTCTTTTTACCCTTTCTATTAAATTTGTCTCGAACTCGAATATCATCTATGACTCTTGCTACTTATGATGTCCTTGTCGTATTTCTTCAAGAAAAAACAATAAATGTCCTTGTCTTAGTTGATCTCTTTTATTTTAGGATGATATTATATATTAACTGACTTTATATATTAAATGACTAATGTTTTCAATTTAAATTTATTGGGATAAATTAAAAATATTTTATTTTTATACGTTATACTAAAAATATTTACTCAAATAAGTTAAATGAACCTTATACAAATCGTAACTATTTGTATAAGATGTTGTTGATCGTAATTATTTTTTATCATAAAAGTTCTGTATTAGCTATCCTACTATAAGTTTACTCCAAAAATATGCTGTAGTTATATAAAAGGAACCCTTTTTAATAAGTGTTTTTGTTTCAGAAAAAAAATATTGACAAGTGATGAGGGCACTGGCTTGTCGAAGATATAAAAGGCTAAAAGTATTAAAATAATTGAAGTTCTTAAGAAATAATATAAGAACAACTTTTTTGAGTTTACATAAATAATTTATAAATTTTTCATAATATTTTTATTTATTTCGATAAATTTTATTTCAGAATAAATTATTTTTAACTTAATTTAGCAAATTTCAAAATTCAAGTTTATGAAAAAGTTTTTATTTTGATAATTTTTATATAAAATTTTAATTAGGTTGTTTACTTAGACATGTCTAAATGTAATGAATTTCATACATTTACATAATATTTTTATTTTTAATCTTTTAATAATTGGTGATTAGTAGGTACTCTAATTTAATCATAGCCAAAAAGTAAAAACAGTGTACTCAATTTTCATAACAAAAGAATCAGAGATAAAAAGATCGCAATCGATGTATAAATTTGCGTTGACCTCAGTTAACTTGGATATATCCAGTTTAAAAATAGACTTTATAATAGTTCAAAGTACAATCACCATATTAATTTACTATTCTATTTGTGCAACCCCATTTGATGATGCACCCTAAGCTTTTAGAAGCCATGCATACCTATTAGTTTAGTTTGTTATTCATATGTTTGGTTGACAAATTATTCCACTAATCATTTTCAGGAATCTGAGGAAACTGAAATACTTAGACAAGTTTCATCCATTCGGCTTATCGTTCAAGAAGGATTGTAAAGAAGGAAAATTACCCAACTATGTGGTGATTGAGCAAAGGTTTTTCGACCTGATAGGAGCACCAGCGAATGATGATCACCCATCTCACGATGTTTCAGAAGGCCAAAAGTTTGTGAAAGAAGTGTATGAAGCACTGAGGGGTAGCCCACAATGGAATGAAATGATGTTTGTGATCATATATGATGAACATGGAGGGTTCTTTGATCATGTTCCAACCCCTGTGGATGGAGTCCCTAGCCCTGATGACCTTGTGGGTCCTCAACCATTCTTCTTTAAGTTCGATCGACTTGGTGTTAGGGTCCCTTCCATCATTATTTCTCCATGGATTCAGCCAGGCACAGGTAAGAAAGAATAAGAACCATGCACCTACTTTTATACATTAATTCATCATGTTATAATTGCATGTTGGATCGTGTTTCAGCATTTCAATCTAAACAAAAATTTAAGTTATTTTGAATCATTTTGTCAACAAATACTTCTAAAATTAAACAATCAAATGAATTTTAAAAGTAAACAAAAATAATTATATATCTTTTGTTTATTAAATTAATTTATGCATCTTAATTTTTAGAGAAACCTGGTAGGGAATTTTTTTTTAAAAATTAAGATATGTAAGTTAATTTTAATTTATTAAGAAGGTTTGGTTTATGCTTTTTTTTATTGGTTCTTTTTATTTCTTTATAAATTATAATCAAGAAATTTAATTTTTCTAAATCGAGTATATTCTTTCCAATGCACGCATTTGTGTTTTCCTTTCATAATTTTGAATGAGGAGATGGTATCTAAATTCAAAGGAGCTCAAGTCTCTCAACCAGTAGACGTTGTGAAATTACATTATAGTGAATATTTATACTATAAAATTCTAATGTTACTAAACTTACTAATAAGTGTTCTAAAATTATTAGTTAAAGAATATTTACTATACCATGTTGAATACTATTATTGATTTTAAAAGTATGCATTAAATAATATTTATAGTTTTAATATAATAATTTTTTAAGATACTGTTTAATTTTTTTAATTAATAATAAATGTTGTATACAGTGTTGCACGGACCCTCAGGACCATTCCCAACATCGCAATATGAACATTCATCAATACCAGCAACTGTGAAGAAGATATTCAATCTGCCTCAGTTTTTGACAAAGCGTGATGAATGGGCTGGAACACTTGAAGGCCTTTTAACTCGAACCACCCCACGAACCGATTGTCCAGGTTAAATATCTTTCTTTTATTTGAACATAAACAAAGTATCTATCTTTTGTCTTTTCTGTTTCTTTTTTGCTAAGATGATAGATTTATGATCATGTTTTTAATATTTATGTGCCAATATGCATGAAAAGTATTTAATAAATGTAGGTTGTTCTGATGAATAGAGCCTCACTTGTCATTTAAGTTCTTTTTCTTTTTACTGTAGGAATTGCTTAAAAATAATTACTGTTATACATGAGTTGCAAGATTAATGTGGAAGGAAGAGAAGATTCTATTCAAGAGAGAGTTGATCATATATATTAACTTATTGCACATAAAAAAATTATATCCACACATCTATGAATGAATTTAAAGTTAAAGAAAGTTATGTAAAGTATAGATGCATTTAGTACTTTTATACGTACATATTTTTTTTTATTTTAAATAAAAAATAGTATTTAATATTTTTAGAACACTAGTTAAGAAATTAAAATTTTAAAAAGTTATAAAAATGTGACACCTAATTAATTATATATTCTTGCCATGATTTCTTTTAAATCAATGTCCTAAGATATTTACTAACGAAATTTTTTTAATATTAATTTTTATTATTATATGCCCAAATGCACATGCACGAGATAAGAAATTTAAAGTAAATTTTTATATTAAAATAAAAAATTTATTATATTAAGTATACAAAAAAAATATTTAATGCTTGTCCGTTTACATAATTCAAAACCTTTACTAATTTGTATTTAATACTTTTATATCATGTGAGAATAAACACATAATAAATAATATTAATTAAGAAATTAAAAATATTTTTTTTATAAAAAAATGCAACATATAACGGAATTAATATTATATTATTACTATTATTTTAATAAAAAATATTTGTTGATATATTAATTCATGTCCTTCATAAGTAAGATCATTTTAATATTCATATTTAAGATTTTTTATAATGTGTATTTATATGCAAATGCACAAGTGTTTTAAACATAAAGTATTTTTATTAAAAAGTATTTATTATTTTTAAAATATATAAAAGCCATTCACTACATATTTTTTAAAATAATTTAAAAAATTTAATTGATTGTATTTATTACCTTCATATGATGTGCTAATTATAGACATAGAATAGACAATTTCTTTGTACTTTTACACCTAAAATAACATTTCTTTCATGGACAACAACGATATACATGTCCTTAAAAATTTTCGTTCACTTGAAATTCAGATTGATTCATTCAAACTAAGTCGTAAAATTATTCAAATGCATCCATTTCACACAAGTTGTCAAATGTCATATATAGCAGAAAAACTTAAAAAAGATCTTAATAATTTAAAGTTAGTGATACATTTTAGTTTCAAGGATCAATGTGCTATTTTACTACATCTATATACCCAAGTGTATAAATATTTAGATTACCTTAATTCTTGACCCTTTGAATTGCTAATTTTACAGAGAAATTGCCTGAACCTGTCAAATTACGAGAAGCTCCTGCACAAGAACAGGCCAAGTTGAGTGAATTTCAAGAAGAATTGGTACAAATGGCAGCAACTCTAAATGGGGATCATAGAAAGAGTTCATACCCAGACAAGTTAACTGAAAACATGAGTGTTGAGGATGCAGCTAAATACGTTGAAGGTGCATTCGACACATTCTTGAAAGAGTGTGAGAAAGCAAAGCAAAATGGGGCTGATGAATCTGAAATCGTGGATTGTGCTAATGGAAGTGCACCACCCAATTCCAAAAATTTCTTTCAAAATGTATTGTCTTGTATAACATGTAATCGATAATCAACTTCACATTTTGGACATAATTGCTGCTTGAAACGCGTGTTGTGTAAGATTTATTGACGTTAACTAGTTAAGATATGTTGAATAAAAAGTTTATTCATTTATGACTTATTATGGGTCATAACTATGCATGTCAACTCAACGTTGGTGTTTTCTTTTTACCATAGAAAGAATAGAGAGAAAGGTTCGTGCATATTATAATGTTAAAACAGGCTCCATGCTTAAGCTTAAGTTGTATCTACCTTTAAAATGTTGATGAGAAAATGGAAAAACTCAGTTAGTTAACTAGTATAGAAACTTACATAGTTGATCTTGGAAACCTGAAGAGTTTCTTCTGATCATAACTTTTTATCAGAAAAAAAAAAAAAAAAACAATCTCTTCTTGTGACTCAAACATGTCGTATCGTTATTTTGAAGGGTTGGAGTGAGACTTAGACTCCATTCGATAAAATTAGCTAGAAGTTTGAGAGTAATTGGACCAGGTTGGTTTGAATTTTAAAAAAAAATTATTAAATTATAAATTTAGTCTCAATATTTTAGATAATATGTTTTTTAATTTAGTTTCTATAAAAAATAATTATAATTTTAGTCCTTATATAAAAAAATGTTTTTAGATTAATCTTTACTATTTAATATGCATTAATAATATTAAATAAATATTTTTCGTATAGAACCAAGTTAATATATATATATATATATATTAAATATAGACTAAATTTATAATTTCATCTTAAAAAAATAATGTCCAAACCAATTAAAAAAATAGTTTTGGTTTATTTTTGTTTTTTACCAACTCATTTCGAACCAATTGAATAAGATTTGGATTGGTTTGAATTAGATTATTTGATTTATTATTTTTTATAAAAAAAATATAAATATGAAAAAAGTATATAAAACAGAGAGATCTAAAAAAAATCATTAAATATTAGTAAAATTTATCATAATTCAAATGAATTTATAAATTAAAAATGTTTCAGTATATTCAAATGCAATACTAACTAGTTAGTAGATTGTAAAGTGCATAAATATTTTATTTTAAAATAAATATATAATTTAATATTAAAAGATATTATATATATATATATATATATATAGGATCTTCTTTAGTGTAAGTCTAAAAACTCTTGCAATTAATTTGAGTCTTTCATTTAACTTATCTCTAACGAGTTATAATTTGTTATTTCATTAACCGTTAGATATAAATTAAATAAAAGACTCAGGATATATGAATATTTAAATTTATACCGATACAAGAAGATCCTCCTTTATATATATAAACATTGACATTTTAGAAGTTAATCAATACAGGAATTTATAAAGTTGATAGCACAAGAGTCATTTCTTTTCATCACAAACTTTTTAACAAAAAAAAAATTATTTCTTCTTCTTTAAAAGCGTACAATAAAGAAACATCATTAATTGGAGATGATAACACAAATTTTTACTTATATTTATGAGCTTTTCTTAATGTTTCAGATATGGATCATCTCTAGTTTACGAGGAAGATAAGCCTTCAATCATATTTTTTCTTAAATAAAAAGTAAACCTTTTATTTAAAATTAGATTCATCTACAATGTAACAAAGGGTGGTTCTATCAAGCACCAATCTTACCGGTCTTTCCCAAAATCACATTATGCAAAATTGACAAATTACTCCAAATCACAATAGTTTCACCCACCACAATCCGAGCTGCATGATCTAGCAAAATCTCACTTTCAACCTTAGCTCCAGGATGAATATCCACTGCAAAACCTTAGAAACACAGTTCAAAATCATCGTAGCCAAAACCTTCTTACCCTGAAGCCACAATTTATGAGCCACCTTATGAGCTTAACATGTCAAAAACCCTTTGAAGTTCAAGAAACAATGCACATTGCTCTACGATCATCATATCATCTATGAGGGTTTCATCAACTTCTAGAACTTTCACGAAAAGATTAGAAAGGACATAACTTGGAAGGTTTGCACTGCTCAATTTGATAGCTAAATGATGAGCCAGTGCAGTTTCCAACGATTTATGAGACAAAATGGTGGTGTTGTAGCAACTATAAAATGCGGTTATTTAGTGACATCATTTCTTTGTTTTTCTAGAATCTTTGTCTAGAGATCAAGTTCAATTTAGTATGCTTCAGCTAGTTACTCTACAGTAGAACCAGTGTTGAGGGTGTGTGTGAATAGGAAAAGAGGGAAGATGAATAGAGAGTGGGATGATGATGGGTTTGGGAATTGGAAGTTAAAAGATTTGGTGACACGTGTTGTGTGGTGGCTAACGAAGGAAAGGGACATCTTATATCATAGCTAATAAAACAACTCATTATTTTTTTTAAAACATGTGTAACTCGCTTAAGCAAAAAAATTTATTTTTTCAGTTAAGTAAAAATTTTGTTTCCTCTTTTAAATAAAAACAAAACTAAAAGTTTAATTCTAACATAAACTAGAGAGGATTTGAATTCAAACATTTTTTAATATGTCATCGATAAATTTGTACAAGATTTTAGATATATATGTTAATGATAAAAAAATTTTACTTTTTCACTTAATTAAAAATTTTATTTTTTTTTAGAAAAAAAAAACTAAAAGTTTAATTCTAACACAAACTAGAGAAGATTTGGATCCAAATATTTTTTAATATGTCATCAACAAATACTAATCTTTTACAAGATTTTAGATATGTTAGGATAAATTTCGCTTCATTCTTTGTTTTCTTTTTATTAACCCATTTATTTTTTGGTACATAACATTAATGAATATTACATATTTTTTATTTATAAATTTAACAAAAATAAAAGAAATTTTCAACAAATATTAACGTTATTAATGACGTTAATGAACATTGAACACGGAAAGAGAACTTTCTAAATTGATTGAATTATATTCTGTTGAGGTTTTTTAATCTTCCTTAAAAAAAAAGCATAACTAAGACTAAAAATATTTAAATTAAAAGAGGAAATTAAGATTTTCAAAATAAACTCTTGAACCCTAAAAATTGGTACAAAATAAAAGTGAACAATGAAAAAAAGCAAAACAAGAAAAAGATGATGCAATTGCATATATAATAAAATTAAGTTATTTTTTGCACTACATTTTGAAATGCAATTTTGGCTCAAAAATCATTAAAAAAATATTGTATAACAAGATATATGATATGAGCTAATTGTAACAAAAGTTTAGTGATAAGAAGAAAATTGATATATTCTTAAAGTCTAAGTTAGATTTTGAATTCTCTTTGTCAATGTAAATAAAACAAAAAATTAAAATAAGAGTAAATGATAAGTGCCATTAACCTATTTAGTTGATAAATTTAAAATGATCCTCACAAAAATATTTAAGTCTTGATAAGACGTTAGAATCTTAGCCTTCAAAAAATTCACAATTCTTAAAAATGTTTTTCATTTGAATTATATTATTTCTATTTAGTTCAAGTGTTTTTAACACAATAAAAATTAAGAGTTTGCCTAATTTAAAACTAAATAAAAAAAAATTCCTTTAGTACAAGCAAATTAAGATATTTTACTAGCCATTAAGATTATGCTTAGTAATATGTACCTAAACCGTAAACTTGCTACAAACAAAAATCTTAACTTATTATATTAACTATATATTTATATTGATTTTTTGACCAACTTAAAATGTTATTTTTAATTTATATTAAAAATATAAAAGAATAAAAAATTTACAAAAATAGAAATATTAAAAATTAATAATATTATATTTTAAAATTTTGTTTTTTTGTAGTCATATAATTTTAAAAAATTAAAAATTTATGAATTAACCTGACAGTTGACTTGGATGAGTCAAGTTAAAACAACTAAAAATTCTTATTATGAGTCGTTTTTTAACTTAATTCATCAAAAACATGTGATGTGTTGAATTAATTCATACTTATTTTAACCGTTATACTTAAATATAATCTGACAAGTAAATAAACCTAATAGAAAAAAAAAAGGCAAAATAGATTGCAATATACCGAAGCTAATTTAATAAAATTAGTATAACGTTTGGAAAAAATTGTGACTTTTCTGCACTTTTTTCAAAAAACTTATGTAAAGTATCTACGTTCCATGCATTCTTTCGTTAAATTATCATTAGAACAAAAGAAAAATCCATCTACAAAACACAAATAATAAACCCGTGCATCATACTTAGAATTAACTAATAATCATTGTTTGCTATCATCAATTAGAATTAATAATTAAATGTTGCACATTTGATTTTAAGAATTGCCGATATGCATGTCAATTGCCACGTTGTGAATGTGACTGAATGTTGATGAATTATATTTTAAGTTTGCTACTTTTGAATCAAGTGGCCATCATCACCATTCTATATCTTTCATCAATTCCCAAATCAAAACAAATTAAAACATTTTCATATATGCAATGTAATAGATTAGTTTGTACAATCTGTTCACTTTTGCTTTTCTCCTTTTCTCTTATTTTCTTTCTCAATATTCCAATATGTAATGTGTCTTTCCACCATTTTGATTACTCATTTCAAAATATAAATTGTGTAAATAAAAATTCATACCATATGTACCTGAGTAGAATTAGACATAGCATGAAGTTGTATTTTGATAAGGTTTGAAATTATTATTCATCATTATTGCCATTTCCATCTTAATATTGTTGTTATGTGTTTTAAATTAATACTTATTTTGTTTTGTCCATTTGAATCCTTACTCTAGACATAACATCAAAAAGTTCAGCTAGCATCCAAATTTTAACGAGGTAATACAAACAACTAGTTAAATCGGTTGTAGGGACTATATTATTCTTCTCCTAAATTCTGATGATATAAAACTTGTTACTTAAATATCATCATATCAACATTCTTTTATTTAAATAAATTTTGGTACTCTAAAACTTTATTACTATTCTAGTTATTATTTCATAGATAAGTTCACTGTTAAAAATTATAATAACAAAATATAGCATCTTATTAAAAATCCTTCACTCAAGTGCATTTTTCTACTTTTTACTTAAGGTCTTCAAATTATGCATTACTAAAATCTCTCTCTCTCTCTCTCTCTCTATATATATATATATATGTACACTAACTGATATGTTTTATAATTAAAAGTATTATTACTTAAGAAATATACATAGAACAGGGTATTACTATTAGCATGACTAAACTCTTCCAAGGATGAATTAAGCAAATCAACTTCTGTATCTAGACAAATAAAAGAGAGAATTTTAAAATGAAAAGAGTAATAATATATTAATTCCCTTACTATATATTTCTATTAATTTTTAATATTTTATTAAGTAAATATTAAATGAAAATATTAATGTATTTAATATTTTGAAAATATAAAATATATTTCATTTTTTACATAATATATTAGAATTATTCATCATGCATGAACGGAGTTATGCTTGTTTATCTGTCTTTTTTCTTTTGTCAATATTCTCCTCTTCGGCTTTACCTGTCTTCTCTTATGCATCATTTACCATTATCTTTCAATTTTTCCCCTGCTGCTAATGGAGTTTAATCCGCAAATCACATCTTTTCTTCTGCAATTTTATAACTAAAAAGAAATATAAGTAAATATGAGTCTCGCAAATATTTATTCTCAGATTTATAAAAATAAAAAGAGATTTTATGATATAATTTCTAAAAATCTATTATTTTAATTTTTTTTAAAAGCTATTAAAACTTATTTTATTAAGTTTTCAATTGTTCAAAAAATAATATACTTATGATCAGTGGCAGAATTTTGGACAAAAAATTTGAGGTGTCAAATTAACTTTTTTTATATATAAATTATTTTTTTTAATTAAAAAAAGAAATAACAATATTCATCATTTCCTCTACTTAAAATAAACATCTATGATGATAAAATTTTAGAAAAATTGTTATCTTTTACTAGTCATTTCATAAAATAATTATAAAAGATTATCATTAAATATCAAAGTTATCTTTAGTCAAAGTACCGCTATACGCTCTTTCAATGACTTAAAATTTTTAATAATTGAGTCAAAACTAAAGCTTGTTGCAATATCCTCTTCGATATAGACTACCATACTCAGATGCAGTCTTTGTTGTGCCTCCTTAATCATCAAGTCAGTTATCAAACTTTGTTTTATTTCTCGATTAATCATCCATATTATAAATGCAACCAAAACAATTATAAATGTTCATCTAAAATCCTAAACATAAAACTCCAAACATAAAACAAAAATCATACATTCGTATGACAACGAGAGCAAAAACAACATCACCAAGTCAATTCAAAGAGAGAGGATTTGTGAGCGCGGGAAAGGGTAGGCAACATCGGAGTTGAGAAAGACAACTTCTGTTTCATGTTTTTGGAAAAGAGGGGTTTCTAAGGCTTCTTAGAGGGGGCTTTGGCAATAGTGGATGTTCAAATTGATTTCAATCAATGATATTGGGAGAGACGGATTTTGAGCGCAGGGAAGGGCTTCTGTTTCACGTTTTTGGTAGAGAGGGGTTTCTGAGCGCGAAGGTTAAATATGTATTTGGGGTTGATAAAACTTTTTTTAATATTTACCTGGGGTTTTCTTAACCGTCGTTAATTAACTACGATTATAATAGCAAACCGTGTAAAATATTAAATTTAACTACAATTATTTAAACTGCGGGTAAAATTCAAACTTAACAATGGTTATATAAACCGTGGAAAAAAAATCTTGGTAAAAATTAATAATTCTAGTAGTGACTATATGCTAAAAAGTCAGCTTCCATCTTATTTCTCAATCTAGTCTTGATTATTTTTATTGGGAAAAAAGATCTTTTTGTTGTAGCTGTAGAAACTGGAAAAGTTATGATAAGACGGAGTAATTTATCAATCAAGTAGTAAACTTCTGACTTTTTTGTTGTGGCCAAACATGTACACAACTCTTGCATTGTTGATAAATTCTTCAAATTTGAATCTTGACGAGCATCAACAATGAAATGCTCAAGTTGAAAATGCAAATTAATCTTTTCTTACTCATTGAAATCCATGGGATACTATTTATCTACAAGAGTACAAATGTTTTCAATATTAAAAGCTTTATAAGCATCCTTAGGAATCAATGCTAAGCTTAGAGTTAATAACTCCATTGGTTGGTCATTAAATCTACAATTCAACTCTTGTAATTGCCTACCAATTGTAATAAAGAATATTTCAACTCTCAAATAATGCTTCACTGAAATTTCAAATTCATTATATGTAACTCTAGAAATCTTTGAGAGTTGTTTCTCATTTTCTTCAATTCTTGGATTCTCAGGAAATTTCTCAAGTTCACTTGACATACAATTTGTATTTTTTCAAATCTTTCTCACAAGCTTTTCTCTTGAAAAAAGAATCAATTCTTTGACACTTTATCATACTTTTTCTAATATAAATTTATCACTTGTATAGAAAAGAAAAAAATTATCTTCACAGTTATCACAATGCAAAACATTGAAATAAATAGATTTTAAAAGAATTAATAAATGGATAAGTTATATTTTTGAAATGTGACTCTAAATAAAAAAATTGGTATCATTGAGCAAAATTTTAATTTTAATAAAATAAAATTATATGATATATGTTATTCGTCAAAATCTCCTATTTTAGCTTAGAAATGTGATAAAAATCATAATCAAAGCTTGTTTTTGTCATAATACATTCTTTTTAGGTTTACTATATTTAGTATTAGAAAAATGTTTAACATAAAAAAAAGAAGAGACGCAAAAAAAATGCAGAACATCAATTTTATACAAATATTTCATTCCACAGTTTTAAAAAAATTTAATTTTTTATGAGGGTTATCAATAATCAAGTTCAATGTAATTCACCTGTGAGTAGAAATGTTAACAACTTAACATTGAGCTTGAAAGAAAAACTGGATAGAAGAATGAATATTATGAAACCCAAAAGTGGATAACTGTGTTTTAGAACAATAACTTTTAGGAGAAATAAAGTTCTATCACATAACTACTATTCTTGAAATAAAAAAATATGTGAAAGAAGTTTATTTTTGGAAAGAGAATGAAATTTGAATTTCAAACTTTCTAACAAATAATAATATAATAATATAAATATAATTTAAAAATATATGAAAGTATATATAAAAAAATTGAGAAAAGTTTGGGGTAGCCATACGCAAGATCCGCCCCTGCTTATGATAAATTTTTTAATATAAAATTTCTAAGTAAAAAAGCATTAAATAATGGCTCTTAATAATTAGCATAGTTAAATTATTGATTCTCTCTCAATCAAAGGTGAAATAAGATCCCAAATTCTCGATCTAGACAACAAATTAATGAAGATAATTAAAGAATCAAAATCCCATAACAATAATGAAGCCAAATTGAGCCCACCACTGCATTAAACCTGTAAAGCACGAGACAAAAACACCTTTACCATATTCCTATAGTAAACTAAACCATGTGCTAGTGAGCTCCACCAAAACCATTATTATCAACTTTCATTACACAATAATATATTAAAATTCACACACTCTCCTTCCTAAGTTTCTATTCCCACCCCATTTCAGAATCGATCAACACCATCCACACATCAAAACGTTTTCAGATTCCAATACTAGTAGAGCCATGTCCTACCCCATCAAAACGGTCGTCGTTTTGGTCCAAGAAAACCGTTCCTTCGACCACATATTGGGTTGGATGAAGTCCCTTAACCCGGAAATTGACGGAGTCACCGGTTCAGAGTCAAACCCGGTTTCAGCAGCCGACCCCAGCTCGAACCGGATTCACTTTGGGGACCGGTCTGTTTTCGTCGAACCGGACCCAGGCCACACGGTTGAGGACGTCTATGAGCAAGTATTCGGAGAGCCGTGGACCGAAGCCTCGCCAGCGGTGGCGCCGCCAACAATGGAAGGCTTCGCTCTAAATTCCGTGAAGCAAAAGAAGGGGTCCACGGCGGAAACGGTTATGAATGGGTTCAAACCGGATTTGTTACCGGTTTACCGAGAGTTAGTTAAGGAGTTCGCAGTTTGTGATCGTTGGTTTTCTTCAGTTCCCGGTCCAACCCAACCGAACCGGCTTTACGTGCATGCTGCGACGTCGTATGGGTTGACCACTCAGGACACAAAGAAACTAATTGGGGGTTTGCCGCAGAAGACTATTTTCGATTCATTGGACGAAAATGGGTTCAGCTTTGGAATATATTATCAATCCGCACCAGCTACACTTTTTTATAGGTAAGTCACTTGCCAATTACCATTGTCTTTTACTTCTTGGTTTTTATTAATAATAATGATAAGAACGTTGTTTTTAATTTTTAAAATACAATAAATAATTAATTATGCTTTTTTTATTTTTTTTATTTAAATTGGCAACTCAAGACAATGACTTGAAAGATGAAAATGGTTGTTGTTGATGGCAAAATATCTCTCGTGTTATTAATATGAAATAGATATGTTAACAAAAATATTATTTTTATTAAATAAAAACTCATCAGAGGATTTTTGTGTGTGAGAAGAGGGGTAGGAGAAATGAGATTTCAAATCCTCTGGAGTTGTTTTTCAAATTACGTTAATCCTAATCCTTATAATAAATTTGTTTCATAAAGTATTATACACAACTGTGCTATTAGTGGAAATTGTCATATTTTAAATGGCTATTTAATTATATGTTGGCTTAAAAACGTCTCCTTACCTGACTAATTAGGTAGTTTATCATCCTACTACCTAGAGACGTGCCCATTATTATGCTGAGAAATGATACTCCTTGATTGTCAAGTTAGTCAAGTTGGAGTGACCAATTTTAGCAAAAATGCCAAGAGAGTAAAATACTGATTGATACATGTGGAGTTTTTGAGCTTTTTGTCGATTAGGGTTTATTGATTATTGGTTTTGGTTGAATTAAATTATGTAAAATACTTAGACATTTTAGAAAAATTTTAAATCTTAGAAGCATGAACTACTTATCTAAATAAATAATATAAACCCAAACTCAAACCTCTAAAAAAAATTATGATTACTATCTTTTGTATATGTTTATGTCTTGCACATACATATTAATCCATTGAGCACTTTCAGAAATCTTAGGAAACTGAAATACGTAGACAACTTTCATCAATTCGATTTAAAGTTCAAGAAGCACTGTGAAGAAGGGAAACTGCCAAACTACGTGGTGATTGAACAAAGATATTTTGACTTGTTATCACAACCGGGGAATGATGATCACCCATCTCATGATGTGGCAGAAGGACAAAAATTTGTGAAAGAAGTGTATGAAGCACTAAGAGCTTGTCCACAATGGAATGAAATCTTGTTTGTGATTACATATGATGAACATGGTGGCTTTTATGATCACGTGCCAACTCCTGTGACTGGAGTACCAAGACCAGATGACGTGGCAGGTCCTGAACCATTCAAGTTTCAGTTTGATAGACTTGGTGTAAGGGTTCCCACCATCATTATTTCTCCATGGATTCAGCCAGGCAAAGGTATCATTACATTTACATATATATAGTTGGTTTCCTCTTAATGATGTCTCAAAAAAAAAAGATGAAGGTTTTGGAAGAGTAAATAATGATTATTTATTTCATAAACTAATGACTAGTTTTACTATTTACTATTTACTAACTAGTAACTGTGTATTGTATTATAATGATTATTTATAGTGTTGCACGAACCTTCTGGGCCATTCCCAACATCACAGTATGAGCACTCATCAATACCAGCAACTGTTAAGAAAATATTCAATCTACCTCAGTTTTTGACAAAGCGTGATGCATGGGCTGGAACACTCGAGGGACTCTTAACTCTTAGCACCCCGAGAACTGATTGCCCAGGTGAAATCTCTATCTTATTCTCTTTCCTTTTTCTTTCTACTGTTATTGATTTCAGGAATTAAAATGTCTTATCCAGAACTGATCACTCAAAGAAAAGCACTTTAAAATGTTATTTACATTCTCTTTCATAATTTTTGTATTTTTTTAATAAATTTTAATAAATATGTTAAATAAGGTGTATTATGAGAAAGTTGTTCTACTCCTGTAACAAATAATTACATTACATACGTAGATTTAAAAAAATCTTTCTTTTTGACAATTTCTATTACCAATTTTCAGTGAAACTACCCGAACCTATCAAACTTCGAGAATCTGAGGCTAAAGAAGAAGCGGAATTGAGTGAATTTCAGGAGGAATTGGTATATATGGCAGCAACTCTAAATGGGGATCATGGCAAGCCGATATACCCCAACAAGCTAAGAGAGAACTTAACTGTTTCGGAGGCACTTAAATACTGCGAGGGTGCATTAGGAACATTCTTGAATGAGTGTGAGAAAGCAAAGCAAAGTAGAATTGATGGATCTGAAATTGTCCATTGTGCTAGACCACATATCCCAATACAACCCAAAACATTCTTGCACAAGCTATTGTCTTGTATTATCTGTGATTGATGATTAAATTATACACTTTTTAAGCATAATGTCTACCCAAATAATAATGAAGCTTGTGTTTGTCTCGTTAGAAGGGGTGTCAGGAGTCGTTCAAGGATTAGAGCTATGCAATGCCACTGTGAAATTTTTAAATAGATGTAAATTTGCAATATAATGTGTAAATTAGAAGGTTTACTATTCATTGCCCCACTGAAACTACTAGCTTATGCCCATTTGAAGCTGCTTTGAGAATCGAAAGTTGCTTTCTCATGTTGAAGTTGACCATTAAATGAAAGAAATAAAATAAATTGTAAAACAAACACATCATTCACATTGCATTTTGCTATAATAGTAGATGTTTTGGAGGAAAAAAGAAAGATGAAGCAGAAGTAGATAATCAGGTTTTTAAGGAATTATTTGGAAGGACTAAAGAGAGGGAAAGCAAAATTTTAACTTTAAATTAAAAAAATCTATTATTTATGATGGTAAATAAATTATTAATGCATTAAATTTATATTAATCTATCATTTTATATTTTATTTCAAAAAATTATAAACTTAAAATATTTTTATTTAAAATAAGAATTTTATCCACTTTCATTTTCTTCAAAACACCCCTTCTTCTCAAATAAAAGAAAGTAAAAGATTGAGTGTGATTAATAGTATTGAATGATGTCATCTTTAAATTTCCTAGGTACTATTATTGTATTTAAATAAGAATGCATCTAATTGGGAATACTTTGCATTAGCATTTTCGAAGGTCATGCTCCAATTTCAACTATTAAATTCGTTATTTGTGTACTTAACTTCTTTCTACACAGCAATTCTAATAATATAATAACGAATTAAAAAAGACCATGTCACTAATATTTTTGTACCAAAAAATTTGTAACACTTCGCAATATCATTCTTCATATAATGCTATCAAATAAATGGCGATGTACATGGATCGAAGCACTATGGTAATTTATTGGAAGACCAGTCAGCGGGAGTGTACTGCCTCGAATAGTTCTTGCCATTTCTTAGTTTCATTTCCAGGACCTTCACCCTAAAATATATATAAACAAATTATATAAATATTTTCCAGCATTTGATTTACATGTGAAACACAAACTTAACAGCAACAAATAGAAGTAACTAAATTATGTGAAGCATGATAAACTGTTTATTCATCAAGCACATTACTTTTAGGTGACACATTTTCCATTGCTTTAAGGCTGAAAATTCACAAACTAGGAAATTCAAGGCATCAAACTATCAGGTCTTTTCAGCTATCTGCCTAGCATTCACAATCAAGGAGATTCTATCAAGTGTTTATGATCTCACACACGTAACACATTCATGTATAATACCAAATTTGCCACTTAAAATTTACCTCAACAGAGTTAACTTCATATACTTGGTTTTCAGTGACTTCTAGATCTAATGCCTGTATGCAAGCTTCAGCAACCACAATTCTGCTGGCCTCTCCCACTAATTTATCTCCTGAAAGCCCATTGCCAAATTTCTAAACTTTAAAGAAAAACACTAGCAAAGTGTACAAATGAATCATATTAATAAACAAGTATCTATCTATTATGCTAAGGGAAACTTATCCCAAATGTAGAGACAATAATTAAACATGGAAAAGAAAACCATATTCACACAAACATTTTATGCATAACTGCCCATGTAATTAATGGGTAGTAGATACACAGTGCTAACAAGTGTAACGACTAACGAACATGTTAAATGATGCGTTAGATTATATATATGGCTGTAGAATAAGAAATAATGGTTTGTTTTTCCTTTTCTGCCATATACAAGTCAACTCACATCATACACAGTGCTAATAATGACTGATAATTTTAGCCTGCATTGACTTACCCTTAGTCTGACCTGATCCAATACCTTTCCAGTATCCCCATACAAGCCTCACAAATCCACTGCTACTATTCCTTTTTTCCTTTTCAAAAACTCTCCTCTTAATGTATTATCCATCAGCAAATATCACCCAGTCCCCGCCTGCTAAAATGAAAAACTACAAGTTCACAAAGATCATTGTTAATGGTCAAGAACACAGTGCTCTGTATGTGCTTGAATTCACACCATAGAATGCCTGCAATGGTTCTGTGTGCTTCCCTGCTACATTGGCATTTAAGTTGTGTTTTTCAACTGAAGGGTAAGTACATCCTAATGTACTAACCAACAATTTCACAGTTTCTTAGCAGCACTTGATCACCATTAGCTTCATCATAGCCACTAATGGTCACTTTGTTTCCTTCTCTTTGCTCTCCAACAAACCAAATCATAGTCTTGATGCCTCAATGGCTTGTCAGAGGTAAACAATCTTGCATCTACCCAGCTACCTCTGTCATAAGATGTCTATCCCCTTACTCAAATTGAAACACTGTTTTCCTAGAGGATTATGTTACGGTTCCAAAGTTTGTCTCAAAGGGTCTTTGATAAGGTCGCAAGCATTGGGGCCCAATTACCACATAGCTAGGAAGGGAAAATTCTTGGGCCTATAGCATCAAAAAAGCCCAATTTTGCAAGACCTAAGAGGAATAAGCAAAAACCCCAGTGGCTAAATGACTATGAGTAGTTTTTGAGTTTTTGAGTCTGAAGTTAATATTTGAAATTTACTATTCTTCCAATTTTTATTGATATATTTTTGTTGTTTGTTATCCACGTGGCATTAGATTCGTTTTGTTTGTAACTAATTCACACTATATGTGTTGCGAGTGGAATGAAAAAAAAAAGGCAAAGAGTTAATTCCAATTTTATTTCTCTAGGAGATCACCCTTGCTCGAAAAGAGCGTTTTCTCTTCTCAGTCTTGCACATGATGATGGGTAGCAGAAAGCTATGTAGGAGAATAGGATGGATCTGAATAAAAATTCTGTGATGCATCTACCCATTTAGTTTCGTTTGACAAAGACATACATGCCATAGGTTGTAAGTGCATTATTTTCAATCAAAATTAAACATTATAGATGAGTTGCTAGATTGAAGTGTTGGATTGGTTGCTAAATGCCATTATCCTCAGAACTATTCTGTTAATTGTTAGGATGCCATATTTTATTTACAAGAGAGAGAGTTTGTGAAGTTCTAACCCCAATACATACATGTAGCATGCGCAAGGGTTACAGAATTGTGATAATTATAAACTCTCAAACAAACATAACTAAGCAACTAACTATTAAAGTACCACATCAGCTGCGGATATGGCTAAATAGGATCCTATAAAAACTAAAACAATCCTCACCTACTAGCTAACTTTTAGGGTTGAATTAGGCTTAACGCCCAAATTCAACATGGTATCAAAGCCCATCTTAGATCCAATATTGGGCTACCCTTGACTAAAAACAACTTGGCCCCACAGATTTTCCAAGTGTAATTAACCTAGTCCTGCGGTTTCCCTAGTGCCACCTACCCAGCTCTGCATTTCCAATGCAATATTTAAAAAAAAATAAAAATCAGTCCTACAATTTTTGACCTGAGATGTCCAATCTTTATCATGAGGGGATGTGTTTTTTAAGTCCTACAACTACAAATATGGTCATATAGATAAATAAAAGTTTATAAAGGCTAAAACAATCCTCAACTTACGAGATAACTTTTAGAGTTGGGTTAGGCTTAAAGCCCAAATTCAACAATAACTAATGGGTATCTATCACAAGACCATCATACAGTTATGCATCTAACTAAGGAAATTCAACTGCAGTTCAGGCTCCTGCTTCATTAGACAAAGAGTGGTGGGAACCCTATTTCCCTTTTGTCTATGAAACAAGCTACATTGCCTAGCAAATCACCTTATTGGTTTGCTAGACTATATTCGCACATACAATTGGTATAGCTTGGTAATCTGCTTAGGTGAAAATTGCTTAGGAAATTGGCAACAAAAAGGGAAATAAATGCTTTCATTGTACAATAGTTATAAATGAACATTATTCATATACCTTGACCTATAAGGACTGCTCGTCGTTGTCCAGCTGTTGCTTTGAGCAAAGTATTGAGATCATACGATGTGTAAGGTCCATCTGTCAACCTTCCAGCTCTAAAATGCATTTAAATATGCCATATGAGGAGACTTCAAGATTTAAGACCCACATACTCCAAGTCAAAAGTCCTCAACTTCTCTGTTCATCAAGTATCAACACCACCAAGTATGAAACATGCTAGAATTTCACCTTACCTGATTATGGTAAATGGAAGGCCAGAACTCCTAAGAAAATCCTCACCCATCTTCTTATATTTTAGGACACCAAATAGGTTCATAATACTACAAGAAAAAACAACATTAAAAACACCATCAGAAAAAATTTGGAGCATAAACGCAACTAAGTATATCATTGATCACCTAGAGTTTATTGCCTGATGTCTAATGATCCTTTTTTCCAAAAACCAAATAATAGATATTTTAATAAAGTAGGTACTAATGAAGACCATGAATGAGTATATAAAATGAAGATGCAGTGAGGATAATATGTATTAGAGGAATGCTAGGAACATACTCTCAATTGCTAAAATGTATTGAAAATTACAAAAGTATGAGAAAGAATCATTAAATTAGGATTGAAAATCATTACATTAAGAGTGAGACCCACATTCTTTTACAATTTTTAATAAATTTTAGCCAATTACTAAGAGACTATTAGAAAAAGAGTTATAAAATGTGTTGTTCGCATTTTTCACATGTATTATTGACATCTCACAGTTTGAACTGTTACTAACAGTTGTCCCAAAAGAAAGCTGCTACGAAAGGATGAATATGGGAATGATGCAGAATTGTAGACAGAGAAATAAGGGTACTAGACTTGTTTTATGTACTTGACTTGCTTAAGGGTTCCAACAACACAAGGTACAGAACAAAATATTGAGGATTTCATATAGGATGTGAGGTGAGAAAAAACGTTTTTTAAATTCCCATCTAGTGCTAAAGACCAATCTTGTGTTAGGTCCTAGCAGATGGAGGTAAAGCCTCAAATCAATTCCCTTCCCAAAGGCGACATCAGCTATTAATGGTCTACTACAAAGGTACAAATTCTTTGGGGGGTGGGGGTGGAGAGTAAAAGGAAGGGCCCACCTAAGGCTTAATGCAGAGTTCTTATTTAGCACATTTAGGAATTCCTCTAATGTTGTTCCCTCCCTCTCCTGCAGGTCATCAGTCAATTTGTACTTTTTGCAAAAACAAAATTGAGAATGTAAGTCTTGGTAATGTGTAACGATCACTGGGCCTATATCCCTCATTGACTCTGATGGGCCAACAAATACTGTTGAGAACAATTCCACACATCGCCCCATTACCTCTCCCTCAAATGAATCTCCCTTGCTGATAGAGGAAAGGCCTAACTGACTACATGACGTGCCAGAATAGCCGTAAGAAGGGAAAATCTGTTATGAAGAAATGATTGAGGGAATCTTATTACCTCTCTCTATTATTTTGTATTTTGTCTTTTTCTTTTGAGGCGGTGTAATCATTTGTGCTTATATAGCACTGATTGTTATGGAAAAGGAGACAAGAATTATTCCAAAGTTACTTTTCTCTCTGATTTCCTCTACTTTCTGAATTAAATATTCTTCTTTTCTCCTGCCAGTACCTTTCATAATGACTAGGATAAGTTAGACAATTTCAATTACCTAAGTTTAGAGCACAGTAGTATGTATACACAATGATACCAATTCTAGAATCAAGAATAGCCAACAGAAAACTAGCAATTGAATTAAAATAATAAAATGACCATCAGTTAATTTCAAATTTTTAGCGAGTTTTCATCTAATGTTACTTGATTTTTGAAAGAAAAAAAGTCTTTATATCAAGGACAACTTAAACTAATTTTTTAAAGTTTAGACTAATATCTCATTAAGATTTTATAAAGACCATAGTCTGAATTACCAGTAAAGAAAAGCTTTCTTGCAAGCCAAATGATGATACTATAAAAGTCACAGCCAAGTTTGTTAATTAAGAACAAAATATGAGGTATTCTTACCTCCATGGCAACTCATTGAACTTGGTCACACCTATTGATGACACAAGAACAACTCTCTTCACTGAGGGAGGCAATGCAGATACTAGATTCTTTACTCCCACCCAATCTTCAAATTAAATATTTATAGTCAATATCAAAATCCAAATATTTACAGGTGCTTGAAATGCTGATGAATTCTATGTTGTAGGCAACTTTGAATAGAAGGCATTAGCATTACTATTATGTTTAGATTTTCCACATTCGATTCAATCTTCACCTAACTAATCTTCTATTTCATTATAGTTATGACATCAAATGCAGCAACATATGCACAACATGATTCTTACCAACCCTTTCTGGTGTATTATCATCATCCCACCGCTTTGAAGGAAAAGCTGTCGTTCCTGTGCAGCAAATCACGTGTGTGACACCCTATAAAGCAAGTAATAAGAAGCAAAGAGAACATAAGAAACATAAATTATGTCCTACATTTTCTTTTCTGATGAAATGACTCATCAAAATAAAAATTATTCAGATCACCCTTGTATTATTCAGTAAAATACTCCGAAGAGTTTACCTCAAATATGAATGGATCCAAATCCTCTTGCTTCCTTGTGTCTCCTTTGAATACCTATTATGTTCAAAATCAGAAGCTCTATATGACTAGAAAATAAATTAAGAATTGATGAATAATCAAATTGACCCACAAAGCTTGTTATTTCACAGGGGAACTTTTAAAGCAATTAAATTTGCACTTCAACTGCTCACTAAAGAGTAGATGATAAACCTGCAGTTTCTTCTTATCATGTTCACCAAACAGTTCTGTGGCTTTCTCAGGATCTCTAAGTATCAAGCGTGACTTAACATTCCGTTGAAGCAGTGATGCTACCACCAGCTGCCCTGAATAGTAAGTATAAGGGAACTGCTTCACAAACTTCCCCAATCAAACTATTGCCGTGAATATGTATGCATTTCCACATTTTACATTTCTAATCTGAATGCTAAAATAAAATTAAAAAAGGGATCCCAAAGGCATACAAATACATAATGAGGGAAGGTTATACAAATAACACAAATCACTACTATACTCATGTTTATTTAGTTGTGGTATATCAATTAGTTATAGAGTAAACCCTCAACTTCGCCTTCAAAGATTGAGAATTACCATATTAGTCCTTCAAAGATTTTATCATCAAATTGGTCATTTACATATCTAAATATCACTATATTCATCCTTACATAAGTCTAAAAGGTGAAACAAAATGATGAATATGGTAACTATTTGTATTTTTGAGGAACTAATTTAATGAAAAATTTTTAAGGAGTAATAACACTTAATCTTTAAGGGGTTTGTTTGATAAAAAATCTTTTAAAGGACAATTGTCTAAATCAGACCAAGAAGAGGGTTTATTGATAAGTTGAAAAATACTTATTAATTGCTAGTTCAATATTTGGTAAACTTCAAAACGTTTTGTGATATACAATACTTGAGTTATCAAACACCTATTATTAATAAATTATATTGAATAAACTTTTAATCACTTGTGATAAAATCAGTAAACAATAAATATTTCTCTTGAAACATCTTGCAGTGATTTTTTTTTTCTTTTAAATAAGCTTGTCTGTAAAATAAACATAGAAATTTAAAAAAATTTAAATCACAATTTACTCCCACTTACAACTCCACCAGCAGTGGTAAAAGAAAACATAATTACACTTGCATCCTTTATATTTAACGCTAACTAAACTAATATTCTTTGTAATTGAAAAATTACAGCTACTTCCTTTAATTAGTATACTATTATTACACATTAACCCTTATTGTATTTAAGAATTTTATATATACCTATTAGTAGGTATATAGAATTTTATGTACAAGCCAAACACAAACTATCCTTGAAATATACAAGACGACTACAACATAATGTACGTCCAAAAATACATTGATATATAATTGTAAATATAATTACAGTTTTTTTTAATGTATGTCCAAAAATACACAATAAGAACTTATATATAGTAATTTTTTATTGAAAAACAGAGAATACAGTATATTGATAATATTAAATATGTAAATTTTGACGAAAAAATATTATTTATTAATTTATAATTTTATGTCCTAAACACATTAAAATCTCCATATAATTAATACGAACTAGAAATAAGGTCATAAAATCAGTCCATAGAAAACAAATAAAGCTTAAAATATTTTGGTCTATGTAATTTTGGCAGATTTTAATTTAATTTCTTATTTATTTTTAAATTTTTCGTCCCTACTTTGTCAAAATTCAACAATTTTTATCCACAGCGACGATTTGATTCAATAAAAATTTACACGCAGCATAAAACATTGACAGGTGAAAATCTCTTATAAAACCGCATTGTCGTTGATAGTGCATCGTTAAGGACCCAAAGCTTTGAAATTTGAAAAGACAGAGACTAAAATTTAAAAGAAAAACAGAGACTAAAATTTAATATTCACAAAAAATTAGAAACTTAAAACATATTTGAATTTGAGGAAACAACAAAACACGGGAAAAAAGGAAGATGAAAAGAATTAGTACCAACGCCACCAGAGCCACCAACAACAAGGACGAGTTTGGAGGATGATGGGGTGCTTTGGGTATCGTTCTTCAACTCTGAACTCTGAGTTTGATTCACTTCCTCGTTGGTTGAAACAGCTCTTGCATAAACACACTTTGAATACTTACTAGAATTCCCTCTCCAATACAGGGAAACCCTGTTTGGGATATTAGTGAAGGAGAAAACTTGGCGCTGAGAAAGAGAGTTATGCTGTTGTTGGGTGAAAGCCAAAGGGAGTGTAAGTGTGGCAGTTGAAGAAGCCATGAAACAGTAACAGCTACCTCTGCAGCGTTCAACAAGCCCACCAATTTAGTCACCACATGTTTTTCTTTTCTATTTTTGTAATAAATGAAGACCTCAGAATTCAGAAGTATGTTTTGTCGTGCTGCCACGTTTCCCGCTGTTGCTATGTTTCTCTTTGATTTTTGTGTTTGGATGAATAGCTTTTTTTAATGAAGACGCTGTTGCCAAAAATTAAGTCTATAACTAGTCTCTTAAAATTTATAGTTATAACTAGTGGCTTATAAATTATTTAAAATGTTAAAAGTTATGTCAGAAAAAAAATGAGTTAATTTTCAAAAAGTTAAATGTTATTTGAAATCACTTTTCTAATAAACTAGCTTTAAAAAATTATTGATGAACAGTATTAGTAGTTTGTTGACAAAAAATTATAAAAAAATAGTTAAATAAATTATAAATTTGTGCTGGGAAACAGACCCTAAATGATCATAATTTTTATAAAATTAACTTTAATAGAAAAATTATTTAAAATAAATTAGTTAATATTTTACTTTTTTATTTAATTACTTCTTTCTTATTTAGTGTTTAAAGAGAGAAAAAAATTTAAAATATAATTTATTAAAATTTATTATTTTTTTTACTAATTTACATTTTTTTTATAAATAGGATGTTTTTTATTCTTGAACTATTCAAGTTGTATAAATATTTCTTTTCTATACATCAAGTATTTTTTATTAAAAAGTAATATAGTTTAAGTTCGGTAAAACTATTATGTACAGTAATTTTTTTAGAATATTTGATATAATTATATTTACTTGAATATAAAATTATATGGTAAAATGGAACAACTTTTATTATTTTATTTATGTATTTAGTAGTATTTTATGTTAGTAAAAGAATATTAATAGAAATTAATAATTAATATTATCTCAAATTTTTGTGGGAATACATAAATTTTTTTTTGAAGATAAAGAAATAAAAAATTATATTTAATTACAATAATAATTAAAAAAGAAAATAATAGAAAATAAAATATTTTTTATTGATAACAAGAATCTCTTCCCAAGGAAACAAAAGGAGGAATTATGGGTTTTTTAAAATAATTTTAAAATTAAATAATATTTTATGTAATTTAAAATTATAAATAAATTTTGATTAAGTAAAAATTGTAAACTATAATAGGAGATTTAAATTTTTTATTAAATTAATTTTATTAACATTATTCAAAAGTTTATGTAATTTACTTTATTTAATCTTAGTTTATCTTTATTTATTGCCCTTTTATGTTCTCTCTCTATCGAAGCCCTGACCCGGTATGATAGTAATGGGTTTGATTTGGTTCGAACCGGGTAGCACAGATAACAGGTTTATTACGAGGGTTTGTATCGAATATATAAAATTTTATATGGCTTGAGTTTCTTTGTTTGCTAAAACCCTGTGCAGCTTTTTTGCTTCCCAAATAGGGTTTTGCTTACAATGGGAGGGACGCGAGTTCAAGTGAATAAGCCTCACAAGTCTCGCTTCTCTTCTAAATCTTCTCGGAATGTTCATAAAACATCTGTCAAAGGTTGAATTTTTTTCCTCTTTTTTCATGTTTGTCGTGTGATTCATGTGGCCGACCTGTGGAATAAGACTTTGTTGATGTTTTTGTTTGTCTTATGTAATGTTTGGTTTTTCGAATCGGTTGTTTAGATAGAATCGCGGTCGCGAAAACAGAGCGCAATGTTGGAAAAGGAGCACGTGCTGCTCGAATTCAGAGAAATAAAATGGTATTCGTCTCTGTTTTGTTGTTGTTATTGTACCTTGCGTGTTGCTTTTTTTGTTTTTTAATTATCAGAGCACTGATTGTTAGCAAATTTACAGATACGTGATCAGAAAAGAGCTGCGGTTTTGAAAGAAAAAAGAGAATTGAGTGGGTCGCGAAGTCCTCCTCGAGTTATAGTGAGTAAAGCATGGTTGTTTAATGGAATTGAATTGGGCATTTGTTTTTGAAATATAGGGTCTTGCTAGTAGGTTAAGAAATTAATAAAGAGTAAGTTTTTATTGAAAATTAAGTTAGGATGTATTGAAAATTACTAGCGTGAGAGCACTTATATATTTTTTTTACTTTTTATTTCATAACCAATGCCCTTAGGAGACTATTTAGCATTTTCTTATTTTATGTTATGTCCTCACACCGTATTATCATTTGTTCTTTGCAGGTGCTCTTTGGCCTCTCTGCTTCTGTGGATTTAGAATCACTTGCTGGGGATCTCTTGTCAATATTATCTAAAGGTTCTTCTATGGGTCTGCCAGGAACGGTTGCTTCTTCTGAATATAGGACAAGAATAACGGTATGCTGCATTGCTGCCTTAGTCTCTGTAAACTTATTAACTTGTTGAGAGGCTTTTATATGCGGGAATGATGTTTTACAATGGTGTAACATACATTCTTACATCACTTTCAACTACTTTATTTAGAATGTATTGTTTATCAATTCAACTGTTGAATTACCACTATCTCTTATCTTGAATTTTCATGTCAAATCTATAAAATTGAAATACCAAAAGAATGTGATAAAGCAATTTTTATTTTCATATATTTCAAAAAATATATCACAATCAATGAAATATTTTATAATTTTAGATTGATTTTAAGATGTATATTGACATTCGATATAAGAACTAAGAAGTCGTGGATGTGTTACGTGTATATGGGAGTACAATGTTGCTTTGGCTTGCATAATTGTTAGCACTTACTAATGAATTTGAATGAAAAAATTTATATAGATACAGCAATGATTGAGTTAATAGTCTGAAAGAACTTTAATGGTTAACATTTAATAATTATTTTTAATGATGTGGAGTTATGAAGATCAGAATGTATTCATTCTCATATATTAGAATATATACCTGCATGCTGCACCTGGTTTATAATGGAACTGCAGAACTTAACAAATTCAGAAATATAAAAAAAATTGACTATTACCTCCCAACTCCCAGAGCTGAGGGGTCCCAAATCAACAGCCAAATTCACTATTCAGTTTTTCCACACCCCTTTCTAATCCACATGTGCCTATTTGAATCTCTCTTCCGTCACATGTAATAGAATCACCTTTCTGCGTAACAAACTTCTCTTGTTCCTGGTAGCTACTACGTGTCCACCTCTAATACACTTTCCAAACCTTTGGGCCTTGGTTAATTTGGTCCAAGATTGGATCCTCATTTTCTTTATCAGTTTTTTGGGAAGTGAGCACCAAAATTGTAATTTATATTCATTGAATGAATATTTTATTATGCTTTTTGTATGAAGTTGTATTCCCAGGTTTGTTATGGTGAATAGGATTTTATAATATTGATCAAACGTTCTGCACTGCAGGTTCTAAAAGCACCTCATGGTGATCTCCTATCATGCATGGAAATGGCCAAGGTATTATTGTTTCTATCTGATTTGTTTTATCACTTTTAGAGTGCCAAAAATGTGGCTCTTGATTATCATTGGACATTGTTTTCATTGTAGGTCGCTGATCTACTGGTTTTTGTGACCTCTGTAAGGTCTTTCTGCAAAGAACCCGATTCTTACTACATTGACTCATTTGGAAGTCAATGCCTTTCTGTATTTAGGTCTCTTGGTTTACCAAGCACTGCTGTGTTTATTCGTGTAAGTTATGGTGGATTTAATGTTTTGAACTTATGAACTAATTTACATAATCTTATAACCTTTCATGAAGAAATCAAGTTTTAGCCATTTGTGTGGAATTTTCATTTTCTGCCTTCAGGATCTACCTACTGAGCTTAAACAAAGAAATGAACTGAAGAAGATGTGTACATCTAGTCTCGCCTCTGAATTTCCTGAAGATTGTAAATTTTATCCGGCTGATACAAAGGATGAGCTGCACAAGGTAGTTACTTCTCTCATTGTTGGGTGAAAATTATGATTGTACCTGCTGAACATATCATCAAATGAATGCCCAGTTTGATTATCTAAGCCTACTACTTCTTCCCTCTTTACAATTGCAGTTCTTGTGGCTCTTTAAAGAGCAAAGGCTTAAGGTTCCTCATTGGAGAAATCAACGATCTTACCTCTTGTCCCAAAAGGTTTGGATTTGTGCTGATCCAGCTCTGAACTTCTATAATGTGTTTTTTTTGAGGTTTTGTAGTTTTTCTTGAGAAATTCAAATTGGGAATATGAAATTCTCATGTTTGGTATATGCTTTAAAAAATACACTCCCAGGAAATTAACATGTTTTGCCCATGATGAGGGCTTGGTATGTTGCTTTCCCTCTCCCATGGCAATGGAAGTTATCTTGAAACCTGACTGTTATCTTCCATCCTAATTCGTTCTGCCCCATTCATTCTCCCATTTTTTGGAAAAAAGCTAAATAGATTTTGAAAAAAAAGAGCAAATAAACAAATTAGTCCCTGAAACTGACACTCTGTATACCTTTAATCCCTATAAGTTTTATTTTGTACAATTTGGTCCTTGAATGTGCTAATTTACTCACAATTTGGTCTTATTTGGGAACTAATTGAACCCTGGAAGTGCCAGTGTATCAATTTGGTCTTTGTTAATGTTAATTTTGCCTCCATTTACTCCTATTTTTCTTACATTTTTTTGTTAGAAAAGGACCACAACGTAAGTAAGTTCACACATTCAAGGACTAAATTTTACATAGAAAAACTTTCAAGGACCAAAGATCATACTTGTTAATAGCGCGCTATAGTGGCGCTATCGCGCCGGAGTGGTGCGGCGTGGCCATTGGCTGCCACTGCCACCACATCGCAGGGCGTTTGGCATGTCGCGGCAGGTGCGGGCGTTTGCAGCCAAAACAGTGAGACGTTCGTGTGCAATCGCGTGATTTAGGAGAAAGAAAGAAACCCTATTCTATTTTTTTATAAAACACACCATTTAGATTATTTGTTAAGGGTACAAAGGTCATTTGGGGGAAAAAAGAAACCCATCTTCCTCACACTCTCCTCTCTCTGCAAAAAGACCGAGATCTGCGTAGTAGTTTCTCCCATTCTCAGCGGTGCATCCAGTCCATTTCGCTGGAGAAATCAGCTTGTCCGGAGGCTCACCTGCTCCATTTCGCCGGAGGAACAAGCTTTTCTCGCATCTCCTCTGAGGTGTATCCTCTTTTTTTTTTTTCACCGGAGAAATTAGTTTTTCCGGCATCTCTATTTTTCTGTTCACCGGAAAAATCAGATTTTTCAGCTTCTGTTCAGTGATTTATCATATGAAAGCATTTTTGTTTAATATAACAGTCATGTTATAATGTTTTATATAATAATATATGCATATTATAAAATAGCGATCATCCTGCTTACGCTATTCCACTATAGCACTTTAGGGGTCAGCCGCTATTTGCCGCTATCCGAGATTAACAACTATGCCAAAGATAACGAAATGTCACTTTCAAGGACCACATTATATATTTACTCAAAAAAATGAAAATATTAATTGTTAACCCAACATTTTGAATTTTTCCCTTTAATAACATTCTTGAGCATAGTTTGACTTGGAATGTTTTGATATGCCTTGATCCTAACAGTTACCTAGCAAAGGTAACAGTCTAGTTTAATCAAGTTTGCAATTTTTGTGGCTGTAGGAAAACCTGAAGATTATATTATTAAGACATTAAGAGTTAATGTTCACATATAGTTTTTTTTTTTTTTTTTATGAAGTGCCCTAATGTTGTTTGGTCTAAAGATCTTGATTGATGGTATCAATTCATGAACAGGTTTTTTAATGACTTTATAATCTTTGCCACCCTAAACAATAGGTTGATGCAGTATATGATGGAAACTCTGAAAAATGCACGCTGCTTCTCACTGGTTATCTTCATGCTCGTAGCCTCTCAGTCAATCAACTGGTAATCAGCAAGTTCATGGATTTGCTATTATAGTTGCATTGATTTATTAGTTGTCTCACAGTTTTTGTTTTACCAGGTTCATGTGTCAGGTGCAGGAGATTTCCAATTGGGTAAAATTGAAGTTCTTAAAGATCCTTGTCCTTTGAATGCAAGGAAAAATCAGGACTTAATGGATTCAGAAGAAATCCATGCTGTGGAGGTACAGGCTTATACATTTTTGCAACTGTTAAAGGAACAAGTGTTATGGTTTTTAGGTTCAACTTCATTTTCAACACACGCATGTGCATACATATAACAATATGTCAAAAAATATAATTGCATGTGTGAAGTGTACAGATTTAAAGATCAATAATTTATCTATAGAGTATAGACACAATTCACAATAAAACATTTTTAGCATTGTTTGATTTATGTTGTGAACCCTTCTTAGTGGGAAAAGGCTTGATTGTTGTTTTTGCATATGCTAAATATATACATAAATTCACTTAAATGAATATGGAAAATAACAATATTAAATGAGATGGAATACGTTTACATTCGGTTGAATTGATGTTAAATATTAAAAGGACAGATTTTGTTCAATCTGAAAACATGCACATCCCTCCCCTCCTAAAATTGACTGCCTGAAATTTCTGATTTTTTTGATAGTCGCCAATTAAAAGGGAATATCTTTTCAATTTTTGTTATAGCTGTTGCATTTAGTACATGCTATTCGTAAGAATAGACATTGTGATCTTTCAATTATTTTTCTTCTAATTCTATGCTTTATTTATTCATGTAAACTGTGTTTACCTGTTCCCTGCTTTTCCACCTTTTTTATATTTTAGGTCATTGGCTCTTTGGTTCCAGATCCTCATAACCAGGAAGCCATAGTCATTGAGAATATACCTGATCCTCTTGCTGGAGAGCAGGTAGATAATGAAATCTCATCCCTTTTATTATTCCTTTTTTTAAGTTTATGTATTCATCTGTCTTTTTTTACCCGTTTTCTATAAACATTATTTTTTCATTTTAATATTTTTAATACTAAGACCAAATGGTTTACCAAAAGAAATTCTGAAGACTAGCCAAAATGACCTATCAATTGTTGCCCAATTGTTTTTACTGTTGATTGGTCAACAACAACCTTCCCCCCTCTTCTGTTTGAATGTCTGATTCTTCTGTTTAATATTTTGGGTATCATTACTTTTCACTAGACATGGCCAACAGAGGCTGAAATTGCTAAGGCTGATGAAGATGGAAAGAAGAAGATAAAAAAGAGGAGTCTTCCCCGTGGCACTTCAGAATATCAGGTCTGAACTTTTTTTATTCACTTATTTCATAGTGGTTTTTGATGACCTATTTGTTTTAATTTTTATTTTTTTTGGCTTACCAAATATCCAGTATAGAAATAATAGAATGTAGATTTTATTTAAATTTTCAGGCTGCATGGATTGTTGATGATTCTGATGAGGAGGAGTCAGATTGTGACGATGAAAATGATGATCATATGTTGTTGGATGAAGGGCAAGAAGGGTTTTCTGCTCAAGAGGGAAATAAGTATTCAGAATTTGATGATGACGCTTCACTTAGATTTGGAGATTCTGAGGAAGAAACTGACAATGATTCAGTTATGATGGTGAGGTTCTAGAAAACACTTGTTACATAAATGTTTGTCATTGTTGGACAGTCTCTGGTTCTCCCCCCACACCTTGGTCTGCTAAGCTTTTTCTAAACTTTTTGGCAGGCATTTCTTCATTTAATGTGTGTTTGTGGTGGGGATTAATTGACATGGTTGTTTGATAGCCATATTATTCATTAATTTTAAGAGCGACCTTTAGTAGTTGCCATCATTGGATCATTGTTAAATTTTATGAGCTTGTGCACCACACAAGCTTTTAATACAGTAGATTTTGTGAGAATTTCATTAAACCTACTGTTATTCATTTGTGCACAATTCATTTTAATGGATTCTAAACTCTCATCTATATTATCAATGCATGACTACTTTTCTGTTGTATATTACAGGAAGTGGATAACATGACCAGAGAGAAGATACAAGATGAACTAAAGGAACTTAAAGAAGCACATGCTGCAGATGAAGGTGCATTTCTTTCCTTTTCTATTTTTATTCAAATTTATTGGTCTCATTTGCCTCTTTTTGAAAAAGGCATGAATGTTTGGTCTGCCTATGTCTAAAAGTTATCCAAATGAGTTTATTTTTTAAAATTTCTACTTTCTTATTCATACCTTTTGTATTTTGTTGGGAAGTTTGCCTAAGATAACCAGGAATGAGCCTATGAATATAATGATACTCTTTCTAATGTGCTGCCTGTCATTTGTTTGTTTTCTTGTTGCAGAGTTTCCTGATGAAGTGGATACCCCATTAGATGTTCCTGCCAGGAAGCGGTTTGCAAAATACAGAGGACTCAAGTCCTTTAGGACTTCTTCATGGGATCCTAAAGTATGTGTGTTGGAAATTCTTTATATTTAGTTTTTGTCTCTTACCTTAAAATATTTCTGACATTTCTAATAATATCAGGAATCTCTACCCCAAGATTATGCCAGAATTTTTGAATTTGATAATTTTAAAAGAACACAAAAACATGTTCTTGCTAAAGCCTTAGAACTGGATCAAGAAAACCGGAAGGACTGTATTCCAGTTGGCTCATATGCTAGACTGCATATCATGGGAGTGCCTAGTGCTGTTGCTTCAAAGTTATGCATGCTTGCAAAGACAATACCAGTTACAGCATGTGGCCTGTTGAAGCATGAGTCCAAAGTATCTGTTCTTCATTTCAGGTGATTTTGTGTCATTATTTTACCATTTGCATTGTGCCCTCCCTCTAAGTTATGGTCCTTTCTGAATATTCAAAAGATGTGTCATGAACCAAAGTCACTTGTGTTTTGTAGTGTGAAGAAGCATGAAACATATGATGCACCCATCAAATCCAAGGAAGAGTTGATATTTCATGTAGGGTTTCGGCAATTTGTTGCCAGGTAGGGTAGTCAATTTGAACAACCATGGCGTATAATATATATTGTATAATATATATCTTTTTTTGGGAGAAATATTTAGTTAATTGCAAATTTTTGCAGGCCAATTTTCTCTAGTGAATTCATAAATACAGACAAGAACAAGATGGAGAGATTTCTCCATGCTGGGCGCTTTTCAGTTGCTTCAATCTATGCACCAATTTCATTTCCTCCTCTTCCTTCAATAATCCTAAAGAGAACTGGAGGGGATGCTGCACCTGCAGTGGGTGCTGTTGGCTCACTGAAAACTGTTGATCCAGATAGGATAATCCTTAAGCGGGTTATTTTGACAGGGTATGTTGTTGATATTTGTCAAGACCTGTTCTGTTTTCTTTTTTTTTTTGTCTTATTTCCAATACTGATTCTTAGTGGAAATGTAACTATTGCCACTTTTAGACTTACATCATCTTTGTGAAAATCGATTATTGAATTTATGTGTTGCTTATTTGGAGTGTTCAAACATTTTTGTGGTGCAGTTACCCCCAAAGAGTATCAAAACGTAAAGCTTCTGTGAGACACATGTTTTATAATCCAGAGGATGTTAGATGGTTTAAGGTGAAATTATATTTTACCCAATTTATGGATCTTTAAATTTTACTAGGATGGTAGCAAAGAGAATTGAAAGAATTTACTCCCCAAAATTTGGTTTCCATTGTCGTCATCCTAATGAGATTTTAATGTCGGTGGTGATTGCAGCCTGTTGAGCTTTATACAAAACGTGGTCTTCGTGGGCGAATTAAAGAACCTGTTGGTACACATGGTAAGTTAGTAATGTTTGAAATCCTTATCATTAATCTTACTATGAACATTCTGGCAACTAGTTATTTTAGGGTCAAAATATATTATATGTTGCTTGATTGCACATGTACATGTGCTTTCCATGATTCTCAGTGACAATTTTTATGTTTTCATTTATTATTTCTGCTTGTTGCCTGTCATATTTGATCATATTCTTTTATTGCTGTTTAGGAACAATGAAGTGCCTTCTCAATGGGGTTCTTGAACAGCGTGATACTGTGTGTATGAATTTATACAAACGTGCATACCCGAAGTGGCCAACCCATCATTTTCCCTTATCACAATAGTGATGGGATGGCTGTTGAATTCTGTTATTGGTCAAGGAATTCAGAAGAAAGCCAATTGTATATTGATTGGGAATGAAGCTATGGTTCAGATTGATTTCCTCGTATGGAGGATGTAGTTTAGTGACAATTTACTTACTTTTTTTCCACCCCCTTTTGCCCATGTGCTCCCTTTTTGTATTTGCATACAGGAGTATTGAAGTGTAATAGTTATTCCCATGTACGTTTAAAAGTACTTGGGTAAATGTGTTAATTTTTGTTTTTCAAGGACCATATTTTTTTCATTCCTGAACGAAGTGCATTTTAATGTAGGCAACATCATACTCCTTATGAACTTGGGATGTATTGACCCACTTGAAGTTATTGGTTTGAACCTTTCAGTCGATAGTTATTATCTATTGGAAGTGCTTAATTTGAAGTATTATTGAGTCGGGTTTAGTTCTAAGTTTGAAGCATTTTTGTCTTTGGTTCTTCGCGTCTAAAGACTTGTTCCGTGTTTTAAACATACAAATATACAAGTATGTTTTTACGCGGGCAATGCAGCTAGTCAAATTTATTTTTACACTTAAATTATAAAAAATAATTAAATTTAAATTTAAATATATATTATACAATAAAAAATATATAATTTTAATAATTTAAATATTATTATTTGATATGTTAAGTATTTATACTTGTACATATACACACGACACTTGTATGCATAGTGGGAAGGGATCCAATTGCAATTGAAAGTGTTATATGTGTGTGTGTGTGTGTGTGTGAGAGAGAGAGAGAGAGAGAGGATTAAATTGTTTTAGGTGTAATTTTTGTTAAAATTATCCTGCTTAATAACTAATTATTGAGTCATTAATTTAAATAATAAAAAAGGATTTGCTGTTGTAGGGAAAATAATCATTTAAAAAAAATTATACACACATTTAGGAATTATTGGCAACTTTGTTGTTATTGTCTTATATTTCATTTTAGTATTGAAAATATGTTAACAAAAAAAAAAACTGTAGCAAGATTGAAAGAGAAAACTGAATTAAAATTCGTTTTTAAGTGAAATTTTAGGCTGGTGGAAGGTAGTGTGAAGTGAAAAAGAAGGTGAAGACAAAAATTAGAGAAAATAATAAGAGATTAAAGATATATATATATATATATATATATATATTATAATTAATTATAAAAATATAAATACTTTCTACCGTGAATCATGTGATATCATATTTTTATTTGAAAAACTAATGATACTATCATTAATTAGAAATACCTGTGATAAAATGTCAATTTAAATTTTATTAAATAATACTATCACTTTTTTTTTATATCATAATTGCCTATAACTTCCACCCCCTCCTTCACTCTCAATAAAATAAATGTTACTGATTGTTCTAATGAAGTTAAAAGTGAAATTTTTATAATAAATAAATTTTATTTTATAATATTTAATACAGTAAGCATGTTTTTTAAGAATTTTTGTATTTTTAATTATTTAACCAGTTTCATAAGGACACTGAGTAACAAAATCTAAAGAATATAACAAACGAACAAATCATGTTTTTTCAACGAGTAAATATTTATTTTAGTTTCTAAGTAAAATGTAAGTATTGATATTTTTGTCGTTAGCTTTATAAAAATCTCACTTTAATTTTTAACTTTACGAAATCACATTTATATTAATTCTATTTAATACAAAATGACATTAAAAATAACATAAAAAGGATTAAAAATAAATATTTTTTAAGATATTAAAGACTAAAGTGAATTTTTTTTTATAAAATTAAGTGTTAAATTGACAAATGTTAGCTTGCAAACTCAACGATTAAATTGAATATTATTAAGAAAACAACAACTTTTGCACAAAATTAAATTTGTTTATTACAACTTATTAGTTGATGCTTTTTTCACTGTTGATTCCTACCATAGTTTTACATAAAGATCACTCTTAATTATGGCATCTTAATCTATCTTCTATTCTTTTTCATTATTATATTATTATTATTATTTTGAAACTAATTAAATTTGATATAATCTGAATTGATACGTTGAATTTTGTAAAATCCAACAATATTAATATTGAAAAATAAGATTGCACTTATTTTATTTTATACAAAAGATTGCCCCAGTGTTGTTGTCAAACAATTTCTTAAGCAAATAATGATAATTTATAGGTTTCAAACATAAGGTATGTGTCTAAAAAATTTGATACCTTGAGGAGAATTTATGTTTAAAGTCTAGTTTAATACAACCAATTGATTTTTATTTTATTTCTTTTACCTTTATGAACTATAAAATTGTTTATCAAATTTTATGATTGATTCATCTTACGCATTTTAGTACATAATTAGTTTAAAATACAATTTAATTAGTTTTAGTTTGAAATGAATTTCTTTTTACATTAACGAATACAACAAAATGAGTGATATTCTTTAAACAATACATGTATTTGAAAATAAACATAATCTATTTATATAATTTAATACTGGTGGAATATTATTTTCTTATTTTAGCGCTTTCTCTGTGTATTCAAATTTAAAGTTCAATCAAGATCATCTTTCTCAATCGAAGAAACTAGTAAACTACTTTAAATTACTGTACAAGACTTTTATAACACTTTCGAAACTCACTTGATATCTTCAATTCTTCAAAGAATAAAAAATAGAATGTATAATTAGTGTGCATTGAAAGAGGATAATAATAAATCAACTATAAAAATAAAATAAAATGTTTGAAAAATAAGAAGCAAATAAGGGGAAAAGAGATACAAGAGAGAGAACACTACCAGAAACACGTTTTATATAGACGGATTTTTTTTGTCTGTAATACATACTGTTTTATTAAATTATTTATAGACAAATTTTTCTTGCTATGATGTGTGAAATCACACATCAAAATCGTGTCTACTCCTTTTTCTTCTTCTCACTTTTCATTATTTCTTCTTTTTTTCATCTTCCTGTCTTTGTCTCTCTCTAGCATTATCAGTTTTTTTGGCATTTGCAAGTGGTTGGAGCATTCATTTGAAAAATAATTTGTATCATTGTGGTACGATACTTTAACTTTTAATCGATTTAATTTTTTAATTTTTGATGTATAATAGAGACTTAAAATTTTTAAGATAGAGTTGTAGGACTAGAGATTGTATGACTGGGGGATAGGTATAGAGGTCTTTTCCTGAACCAGATTGTTGTGTGTTATGGGGTTGTTTGTACTTGCAGAGATTGTAGAATATGCATGTTGTATGTTGTGAAGTTATAAGAGGATATGCTCAAGAACAGTTTAGGATTGTGATGTGTATATTTTTTATGAATTGATTAATAATAGATTGTTATATAATATATAGCTTATGTGCAAAGGAAATGTAGAGTTTTGTATCAAGTACGAGAACAAGATAAGGAAATATACATATATACAAGGGAGATTCTGCCAAAACTTACATTAAAAATTTGTTGTATTAACGTGTAAACAAATATAAGAAAATATTCGTATATTAGGAGAGATTCTGCCAAAATTTATATTATAAATTTGTTGTATTAAGTGTAAACAAATATAAATTGGGGGAGATTATGCTGAAATTTACATTAGAAATTTGTTATATTAAGTATAAACAAATATAATAAAATATTCATATATTAGGGGAGATTCTGCTAAAATTTACATTAGAAATTTGTGTAATATAAAATAAAAGGTTGATACAACATTGTGTATTTGTGTATTTGGTCTCTAAACATGTTTTATATTTGATTTAGATATGGCAGGTAAAGGCAAGAAAGGTGTTGCTCAGCGTCCTAATCGTGACAACACTCTTTCACCTACTACGCTCACTTCCACTTCCACTTCCACACCAACACTCGAAGAGACATCTTCTCAAGATTTAGAGTCAGTTAATGAGGATACTATATGGTCAGAGACGGTGGGTGGTCTTTATAAAGGTCACATTTATGGCATAGAGAGCCACTTTACAAACTCCATATCCCCTATATCTGTTATCGGAGATGCCCCTTCTCTTGCACTTGAGGAAATGGAGGACATGGTCCGCACTCAGATCCATGTCCTCAATGAAAAACTGCAGAAGCAAAATGAGGAGATGTGGAAGATCAAGAAAAGTGCATGGAAGAAGAAGTGGGTGCAAAAAATAGAGAAGAAAATAGAGAAAAAGGTGAGCTCGAGGATGCAGAGAGAGGTACAATAGCAGCATATGCAGATGCAGCAGATGTATGCATATTTTGAGCTTATGAGAGCAACCAGCTCTACACCTCTTCCTCCTCTTCCACTAGCTCCAACACCATCAATCTTTAACTCCTCATTCCTCCTCCAACTCCTCCCTCCACTGATCTTGATACTTTTTCAGAAAATGATCACACCGATTATTAGTTATATACAATTTTTATTTTATTTTTGACATTATTTATTGAGATGTTCATTTCTTCATTTGTAATAACATTTTAATTTTATATTTTATAAATAATTTCTAATTTTAAATATATAATTTATAGTTTTTATTATGTTTATAATTTATGATAATTAGGAATAGCGAGGAATAATTATGTATATAAAAAAATTAAATTTTTTTTTGAAATTTCACAAATGGATTATATATAAATTTTTTTCGTCTCTCATTTATAGACGAAATTTTCTGTCTATAACTTACAGATGAATTTTTTCGTTTATAACTTACAGACGGATTCAAAAATTTGTCAGTAATTATTTATTGACACACATATTACAGACGGACTAGAATTGTCTGTAAATCTGTCTTTAATGTTAAAATTTATCTATAATAATTAAAAAATCTATCTATATTTACAGGTTTTCTAGTAGTGGAATAAATAAAATATGAGTTTAATTTTAATATTGTTAGTGTAAAAAAATTGTATACTATTAATTAGTTAAAATAAATCATAGATATTATTTGTATATTAATTATTACTAAAGCTAACTATTATTTTGAATATGGTCATCCATGATTGGATGATAATGTAAATAGTTAGTATATTTTTACTAAATTCTAAAATATTAGACAATTTAATTATTTTAAGAAGTTATGAAAAATAATGAATACAATTACCAACGAATGCACCTATTAAAACTTATAACAATGTCTTAGAATGAAACTAAGAATTAATAGCGATTATTATGTTGATAATAAATTTAATTTAATAAGCATATATATTTTAAATGTAAATTATTATTTATTAACTTAAATTTGTAATAAGTAAAATTTATTAAAAATATATAAAAACTTCTTGGGGTCTTATGTGACTTGGGGATTTAGACAAATGAGTTATTGGCCAAAAGTGTTACACCACCTTCTTATAAGGAGTTTTTAAAATTATATTTAAAATATATCATGAGTGTAAGAAAGAAAAGAATACATAATATTTATAAATTTTATTTACATCCTGAGCCGGCAAAATGGGCCAGCCCGATGAATTGGGCCAAAAAAACCCGTAAAATAGGCGAGTTTGAGTTATAAAAAATAAGACTCGAAATTACCTTGGGTCATTTTGGTCTAATCCAAATAAGCCTGGTACCCGATAGGGCTTTAACTGGGTTGGCTCATGCAGGTTCGGACAGCCTATATATATATATATATATATATATATATATATATATATATATTGAGATTAAATTCTGAGTTTTAAGGAGTTTGGAAGAGAATATATTTTAGTTTCAAAATCCTAAAATATATGTTAATGAAAAAGAAATCATTACTCTTGATGATTCTAAGCTTTCTCAAGAAGTTCCATGTTTTTAAATTTTGATATTTAAATCTTTGATGGACTTTTTTTAATCTTTGTGAACTTGCTTTATATTTTTGTGGACTTATTGTGTGTATAAAAATAAAAAATTGGCTGTTACAAAAATAAAAAAATAAAAAAACCAAATAAATGGTCTAATATAAAAATTAGACAACAAAAACGAGTGGTCTATTAAACTTTTGCAAAAATAGCTTAAAATAACCTATTACAAATACTAAAATTAGCAATAAAAATAATGATTTGTTGTTATAAAAATAGTAAAAAAAATGACATGTTACAAAAATAAAAATAAAAATTATTTGAGTTGTCGGACCAGCCCTTAAAAGCCCGTAGCCAGCATAGGGTAAGACTTGGGCAATAAAAATATAAGCCAATTTTTATCTTGAACTAATTAAGCCTGACCCGTTTGAGCATATTACCCGTATTGGGCTGGACTGGGCTAGGTTGGGCTGAACCGCCCATTTTGACAGCTCTTCCTCGTAGCTTGTTAACTTTTTCAATAACAAATTTTGATTAAGTACGGGTAAATCTTTAAAATGTTTGAATAAAAGTGAGTTTATTTATTTTTTATTTAGACCAATAATATTTTTTAAGGAGTTTCATTTCTTTTAGTTTAAAGCACATGTATTATTTATTGAAAGCAACTATGTTTCATTCACTAAAATTTGAACTTAAAATTACAGGTTAAAACGATAAAACCTCCTACTAATTAATTCATGTGTTCAAATTATAGAATTTTGATTTCTTTAAATAAAGTATCAAGTCTTAATATTATAAATAATAAAAAAAGTTTTAAGATAATTTTATCAGCCCTTTAACGATTTCTCCTAACTTAACTTCTATTAGTTGGGATCCAATATAGTCTTGGGAGATTGAAGATTTCAATTCTCAAGTTTAAAAGGTTAAAAAAAAAGGGAGCTTAATGCTTTGTCCAACTTGTATATGCATATGTGAGGTTCAATGAACAATCCCAGATGGTTAGGACTCTATACCTCCTTCATCCTTTGCCAATTTGGTCATTCTCTTGCCCCTTTCATATTAATTTTGTGTATGTATTCTTAGATTTGGTTAGGACTCTACATCCTTGATCCTTTTCCATGTAACTTAATTTTTTATCTTTCTATATCTCTTGCCCCATTTATTTACCAAAAAGAAAAGCAAAATAAAGGGGGAAAAAAATCAATAATGATCAAGATGACTCATGATAACCATTTTTTTCCCCTTCACTTAACACTATCTGTTCTATCATCAACCTCCCAATTAATACAATCACTATATATCAATGAATTTTTCCCCACCTTGTCCCTTTTTTTTTACAATCAAGGCTTGGGGCCTAGCTAATTAATCAATTCATCTACTCTATTGCACTATTTTCTCTTATCTCATAGATGCATGCCCCTACCTTAGTAAGAACTACTTGGCATGCATCGCATGCACATGCATTCAACTAAATACACCCCATCACTCGTATTAGATTCTTCATAGCATCCTGCATATATAATTCCTTTAAGATTTCAAAGGTATTTTCACTTTCTTTAGACCAATTTTAACCATTACCCTTTTCTTCCTCGTACTCATGTTGTGACTTGTTAGCAACATCTTCATGATGGTGTTCTTGGCCTTCATTGTCTATCTCAATAACTGCTCCAAAATGAACATGGCGGTCTTCTCCAACAGGAGAATTGATAGGGTTTTTTTCACAAGAGTTGGTAACAGCAGTTGTTGGTGCATGTTTTGGTGTCCTCACATCTTCATGATCATGATTATGATAACGACCATGATCATGGTGTTCATCAAATTTGGCATTGATGTGATCAAAGCATCTATACAAATAGATTAGAAGCCAACAGAACCATGGGATGGCAACCAAGGTCATGCCAGCAATGAGATAGAATCGTGCAAATGTTGAATTTGGCAATATTATGTACATACAAAGAAAGATCCCTCCTCCAATGGTGCATGCCAAGAAAATTCCAGAGATGAGATATACTCTAACATCTCCTTTTCTATCTCCCATTGAAGAGGAAGAGTAGGATGATGGGAAGATCAATAATGATCACTCTCTTTGTTTCTCTTTGTAGATCTCTCTCTCTTGTTTTGTTTTGTTTTGTTTGAGGATTTTCCAGTAGCTCAAGAATGGTGGTTTGATAGAAATCACATGATGATGATAGACAATTTCAAACAAAGGGATAAATTTGAAGCGTTGAAATCGGAAGAAAGTTTATTGGTCAAGCAAATATTACGCTCGAAGAAGCCCAACTTTTTTAATTTATATGATTCTTATCATGCTTTGCTGAATAAATATTCCTTCTTCACTGTGTCCTTCAATAAATAAAAATTTGTTTATCAGGTACCATTATAAGATATATTTTATACATTTTCTTATCAATATATTTTATTTTCATTTCTCAATCAATGCTAAAAATGCCCTGAAATTTCAAATTGATTCATAAAAGATAAGTTAAAGATTCTTTTAATTTAGTCCCTAAAAAATATAATGTTAAAATTAGTCTTGTAAGGTGTGATTTTTCATTTATTTAATCTTCTTGTTAAAAGATAAATCTAATTAAAAATTATTTATCATTGACTAAAATTTATTAAAAATCACAAGACTATTTAAGTTTCAATTATTTTAAAAGCTCTTATAATTTTATATTTCTAAAAAATATTTAACCAATAATGAATAGTATATTACAAAGAGTGTATTATTAATATTCTCATCTTAAAATTTATTAGTTTCATGTAAAAAGTGTTTTTAGTCGCCATAGCATTCTCAAATTGACATAAATTAAAAATGTATTAACACATTACATTGCAATAACACCATACATCATCGTTTGTATAAGTGCATGTTAATTAACTGTATTATTTAAGGATCCATTATTTTTGTTTATGCATATGAAAAAAATTATATATTAAAAAAGATTGTACACACTTTGATGACTTAGCTATCTAAAAAGAATTATTAATTTTTATTTTCGGCTAAAAGATATCATTTATACATACTATTAACTGATTTTGAGAAGGAAATAATATATAGGGTTTAAAATAAGTAGAGATTGACATTATTAGCAGCAGATTAAGCAAGAAAATGGTATTTAAAAACTTACCTCAAGAATATTTCTTTTGTACACAATAAGCCTTACGAAGAAGAAAGGACAAAAGGGGACAAATGAATGAGAAAAAGGGCAAAGTGCATGTTGGAAATCAAAATTGTGCACCCAATATTCATATTTTATAACTTTATTAATTGGGCTTACTCGAAGAAAAATATTTTAAAAGTAAATGACATTTTATTTAAAAAGACATGTAAATTTAAGGAGAGGCAATATAATTGTTAATTTTTTATTTTAAAAATAAAGAAAGATATTTTTATATTATTATTTTTTATATTGAGTTTAGCATTAATTATCCAATAACAGATTAAGAGAAGTATTCAACTTTGAAGATAGCATTTTATGATGGAAAATGGGTTTATAAAAACTTTGTAAGCACTCATTCATCACCAATATAATTTGTGCTGGGTCCCGAAAGCATATTAATATATATTTTTTAATTATTACATATATCATGTTATATTATAAAGTCTGGCATAATTAATAAATGGCTAAATTTTTAAAGCAAATTGACGGACCTGCCCATAATATACAGAAAAACCTTTAATTAAGAAAATTATACTTACTTAAGGAGTAAAATTAATATTTTTATCATTTAACTTTAAAATACTTCAACTTTATTTCAATTTATTTTGGTCTTTTAATATAAAAAAAACACTTTAAATATTTTTTTATAAAAATATTACTGTTATTAAAAAATATTACTACTTGTTCAGTTTATGTACTGTTTATTTTCTTTTTCAGACTTTTGATATGAAAATTTTACTTTATTTCTTACTTTATGTAAATATTAGAATGATGGATTCTATAATTCAAAAACTAAGACGGCTAATTTTATAATTTTAAAAATTAAAATGATTTGTTTTAGTAATTTTAAAGACTGAAAATTTATTTTTATAATTTTAGAAACTAAATAATAAATGTTTAAGAAAGTTAATATAATTTGCAGATTAACACCACTCCATTTTTATGCTTTGAACGATTGATTTAGTGATTTAATAAATTGAATTAAGGGCCTAATTTTATTATAATAGTTTTTCAATCTGACTGACATTAGCAAGAATTTGCATATAATGGATTAGCAAGAACTTGCATATAATAGATTTTTGACTAAACTAGCATTTTAGTCTCTTTTGAGTTCAGCAATTTAGTTCTTAAGACATTTAAAATATCACATTAGTCCACAACTTCCTTCTCCGTGATGCATTTTAGTTCCTGACGTTAGACCTCGTTAAGAGACCGTCACAGAAGGCTGAGCTGTCACGTTAAGTGCTACATCAGCATCCCAGTTGGCAGCAACGACATCGTTTTGGAAGTTGACGTGACATAGATAAATGCGAAACGGTGTCGTTGTAATTGAAACACTTTTGCCCAAATTGAATCAAACATTTTCTGATTATTGTCGAAGAACCCTACCCTAATTCCAGGCTCTCTGTCGCCCAAATTCTTATTCGTGGTTGTGTTTGGGGGTAAAAAATTTGATGATTGAAGTTTGTTGTTGTTGAAGAAGTGCCAACACATGGAGAATTCGATAAAAAAAAATTTTCTTAATTCATTGAGTCAATTTTTTGGTTAGGGACAAAGAACCCTAACTGTTCAATATTTTGGGGACGATGAACCATAAGTGCTCATTGTTTTGGGGACGACGAAGCCTATCTGTTTTCTTTCTTCTTAATAAGTGTCAATATGGTTATTGAAAAATATTTTTTGTTTGTTATCGAGAGATGGTAGGAAGTGGTCCCTGGTAGGTAGTGGTCCCCTTATGTTTCCTGTAACTTGTTATTTTTTAAAATTAAAGAAGATAATGTTAATGAAAGTGGTCCCTTTCTGCATGGTTTAACCCATTTTCCTATGTACGTGCATGAAAGTCATTGTTTATTCAGTAAATTAGTTTAAATTTGCAAAAGATTGCTAACTTTATTGATAATTGTTTCTCTGTAAATGCAGTCAATTAAGTTTTACATTCACCATAGAGGAAAATTTTTGGAAGAAAATGGAATTAAGAAGGAGTATAGGTAGGATAAAATTGAGGTTTGGGCTGATGTTGATGAAAATATGGTTGATATCTTTAGCTTCATAAACTTTGCCAAGGCAATGGGGTATTTCAATAACATAAAAAATATATTCTGGTCTGACCCTGATAAAGAGTTTGATGAATGTTTGAAATTATTAAAATATGATACTGATGTATTGGAAATGTGGTTGTTGCTAAGAGGAATAGAAGAGAGATGCATGTCTATTATGAGCATGAGATAGGTAGATCACAATTGCTTGAAGACAGTGAAATTCTAATGTTGGAAGGCCCTGAAGGTGATATTGCAGCAATGAAAGAAGAAATTCAAGTTGAAGAAGCAACAATAGAAGAAGAAATTCAAGTTGAGCAACCAGCAATGGAAGAAGGTTTTGAAGTTGAACAACCAACAACAGAAGAAGTACAAGTTGCACAACCAGCAATGGAAGAAGTACAAGTTAAAGATGTAATAGTTGAAGAATTAGAAGTTGAAGTTGATAAGAAACAACAAAAGAAAAAGGCAAAAGAAAAGTAAATTGGAAAGGGAAAAGGAAAAGGTATCTTTAGTAAATCAGCTGGGGAAATAAGAAGAAGAAGTTTGCAAATTAGAGCCATGAAAGAAAACGTTCAATCTGCTACATCAGAGAAAAAACAGGAAAAAAAAAAGCATGGGAAACAAAAAAGGAAAAGGGAAATAGGCAAAAAAAACTAAAGGAAAAGGTAAAGAAAAAATGACCTATATTGATGAAGAAGATTATTTACACCAAGAACTTTATGAAAATACTATAGAAGATGTAGAAGAGGTGGGTCATAGGGAAACTCCAGAAAGAGAAGAGCATTCTGAAAATTTATGGAGGTCTGAAGAATTAAGAACTCCAGCAAACTCATCAGATGAAGAGGATAGTAACAAACAAGTTTTTTCCAAATTTAATGAATCTGAAAAATTTGAAAATGTTTACTTGGAGCTTGGAATTGAGTTTGAAAGTTTATAATCTTTCAAAAAAGGTGTTAAGGATTATACAATTCAGATGGGAAGAGAAATAAGGTGGGTAAAAAATGACAAAGTGAGAGCAAGAGCTAAGTGCAAATATGAAAACTGCAAGTGGGAAATATATTGTGCAAAAAATAATGTCACACATAGCTTCCAGATCAAGACTTTTCTCAGTAGCACATTTGTGGCAAAGTTTTTAAAAACAAACAAGCAACACAAGATTGAGTTGTAGGTAAGCTTGTTATAAAACTAAGGAAACACCCAAATATGAAACATTCTGAAGCTGTTGAGTACTTTAAAAAGAAATTTGGTGTGCAGATAAAAGATACCAAAATATACAGGTCAATGGTTAAGGCAAGAAAGATTGTAGAGGGAAGTGAGAAAGAATAATTTGCAAAGTTATGGGACTATTGTGGAGAACTTTTGAGAAGTAATTCGGGTTCAACTGTCAAAATGGAAATTGATCCTCAAGTTGAAGGTCCACCACAGTTTAAAAGATTGTATATATGTCTTGCTGGGTGTAAAAATGGCTTTAAGGCTAGATGCAGACCAATGATAGGGGTTGATGGTGCATTTTTAAAAGGTTATTACCGAGGACAGTTGTTGACAGTAGTGGGACAAGCTGCTAATAATCACATATGGGTAATAGCCTACGCTATTGTAGATGTTAAAAATAAGGAGAATTGACAATGGTTTTTATCACTCTTACATGAAGATATGAGAGATTATAAGCAACATGGTTGGAATTTCATATCTGACATGCAGAAGGTAAACATCTACGTAGGATATAATTTCTCATTACTTAGAATTGACAGGGATTGAATTGCATGTTAAGAGGACTGCAAGTAGACCTAAGAAACAAAGAAGAAAAGATGAACAAGAAAAGCAAACAACTGAGAATCCACAGAAACATAAATTGAAAAGAAAATTGCCACAGGTTAGGTGTTCATGTTGTGGAGTTCTAAACCACAACAAACAGACTTGTCTTGTACTGAAAAAGCAAAGAATAGAAGACTCTCAAGCCCAACACAACAACTCAACACAACAGTTCATCACCATTCCTGCAGAAGAAGTCTCAACACAACAATTTTCTACTGTACCTACAAAAGAAGGGCCAACAGATGCAGTACCACAAGAAAAGAGCGGTAGAATTAGGCCTAAATTAACCACTAGGACAAGGTCAATTGCTGCAAATGTTCCCACATCACCTCAGCAAAAAAGTCCACCACCACATTCACCAAATGAAAAGGGAGATGACTCTACAAAAGTTGCACATTTCATGCCAACACCTGGAATTAGGACTGCAGAATGAGTTGTTCTGATTATGTTACTTGTTTTCATTATTTTTTACGTAACAAGTTTGTATTATGTAAGACTTCTGTCATTTGGACATGTTTTATTTGGAATAGTTATTTTGATTGAACAAGTTGTCATTTCAATTATTTATTTCCACTGAAGTGTTATTTTATATTTATGAATGTCTGTTATTTATGGTTTAGTTGTCTTTGCTTCATTCATGACCCAAATCAACAGTTAGAACTCCAGCTTATATAGCACCAGAGGTTTGATTGCATTAGAATTGACAGGGATTGAATTGCATGAATAATTCATCAGTTAGGGACTAAATTGCATGATTTTTATTATATTAAGGACTAAAATGAACTTCGTATTTTACTGCAATGTTTGATTCCAGCTTTGCAATAACTGATGTCAGGTGCACACCATAAGTTTTGTGTGTGACATCTATGGCTTTGTAAGCAATTGAAGGATGAAGTCTTCAAGCACCTTGTATGGGAATGTTAAATCTTCAGTTCTATGTTTCATTTTTCTTTGGCGAGAACTGTTCAAAATCTATCTTGTCAATATGCCATCTATTAAATGATAAAAAAATTCAATAAAAAAAAATATTTTTTACTTCAGTGCTCTCCTCTTTCCTTTCAAATCACACATATTTGATCCACTTATAATGCATTCTAAATTGTAAATTCATATAGCCTCCAAGTTACTTTTACTTGTTCATAGTTATCAGTACTTGACAGAACAGGCTAACAAATTACTTTGCTTCATTCTTCTTTTCATCAATTTTTTCACTAAAATATAAATGAAATGAGGGTCAACAATGATTACAAAAGCATTCTTTATTAATATTAAAACAAAATTTTATCCAATTCTTACAACAAAGTACATGACAATACACATCAAAATACAAATAATTTGTACAAACAACTTTAATATCTTAATTTCAGCCTCTAAATATGTTTGACAGCCAAATTCTTCATCCATTCTTCATTCACAGCTACTGCACTTGTAAGAGGAGACGTTACTTGAGAGGTTGCATAATTAGCAGCATTATAACTATCTTCCATACTATTTTTGTTATCAGCCCATGCAAAATAATTGCAATGTTCACCAACCTACATCATGTGTAACAAGTAATTTAATTTAATTTATCAGAAATAACAATCGAACACAACAATAAATTAACTTTGTTTACCATATATTTGGGACATCTAAAGAACAATCTTCCAAGATTAGCTTTTGTTTGTGAAATTCTAATAGCTGCTTTCAACCCACAATGACAAATCTTGCCATTTCGTTTCTTATTTTGTTCTAATGATGACCTTGAAGCAGAACTCATTAGAGGGCTTCTATTGCTATTACTAGCCATATAAAGTATTGGAAACCAAAATTGTGCAAAGAAGGCACGAACCTAATAATAGAAGCAAGAAACCCCAACAATAGAGGAACGGAAGAAACCCAACAAAATCAAGTAACTCAATTGCAACCATGAACCCTAACCCTAATGGTGGAAGAAGACCAGCGGCGCAACATATATTCAGAAAATGTTTAATTCAATTTGGGCAAAAAGGTTTTAATGACAACGACACCGTTTTGCATTTATCTGTGCCATGCCAGCTTTCAAAACGACGTCGTTGCTGCCAACTGGGATGCTGATGTAGCACTTAACGTGACAGCTAACCTTCTGTGACGGTCTCTTAACGGGGTCTAACGTCAGGACTAAAATGCATAACGAAGAAGGGAGTTGTGGACTAATGTAATATTTTAAATGTCTCAAGGACTAAATTGCTGGATTCAAACTTTCTCAGAGACTAAAATGCTAGTTTAGTCTAGATTTTTGCTTTTTTTTAAAAACTTTTTAAATTATTTTATGTTTTTAAATCTTAAATAATATTCAATGAAAGTAATAATCCTATTTGAATGGTTTTCTTTCAAACTTAAATTCAAAATTACATGTTAAGTTAAGATAAGTCTTGCATGTTTAATAATAATTATATTATATTTTAATTTCACGGTTAATCATTTAAAATTTTAAATAAAAATGTAAAAAATTGAGAATATTAAATAAAAAACTAAAATTTAAAAATTTAAAAAAAGATTTAATTAAATAAATAAAAAAATATAGTAACATGCTTACGGTGCACAATTAAATTTTTTATGAGATACTTATATTTAAAAATAAATAAAAAATATATAATAAATTTGTATTAAAAATTATATAATTAATATATTAGATTTTTTTATTCTTTTTAAAATGTTATCGATTAATTTTTAATATTTAAATCTAACCTTTAAAAAATTCTCACAACACACTACCTGAGATTATTTTTTAAATATTTTCAATTATTATTAACTGCTGATAAAATTGAATATATTTGAACTGATAAATAAAAGAACTTAAACTGATAAAAATCTAACCTGTGTGACTTGTTTGTGTGAAGAAACAAAAGAATTAAAATTGGAGTGGAGAAGTGGAGATCAGCAAAAGCAGGGGAAAGATCGCTCTGAGATCAGCGTTGTTGAGTTGAATGGCGGAATTCGTAGATCTGGAATCGCAAGACGGCGTGCGAATGCCATGGAACGTGATCCCAGGCACAAAGCAAGACTCGCTAAACGCCGTCGTTCCGATATCTGCCATATACACTCCAATCAAACACTTCCCATCAATGCCTCTCCTCCCTTACACGCCTCTCCGCTGCCGCACGTGCCGATCCATTCTGAATCCCTTCTGCATCGTCGACTTCGCCGCCAAGATCTGGATCTGCCCCTTCTGCTTCCAACGCAACCACTTCCCCACTCACTATGCTTCCATCTCCGACCAGAACCTCCCCGCAGAACTCTTCCCTCAATACACTACCGTCGAATACGACACCGTTAACGACCCTTCCCCTCACGTGCCCCCCGTTTTCCTCTTCGTCGTTGACACTTGCGTCATCGAGGAGGAAATCGGCTTCCTCCGCTCCGCGCTTTCCCAAGCCGTTGAGTTGTTGCCTGAGAATTCCCTCGTTGGACTCGTTACCTTCGGGACTTTCGTGCATGTTCATGAATTAGGGTTTGGAATTGTTCCCAAGACTTATGTGTTCAAGGGCTCTAAGGATATTTCCAAAGACCAGCTTCTCGAGCAGATGAGTTTTTTCGCCAAGAAGCCCCGGCCTGCGGTCGGCGTTGTTGCCGGCGCCAGGGACGGCCTCTCCTCGGAGAGTATTTCGCGTTTTCTGGTGCCAGCGTCCGAGTGCGAGTTTACTCTCAATTCGGTGAGGTTTTGATGAGTGTGTGTTAGTGGATTTGGATTTTGGTTGATTGTGTTGGTTTTGATCGTGCATGTGTGTGTGGTTTGGTTGGCAGGTTTTGGAGGAGATGCAGAGGGATCCTTGGACAGTCCCGGCGGATCAGCGGGCAACAAGGTGTACCAGCACGGCGTTGAGTATTGCTGCCAGTTTGTTGGGGGCGTGTGTGCCGGGTTCTGCTGCGAGAATAATGGCATTTATTGGGGGACCTGCGACAGAAGGACCTGCTCCGGTAAGGGCTGCTCGTTGTGCTTGTGTTGTTATAAATGAACTTGAATGTGTGCTACTTGCGTGTATCTGATGATTTTTGGGTTATATAAATAGTTAGTGTTGTAGTTTTATCTGAGTCAGGTATGGTGGGTGAAGGAGTGATTGATCGTGTGTTTTGGCTGGGAGCGAAGGAAGGAGGCCTTTTCAGCAACAAGGTTCTGAGGTTGATTATACTTTTAGTTAGGCTTCAAAGATTCCGTGAAGGACTAGATTAATCTATTCTCAGATGATTCTGTCCATATGCTCATAATACAACATCTTTTGGTCAAAGTGAGAGGACTGGGGGACGAATTTATGTCCAGTGTGCCATAATGCAGTGTATGTTAATTACTTGATGGACGGAGTTTCACTCACTTTTTGACTTATTGGGTTAATGGTTGGTTAATTTGTTGGGGGAGGGTGTTGAGGTGCCATAATGCAGTGTTGACCTAGACTATGAAGAAGGAACTACAAAGATTAACCATTGCAGTGAATTGTGGAGGGTGTGTAGGAAATGAAGTCTTACATAAGGTTTTATTAAAGTTTTGATGTTGGCTTTTGTGCTGAGGATCAGGTGAAGTTGTTTTGGGCTTTATAGTTTACATTCATCCTTTTCATTGGAAGTTATTTTTCGATGAAGTGATCTGGTTTTATTGTATGGCGGCAACTGTTGCTCCATTTCACTTCACCATAAGATTTTGGAGTATGCTGAGTAGAGATGAAAATAGGCTGGACTAGGTTAGGCTTTGCATAAATAGGCTTTGCCTATTTAATAATTTTGAAGCCTAAGTCTGACCTATTATCTTTCATAGGCTCATAGGCTTTTTATTAAGTTTAGCCTAACTTTTTTAAAAGTCTGGCCTATTGAGAACTTTCAATAGATCATTAAGCATTTTTATAAATAGGCTATTAAACAATCTAAATAGGTATATCTTTGTAAGGACCATAAAACTTATATTTAAATAAGCTATTAAAAAATGGTTTAACACCTTCAACATGTATAATAAAATTACATATTCCTATTTCATCAAAATATGTAATTGAAATAACACAAATGCAAATCAGCGTTATGCATAGATTAAACAATAGTAACGCAAAAAACTCCAGCTAGTTGAGACTCTCTCTTAGAAGGTATGTAGTATGAACACTCTTCAATTCTAACGAAAAGGATTAGAGTTTATAATTTAAGATTTTATTTATTTTAAAATTTAACTTATTTAATATAATATTATAATATTGATATAAAATTATTTAATATATTATTATAAATTTATGAATTTTAAATAAGTCATTTCAATAGGTTTAGTAGGTTTTTTCTTAAGCTTGAGCCTAATCTATTTAATTAATTAAGTCTTTTAAAAAACTTAAATTAAGTCTATTATTTAAATAGGCCAAACTGGGTTAGGTCTTAAAAAGGGTAGGCTATTTCCATCCTGTGATGAGGGTTCTTGTGCAGATTTTTTCTTTTCTGTCTGTTCTCAGCCAGTCAGCTTTTTGCTTTCTTTTTTAGTATATAACACCCTCTATTGTACTTTTCCCTTCCTCTTTATTAATTTCTCTTTAGTTTTTATCCAAACAAAAATATATTTTTAGTTTTGTAAGCATTTATTATGTTGGCACTTTTACGTTGGCATATATGATGGATCTCTCTATGCTTTGAATGCCTACAGACATCATGGGAATGAATTTAATTAATTAATTTCCATAATAAAAGAAGATCTTGAATTATGGGTATTTGAACATTTTTCTGGTCTGAAATAACCTGAATGCAATATCCACCTATGTGTAATGTTACATTTATTAAAAAGAAATGTGATAAAAGTATAAAACTATTTATGTACCTTTCCTTAACAGGTTAAGCTTTTGTTAGAATCTTTAGCTCAAAGTTTTATTTTATTTTATTTTTGCTTTTCAGAACATTTGTCCTCAACTAGTTGCTGTATGTTGAATGCTACAAATACAAAACTAAAATGAGATAATAAAAACTTAAGTGTATGAATCAACATTTACTTCCGTCTCACTTGATTTATTGATGACATTCAACTGATTCTCTCTATATGAACTACTGTATACTGTAGATTGTATCCAAACAACTTTCTGAACCAATTCGCTCCCACAAGGATCTGGATAAAGATTCTGTACTATATTACCATAAATGTGTGAAATTCTATGATGGACTTTCGAAGCAGCTTGTCCATCAAGGTCATGTATTAGATCTCTTTGCTTGCGCTCTTGATCAGGTAATGTTTTCACATTTTCAACCGACCTTTTCTGTTTGGTACACAGCGTTTTGGTTTTTTATAGGTTGACCAATGACTGTCTCTGTTTTCCCCCTCAAAAAGCTTTCACCAGTGTTCAGTTTTTTTTTAAGCCAGAATATTTAATTGACAGTCCAACCTCCAAGTACTTCTTGTGTAATGATGGTTTAAATTGTAATTCACTTCTTCCTATTCTTGAATAATTTAATTTTTCAAAGTAGTTTTGTGTTGAAATTTCTGCCGTATGTTTAGTCTTCATGCACTAACTTCCTTGCATCTTTGATTCAATAATAGCGGTTGGATTAAAAATTCATTGAATTTAAAATACGAGCTTTGTACTCAACCAAATGCTTCCATTGTAGCAAGAATTGAATGTTGCATAAAAATGTAGCCTCCATACCTCTACTAAAATGACCAGTGCTAGTACTAACGAAGGACCTTGGGCCATGTCCCGATCAGTAGAAAAGGTGAACAATGTATTCCATAAAGAAACAGTAAAAGAAAAATGTAAGAAAGGTGGATCTAAATACTCCCTTTATTGCCATAATTTTTTAGTGATTTACTATTATTTAGTCTTTAAATACTGACATATATTCTATGAAAAGATGAGATTATGTAGAGATGACTTTTAAACCAATTAATTCATTTTATATTATCATTTTAGAACTAGAAGTGTAGAACTAGTAAACACAGAGAATGAGGAACATCTGAGTAGAACAATTACAATTTCCTCTTCTCCATCAACATTTCTCTTGCTGCCTTATAATTTGCAGTATTATCCGTCACAATTTGTACCATATTTGCTTCTCCAACTTCTTCAACATCATTTATCATCTTAAAAATTTTATTTGTTTTGCATATGTCAGATGCATCTGTTAAGAGAAAAGAAAATGAAAGAGAATTGAGTGAATCCGTGTGTCTCAACTACACACCGGAGCATATATATATATATATATACTAGGAGCATTGATACAAGAATTAATTACAGAGATATTATATTTACCTAATTACCATAATTTCAGGAATATTATTTCCCTAAATATAATATATCATCTCCCTAATTTCAATATTACTATAATTACATGTTTCCATATTTGCATATTTCTAACAGCATCAATAGACTTCAAAAACAGTTTCTGCAGGACTATTTACCGAAAAATTAAGTACAGTCCTTCTTGCCGTGTGTTTGTTTTTTATGAATTTTTCTTGCAATTTAACAACAATGTCCCATATTTGTTTTCGAACATCATCAGGGACAGCTATGCAAACTCCAACATTTTGCTTTGTTCTTGTCAAATGATGTTTGAAACTTTGAAACGATAAACTCCTTTGGTATATTCATTCTCACGTACAATCTTGCAATTTTAATTGCGATTTTAACAACATTAATTTTGATCATTCTAACTTTTTTTATAAAATGTAAATGATGTTTGATATTAGAGCAATCCTGACAATGACCGCCCATCAGTCTAATGCCTACTACCATTAATAACTAACTCATACTAATTCATAATTCCTGTACTCTGAAATTGCTGGTTGATTTTATGAATATAAGAGAAAAGACAAGGTGATTATTTTCGTTAACTGTGCTATCTGATTCCATTTATGTTGAAGTTGGGGTGATACTAAGCTTATAGTTAGGCTTTCTGTTGGTGGATAAAAGTGTTATTTCTTAATTTCTATAAATGTTCATAATGCACAATCTGGTGGTTGTTTTTCATTTGTATAATTTTTTTTATATTTAAAATATTAAATTTCTGCTTTATTCTTTCTTTATCCTACAGGTTGGTATTGCTGAACTTAAAACTGCTGTTGAAAGAACTGGGGGCCTTGTTGTACTTGCTGAAAGTTTTGGCCATTCAGTGTTCAAGGATTCACTTAAGCGAGTTTTCCAATCAGGCGATTATGATCTGGGTCTATCGTCAAAGTAAGTCTTAGTGTACCATTGTATAATTGTGTAAAATTAAACAATAAGTTCATTCTTGTTGAAATTATAAATTTTAGGGTTAGGGAAGAACTGAACAAAAAATGATTGCTAACTACATTAGCACTGAATAACTAATACTCCATATATCTTTGAACACTTTCCCTCAAGCTTAAGCTTGTTACAAGTTTGACAGAAACACATCTACTAACCAAAAGAAAACCAGTGAAAATGAGGGAGGTGTTGATCAGCACTTTTAGCCTTACTGAAAACCTGAAATATATTCTTGTGCCACCTAGCATGTCCTATGGTTGTTTAGTGCCTGACTCTAGCAGCTTCTTTGTTTTATGTATTGGGAGTACCAAGCTCTGACACCATATTAATGCTGGATAATAGACTATAAATGCTACCATGAACATAGCTTTTCTATAATTGTATATTATTCTAAGTTCCACTATATATTAATAGTGTAGATGGTCTTGATAATCATGTCTTCCTATATATATCATCATCTATTTCTTATTTTAACTTATTTTTGCAGTGGAATATTTGAGATAAACTGCTCTAAGGACTTGAAAGTCCAAGGTATTATTGGCCCCTGTGCATCTCTTGAAAAGGTATATCTAGACAATCTCTTGTCTTTTCTGCTGCTTATTCCCTCACAATAGATGCTTAGCTGCTTCTTTGTATCTGCAGAAAGGCCCATTATGCTCAGATGTAGTTATTGGGCAAGGTGGTACAAGTGCATGGAAGATGTGTGGTCTTGATAAATCCACATCATTGTGTCTATTTTTTGACATTGTGAGGAAAGAAAGTCCTGATGCTACAATGCAGTCCACAAGCAATCAATTTTACTTCCAATTCTTGACCTAGTATGAAGACCATCCTAGTGCTCCTTTGAGTAATCTTTTGTATGTTATGATAATGCACATGAAATATTTCTCACTCATCACAGATGTTTTGCTTCAGTTATCAGAATAACAGTGGGCAAATGAGATTACGGGTTACAACTCTTTCTCGTAGATGGGTTGCTGGACCAGGAAGCATACAGGTAAGGTGTCATCTGCTACCTTTTGGTTCATTATAGTTGTTTCTTTTCATCTCCATTCATTACTAAAACAATTCCTTTGGAGTTGTTGAATTTGGAAGTGATTTACTAAAATTAGTTTGGGAATGATACACTGTACTTTTTTCATTACATAAAATAAGTTAAGATGCTAAACAAAGCTTTTCCTTGTTGTTTTTCTATGTCTATGTTTCTTTCCTTTCATAATAGTCTAGGGTAGAACATGTTTAGTACTAGCCAGCACAATTCATCTTTAATTGTTTTTCTCTTCTTTTGCTGAATTTGAGTTTCTACGTTGATTTTTCTTTTATACTAATTTATGCCGGTTTTATGAAAATTTGATTTTTGACCAAGCTCAATGGCATCGTGTGATCCATGTAACTGACCTCACATGGGAATGTTTATTTGAGAAGGCATGTGTACTGAATGGCAGCTATGCCATGTGACTGTTAATTTAATTTAGGAGCACTGTGAGTGGGCAGTTATGTTTTGTAACGAATGGCAGTTTTTTTTTTTTTTTTTGGTAATGAATGTTAGTTATGCCATATGACAGTTGTGCTTTGTAGTGTTTAATCACCTATGTGGGCAGTTATTTTGCTGTTATCTGTCACTTTCAGAAAGAGAAATATTCTCTGTAGGAGACGCAAGTTTTTGGGACGGCAAATTCATTGTTGTAGTGTGCACTGTGTTTGTGTTTCAATCATAATAGTCAATCCTGGATAGCGATGCAAAGCAGCCACCCCGAACATGCTATAATGGGATAGCAAGATAGCCACTATTCTGAGGTTTGGGTCAGGCATTCAAATTTGGATCATTTGGAGGGATTCAGAGAACAAAAACCAACAGAACAAAGAAGAAAATAAAAACAGAGAGGGAAAATAAAAAATAGAGTGGTCATTCACCATAAAACATCGGGGTCATGTTGGAAGTTTCACCAGAGATGAAAATGACCAGAAAATGTTTGGATCATGTTGGAAATAGCTTGGATTTTGCCAGAGATGAAAAAGACGACTGGAAAACGTCTAGATTATGTCAGAAATTGCTTCTGTTTTGCCAGAGATGAAGAAGACCAGAGCTTGGCCAGAAAATGACTAGAAAACTTCGTTGGAGATGGTGGACGAAGCAGGAAGATGAGAGGAAGAAGCAGGGTCAGTAGGGTTTGATTTGTTGAAGACAGCGGAGAAGCACAGAAAGCAGCAATGTAAAAGGGGGCAAAATCCCAAGATTCCCCCCATTAAAAGGATTCCAACGTTTAGAAAGGGAGGGAAGACTTGACTTTTTGCCCTGCAAGAAATAGTGGTTACACCATTCGCAGCTGCAAAATATCCATGATTTACATTGTGTGCGGCCATGATTCGTGGCGCAATGGCCGCTACAGCAAACCACGACCCAATGACCACTTGAACTGTGGCAGGGAGCTGCTCTGCTCCTCTGGCAATAGCGGCTGCTATTGACTACTATGGTTTCAATAAATATTTTCAATTATATTCTGTGTATAAGAGGGTGAACCTGGGTGCAATGATATGATTGGTGCTTTGTGAGACTTAGAAGCCGCCATGTGGAAGTCTCATGCATTGTGTCACCCTTTTTTAGAGTATTCCTTTATGAAGATAAGGGATTATTTGTAGCTTTTCATGGCTTTTCTTTCTTATTTTTAGTGTTTTACCTTCTTTAGTTTTAAAACATTTGTTTTCTCTTCCTAATTGCTGAAGTATAAAAGTTGTACTTGTACCTGTCTCTAGTCTTGATGGATGGGTTTGAATATTTAACTGGAGCAGCGTTCTTAGTAGGGCCATCAAATGGCAATCAGTTGGATTGTTGTGATAATCAATCCTGTAGTGCAATAAGTGTGGTTATATTTTTAATAGAAGGATCAGATTCAGACACAGCACAGAAACAGAGGTATGCATCTATCCTGAACTGGTTTCTAGGAGCAAAGGTGATATCAGATCAGTGGGTATGTAAAGTATACACAGATTTAGAATTATCAGGAAATGAACAAAAATACAGAAGTCTAGGCAATTGGAGAGTGCCTAAACTGTCCTCACCTTCCTCGCTGAAGAATTACACGCCTTCCCACTTCCCTGCCTTGCTTTTTATCATCTTTTCCTCTGATTCCCCTCCTGCATGATCCTCATCTCAAGTCATGTGAGCAAGTGGTTATTTCCCTCCCTCCACAATGTTTACATGGCTCAAGTGGGGCCCTGATTCAATATATCTCTTCTAACTATATGCTTTATTAACCATGATTTTTGAACACATTCATGGACAAAAGGAGAGAGAATTCCAAGTGGTTGATGGTAACATAATATGACTCATGAGTAACAATTGGGAGTTGTTTTTTACAGAAGGACATTGTAATTTCTCCATTAAGGTTCAGAGCAATGGAGTTACAGTATCAGTGAAGTGAGGACCATAGTTCTAACAAATTTAGTTGTATATTTGGGAAACTGAGGTCACTTTTGAGCCATGACCATTTAGGACCTTTTTCAGAATTTAACAGGGAATTTATCCATAAAAGAAGAAAGGGTTTGGTATAGGGTTCTTGCACATTTGCATTGGGAACCTTAAAGAAAGAAGTATTTCACCAGCTTCAATGGCTCAAAGGTGTGCAAGGTCGGAGATGGGTGATGATCTAATGGGTGTGAACTGTGAATTGATATTCTTGTTTCTTACACCAAAATTGTTATGAACTTCATCTGTTCACATTTATTCTCTTTATCAAATTTTGAATGCACTGAGCCTAATTCAATCCCAAAAAGGGCTTACTATTGTCCAAGTCCTTTTAGGGATTACTTTGGCGATATGGCTAGTTGGTGTTGGATCTCAACACACACCCCTTATGTGGGGATTGGATATTTTGAGCATGAAGTTTTTACTAGACTAGACATCTGTGGTTGACTCAACATCAAGATTGGAAAGGCTTTGATACCATGTAATTGAGAAGTGAGAACAAAGGTCACATTTAGCCCCAGAAGTTGGTTGTGTGTGTGTGGAAGAAGAGAGGAAGGGGGGCATCACTCAAGTCATTTGAAAGACTACTTTGGGAATATGTGAATGGGTGTGTCTATTACCATTCCTAAGTTTCTATTACTAAACCCATTTAAGTGATTTTTGTCTAAAATGCCTTTTTTCCCCTTTTATAACCATATTATTAATAGAGATATTTAACATACAGATGTCTTAAATAGGATTGGTAAAAGACACCTGGGAGGGACAATAAACACTCCCTATGCCTAGCTGATGTGTGGTCTTAACCAAGGTAGTCAAAATCGCGTGTTGGATCGTAGAATCGTACGATTCTACGATCTCCATCCATGCTTCCGTGCTGAGTTGGTGCTGGGAACGCGAATTGGTTGAAGCGGTGGGATCGTACGTGCTAGGTCGTAAACGCGTTAAAGACGTGCGATTCCGACGCGCAGAGGAGAAGGCTGTTTGGGCTAACGACCCGCGACCCGACCCGGCATCATTTTTGGAACCCTAAAATCCCATAACTCGTCACTGCGCTTCTTCCTTTCTTCTTCACTCTGTTCTGTGAGATTGGGTGTCTTTGTGCGACTTCTCTGCGAGGCTCCAACGACTGCAATTCGGCTCTGGCAACTGCGTCTCTGTTGTGCGTCTGTGAGGCTCCGACGACAGCAATTCATTTAGCTCCGGCAACTGGGCTTAGCTTCGGCGACTGGATTGTTTCTGATTTGGTTTGGGATTTTTTGCTTCCTGTGCTCTGTTTTTTCCTTCATCATCTTGGCTGCTGCGTGTGATTGGGATTTTGTTCATTTTTTTGCTTCTGTTTTCTGTGCTATAGCTGTCTGCTACCATTAGATAAGTAGTAGTCAAGCTCCTCCTTCCAAGTCATTACCAAAGAATGCACCAGGAAACAAAAGTGATGTAGCATGGCAACATGGGATTGCAATTGAAGGTACAAGAAAAATTCAATGCAAATATTGTCAAAAAATTGTAAGTGGAGGTGCTTATCAATTGAAGCATCACTTGGCTCAAATAACCAAAGATGTTGGAGCATGCAAATCTGTTCTGGATGAGGTCAAAAATCAAATGTGGAATTTACTTGTAAGCATGCAAGAAAATTTGAATAAAAAATCAAATTCCTTTGCTGAGAGAGAGACTTTAGATACAAGTGATGGAAGCAAAAGAAAATCAAGTGAGAATGAGGGAAAAGGACCACTCAAGCAACAATCAACAACATATTCAACAAAACTAGAAGAGAGGAGGCTTGTCAAGCTATTGGAAGGTTTTTTTATAATAATGCCATATCATTCAATGTGGCAAGAAGTGATGAATTTTCTGTTATGTGTAATTTAATTGCTAGCCATGGTCCTGGATTTAAACCACCAAGCTATCATGAAATTAGAGTAAAGTACTTGAAAAAGGAAATAGAGTTAACAAAGGAGAGATTAGAAGAACATAGAGCTGAATAGAATTATGTTGGATGCACATTAATGACTGATGGGTGGACTGATAAGAGGAGGAGAACAATATTAAACTTCTTGGTGAATAGTCCTAAAAGAACTATTTTTTTGAAGTCTATTGATGCATCTCATATAGAAAAAACAGCTGATAAAATATTTAAAATGATTGATGATGTTGTTGAAGAAATTGGTGAGAAAAATGTAATCCAAGTTGTGACTGATAATGCAGCAAATTATAAGGCTGCAGGGGAGATGTTGATGCAAAAAAGAAAACACTTGTATTGGACCCCTTGTACAGCACATTGTCCTAAATTTCTTAATCCTAAGATGCATTATAGTCCTAAATTTAAGGCTGATCTTGAAGTTAAGCGTGGACTATATGATTGTTTGACAAGGATGGTCTCTGATCAAGATGAACAATGTAAAATTGATTGTCAACTTGATTCATTTAGAAAGCGAGCTGGTAATTTTTGCAGTCACTTGGCTAGAAATACTATTGATATGCGACTGCCAACTGATTGGTGGATGTCTCATGGAGATGAGCATCCTGAGCTTCAAAGATTTGCTATTCGAATACTAAGCTTAACATGCAGTTCTTCTGGATGTGAACGTAACTGGAGTGTATTTGAGATGATAAGTAGAAATTCTTTTTTCTAAAATTATGTACTAGGCTAGCCAACTATTTTTTTGTATCTTAAATTATAATTTAATATATTATTATTTGATAGGTGCATACTAAAAGAAGAAACCGTTTGAAGCAAAATACAATGAATGATGTGGTATTTGTTATGGCAAATTCAAAATTGGCCAAGAAGAAGACAATTAGGAGAGTGAAGGATTTACACATAAATGTAGATGATATTCCATCTGACAATGAGTGGATAGTGGAAAATAATGATAGAGGAAATCATGAAGATTTGGGCTTAGAAGACAATTTGGAAGATGAGGACATTGAGGTTGATACTCTTAATGAAGATGAGAACTTGGATTTAGATCAAGGTTCAAATCAAGATGTTGGTGATGTTGCTAATATAGACAATTTAGATGATGAAGGAGATGATGGACCAAATGAAGAAGATGGGCCAAATGAAGATGATGAAGGAGATGACGAATTTTTTTATTATCAAAATATTTTAGATATGATAAAATAGATATTTAAAGTTTGAATATTGATTTTGTATTTGGTTTGGAACTTTGGAATATGTTTATGTTGGACATGTTTTTAATATTCATCTTTTAAAATACTATGGTTTGAATTAATGTTTTTATTTTCTTCCTATTTATACTATTTTATATGTATATATACAATTTTGTAAGATCTTACGTTCTGTGTTATGATCCTGAAGCCCTTCTCTGATCCTACGTAAAATCTCGATTTTGACTACTATGGTCTTAACAATCTTTTATGTGATAATCAGTGCTTATGTTGGTTATTGGTTTCCTGTTTCACGGGATGGTTTATCAAGTAACTTAAGTACTACTTGGTGTTATAACAATTTTATCATTTTTTTCAATCACTAAGTTAGCATTTATGTCTAAAATGTTGTAGGACTTGATTGCTGGATTTGACCAAGAAGCAGCTGCTATAGTCATGGCGCGCCAAGTCTCTTTCAAAATGGAAACAGAGGTGAGTGTTGGATATTTTCTGTGCCTAATGTACTTGTATTTTGGTATGTGTGTGTGCATGTATGTGTAGGAATAAATTATACTATGTGTCAAACTTAGTGAAATGCCACCTCTAATAATTTTTGTCAATCCAACCATTAAATCATATGATATCGTCGTAATGATAATGTTATATGCAATTTTACATGATCTAGACCATGGTAGTTAAAATCCGATTTGAATCGGAAAATCCTACAATTTTGGAAACCTTCCTGATTTAAATCATGGCTGAGTAAAATTGTAGTAAAATCCCGATTTAAATCATAAAATCCCTCAAATTGTGGGATTTTATGATTCACTTTGATTCTGAAAATTCCACGAAAAGTCTCATTTATTGAACCCTAATTTAGTTGACACCTCTTTCATATCTTTTTTTTTTATCAAACCTAACTTCCCTCTAGCAGCTTTGAACCCTAACATTGTTGTTAATTCAACAGTCCTCCCAGTGTGTGCAGCCTGATCTGCCACTAAACCCAGCAGTGTGCTAGTGCTCTGACTCTGAGTTTGAGTCTAGTGCTACTGTTCTTGCATTTTTTCTGTTCTGGTCTATTTTTTACCCATGCCGATGCATGACATTATTATGGAATATGGATTATGATTTTGAGTGCTACTTTATTTAAGTGCTTTTACTGATTTAAAGGTTTTTTTCCTAAATTTTGTTATTTTATATGCTTAATATGAATTTATAAGCATATATATGGATTTTGTAAAATCTTACAATTTGATTTACAATTTTACAATTACGATTTTCACTCTCCTTTATGATTTAAAGTAAAATCCTAATTTTAACTACCTTGATTTAGACATTTGTAGATGTGTAATCAAGTGTTAACTATTTATTTCTATTTTAAATATTTTAAAATAAATTGGTGTGATGAAGTATCAAATAATTTTTTGTGTGTAAAATTTTGTAAATAATGAAAATTTTAAATTCAATTGTTAGCTTGATGAAATTTACTTTTGATAAAAGTTATTGTTAGTGTTTTACTTGAGTTTGACACTTGATGCATTTGTTCTCTCTCTCTCACACACACATGTATGTATGTTTGTGATCTACTTAATGTAGGAGTAAGTCACGAACATTTACTTGACTTTATAATTTTTTATAGAATAAACATTATATATATAACTGTTGAATCATGTGAATTTATTTTGATGACTGTGGGTACTAAATTTTAGACAAATCATACATTTGTAGGCATTTAATTTAATCTTATATTCAACATGTATCTTTTGAAAGTATCTTGTATCACAACTAGTTTTTAAGTTGTATGGAATTTTGTGCACTTGTTCTACTAAATGAGAACTTATAATCCTACTGTCAGTTTGATGAAATTTAATGACCATAAAACGTTATTAAGCAAAGTTTGAAAATGCTTACTCATATACTAACAAGTAAGTGGATGTGGGTCACGTCATGTGTATGAGTGTATAAAATAATTTACAGAGCTAAAGGGCTTGTGATTAATTATCGCATTTGCATGTTATGGAAATGTAGCAGAAAAAAGCATGTGAAGAGGCTTTTGCATTTTATTCTGTTAACTGATAATGAAAATTAAATTCTGCTAGAGAAAAAAAAAACCAATGTAGTGGATGTGGATCACCATCATGTGTCTGTGTACATAAATTTACAGAAGTAAATGGCATTATAATTAATTACTGCATGTTATAGAAATGAAGCAGAAAAAGCATGTATAGAGACTTTTTTATTTTATGCTGTTAACAATAAGTGATAACCCAAATTTAATTATGCAAGACAAGAAAAACTATTGTTTGAGCTTTTACTGCTAAATACTTCATTACAGCATGAAAAATGGGATGAGCTTATCTTTGTTTTTTCCTTTCATAACAAGGAATGGACTATAGTGAATCAAAACCCTAAATACTTTTGTATAGTTGAAAAGTGTATTGACAGAGAGAATCAAGACTCAGAAGTATTCTTTGCCACTTGATACATGTAACACACATAGTTGTGAGAGCTGGAGAACCTGTTAATCTTTTTCTTGCTGATCCACCTTATATGGTTTTTTACTTTTTTATTGTTGTGACATTTTAGTAATGATGTAATTTTGGAATCAGGCTGAATTTGATCCTATCAGATGGTTGGACAAAGCATTGATAAATTTGTGTTCCCGGTTTGGAGACTTCCAGAAAGATAGTCCATCTTCTTTCAGTTTGTCTCCCAGGTTGTCAATATTCCCACAATTTATGTTTCATTTACGACGCTCTCAATTTGTTCAGGTATGCATTTTCTATTATCATATCTTTTATATGCATGTAACAGCTGTTATTTGCTGCTGCTGTTTTATTATTTACTCCAGTTGCTGTTTACTTATTTTCTGTAATTATTTTTGTTTCAGGTCTTTAACAACAGCCCAGATGAGACTGCTTACTTTAGAATGATACTGAACCGGGAAAATGTTGCTAATTCTGTTGTCATGGTTCAGCCTTCATTGATTTCTTATTCATTCCATTCTGGTCCCGAACCAGCTCTTCTTGATGTTGCAGCCATTGCAGCTGACAGGATCCTGCTTTTGGATTCATTTTTCACTGTTGTTATTTTTCATGGTTCAACCATTGCTCAATGGAGGAAGGCTGGATATCATAATGAACCAGAACATCAGGTATTCTTTGAGCATTTTATAGCTAATCTGAGAATAATTATTCTATTAGTTTTGACCTGTGGTATGTTGTTGGAGAATTAGAGTATCCAACTTATAGAGACAAAATAGCATCAAGAAGTGTAAGTGTAGATTATGTTTATTATGGTGAAATTGTTTCAGTATTTTTGTTAATTTCAATGTATCAAACAACCAAGTAGATTATGGGCTTACTTTATGATGCCTACACGCGAATTAGCTTCTGTGGTCAAGCAGTCTCAATTTCACTACAGGATTTGCGAATGAATGCTGGGCTGGGCCACCTCGGATGGCGTGAGAATAGTTTTAAGATTGTTTAGTAAGGTGCTTGGTCTTGCTGCTTAAATTTAAATTTCAGATCTTTGCAGCTGTGCAACTGCAAGGTTTTAATAAATTTTGCAGCTCCTAGGATGAAGTTGGGCATCAGTTTTATTCTACTTAAGCCTTATTGGGTCTTATTTGATTTTCTAAGCTTTTATGGTTCATGATGTATTTATTTATAATTACTTTGATATTTGACAGAGTATGACTTGATGGATACATCCCAGTGGGAAATGAAAATAATTAAGAGAGAGGAAACCTTAATAAAAACTGTTGAAAAGGGAAAGGAGCCAGAACATGATAATGTAAATATTCTCCTTATTATCGTAGTGACAATATATACATCTTGACCTAGCTTATCTGAACAATATTTCTCATGCTCTTGTTGGAAATTTTGAGCCCTACATTCAGTACCAAAAAGCGCAGTTGGTTTTATGATTGTGGTAATTTGTTCCTGAGCTTGAGGGACCTTGTTATTGGACACCTATTCCAGGTCTTCGTAAACTTCTATCAGTGTTTTCTTGAGGTCATAATATCCAAAATGGCACTGCGTTTCCAATGCTCTTGCCTCCACATTGTCAATTTATTTAATAAAGTAACTATATTTTGCAGGCATTCGCTCAATTGCTAAAAGCTCCACATGACGATTCAGATTTAATAATGAAGGAGAGATTTCCTGTGCCTCGACTTGTTGTCTGTGATCAGTATGGCTCTCAGGTTAACCTCTGTTCCTTCTTGCCATTGATCTTCTGGTAATACAATGCTGTATAGTTGGCTTGCTTGCTATGTTTGTCTATTCACTGCTACTAACTCATTACTGTCCTATTTGGAGTAAACATTAATGGTATGTACTAGCTGCTGCTCATATGTTTCTCACTCAGAAAAATTCTACCGGTAAAGAAGCATATAAACTACAAATTGTAGTATTTTGTTTTGAACAATGCACTCACCTTCAAATGCAAGGGATATGTGGATGAATTTCTGTTTGCTGTTCTGGAACTATCAGAAGTTCAGAACTTCGACTTCTCTATCTCTATTTTTTGTCAATGACTCGACTCTATACATTCTTCATCTATTTCTTTTAATTTAGTGTATGTGACCTTCTAGGATAGGGATGGTGGCACCATTTAGAAAATCTATTTAAAATTATTGTGTTTTTACAAAGAAAATTCTGAAGCTTTTTTCTTGATATCAATTTGAAATGCTATTATGCTTTTCAAATGGAATAAGGCTGGCTTTAGGATCACAATTTAGATGGGTAAAAGGAAACCTGGAAAAGTAGTTAATCGAATGGAATTCCGGGTATAGAAGGATATCAATGTGCGGAGAATGCATTATAGAATTTATTGGTGATGAAAATATCATGGTTTTCTGTAATCCTTGTGTATTTGGTTAGTGGTTTCCTGTAATAGATCCAATGCTAGGGAATAAAAAAGAAAGAGAATTCACCTATCATATTCTTCTCGAAAGCCTTTCTGCACAAGTTGTTTGTATGTGAAAAGGAATATCTCAATTATTTTGTTAATTGGTTAGCTTGCTTAGATTGAAATTTAGCTGTAATTTAGTTGATTGGTTTATATGCTTCGAACTGGCTTTCTGCTATAGTTTTGCTCCGTTGTGTGGACTTTATGCATATGTTTTTGGTAATGTAAGATGTTTGGCGTACATGTGCTGATGTACTTGCAATCATGTGCAGGCACGGTTTCTACTAGCAAAGTTAAATCCTTCTGCTACTTACAATACTGAAACTTCACATCCCGGGGGGGATATTATCTTTACGGATGATGTTAGCTTTGAGGTCTTCCTTGATCATTTACAGAGATTAGTTGTTCAATAAAATTATGTGGTATGTGACTTTGTAAAATTTTTCTTTGAGTGCTACTTGTACATTAATTTCATTTTAGTATGCTCTTATAATTTCCAATTTTGTGCAAAATGTTGTAATTATTCGGAATCATGCACTCAAGTCAATGGCATGAATATTAAATCTATTTGCTCAACTCAGATTTAAAAATTTCGCTGGAATTATTTTGGTACTGAAAACTACATTGTCAAAGAAACCTAAATATAATATTTATGATTTATAATAAATTATAACTCATAAATAAGATTGACATTCCCCTTTCCAAATATGAGGTTGGCTAAGTAAGTCACTAAAAATTGACACCATGACCAAAAATTAATATTAGAAGATGACTTTAAATAAGTTAACTTGAAAGAAAGACATTCTAATTAAATTTATACTTTGTACCTAGTTAAATTCAAGAGAAACCTCAGATTTTGGTTATGATTTGAGAATACTATTATTGCTATGTCATATTAATTTTATTTACATTTATTTGTTAGTTATAAGTTGAAAATTTGTAAATAATATTATCAATTATTCTTGAATTTTCAAGGTGTTACAATTTTGAATGGTTGCTGACTTTTTTGCTTCTAGTTTGATATATTCTGTTGATTGAAGGTGGAATTGTTGCTCAAGAATTAATTTAACTAGAAGTATTAAGGGTTATAAATTTGGTGGAAAAATTTATTCGGTTCAATTAAAATATAATGTATTTTGTTAATTTTTTTAAATTTTTTTAGACATATCACTCATGAATGGGTTGGGTCTATAATGTTGAAATAAATTGTAATCTATAAAATTAAATAATTATTAAACTAAATTAAAATATATCAATATTTGTATACAAAATTATTGATTTACACTCAAATAATAAATTACTTATCAAAATTCACATTCAAAAAAATAGAATAAAATAATAAAATAGAAAATATTTGGGCCAGATTCATTATGCTATAAAAAGAGACTGATACCCAACTTGAACTTCGGCGAGTTTGTACTTTCATAACTTGATTATATATCACTAGCTAATTTTAATTTGGTTTGAGTTGGATTAGTATACCTGACCTGTTAATTCCCCTAAATTTAAATTGATCGACTTACAATGATCTTAATGTGTTATTATTAGATTTTTTTTATTATGTTATTGCAGCCCTCACAAGGAACCACAATATCATGTGTAAAGTTTATCAATAAATAAATTTAGACCAAATGACATAGCAATCCTTCACTCATAACAGCACTCTCTCTCCTATATCTACAAAAACATGGGCATCACTAAGGCCTCTCTCCGTCTACCCTCCACCACTCCTGGCGCCACCGTTAATTTTCTCGGCCGTTTCAATATTTTCTCCATTTCTATATCACTATCTCCTCACTTTCTTCAATGGTTACTGTTTACTAATAATATTAGATAACCAAAAGGCATGTGGTGTCACTGTTTACACGTTGGTCACAATGTGTGTTGACAATTGATTTGTTCTAATATTCAAAACAATGGTTTTGAACAAATGTAACTGTATTGATAGACCACAAGATTAAAGTTTTTCAAAATAAGAAATTCCACACATCCATATAATTTTAATAAACTTAAAAAAATTATGTTTGGCCATGTTTGTTAATATGTATCTTTGATGTCATTGGCATGTATACTCCTAGAACTATTTTTTAACTCTTTTGTGTTCCAGATGTTTAGCCACTTAAATAACAAAAAAAAAGGTACCTATTAATATAATACATCATTAATTAAAATATGACTAATAATTGATTTTTGTTGCATTAATTGAAAATTTGACATTCATTTTTTTTTTTTTTTACATTTTGACATTGTTTTCATAATTATTTTTTATTTAATACAGTAACATGAATACTTTGTTGATTGTTGGCATATTTAATTATTTTTAATTTTATCATAAAAATAATGTATTGTTTACATAAAAGTTTGTATTACACTGTTCATTTTAAATGAATGACGTTTAATATTTTTTAAACAATTAAGAAAAATAATAAAAATTTAATACAGTAACAATTAAATGCTTTATTAATTATTGGTATATTTAATAATTTTTTGAAATTTATTATAAACCTAATATTTAATATTGTTGAATTTTTTTTTTATTATACTCTCTTCATTTTAATTTGTTTAAGGTTTAATGGTTTTTTTAAATCCGAATGTTTAAAATGAACCATATGTTAAGGTCTAATTTAGCATTTTTAAAATTTTCGATTAATTTAAAAGTTTACTTTATTGTATGGCATATTAAATAAGCTTACAAAAATTTATATAATATAAAAATAAATGCTAATATGTAAAGTTAAATGAGTTGAGTTAAATATTTGAAGTCCAAGCTTGTATTGTGAAAAAAAAAATTGCTTAAATTTGATTCATTTATTTAAATAAGTAAAATTTTAAGTTTGAGTTTAATTTAATTAATATTTTTGAAATTTAAATTTTACTCATTAACTTATTTTAATTTTTGTATAAGTATTAAAATATTTTTTATTATTTAATATTCAATAAATTTTTTATGCTAAAAGTAAAAGAAAATGATAGTGACAAAATATAAATTTATCTATTTGAAGATAATCTAAGGTTAAAAAAAATTATTTGTAAAAATAGTATTTAAAAAAAGGTTATGACCACTTATTTAAAATGATATGTGAACTGAATTAATGATCTAATATGTATTCTAATTCTCTTTAGAGATGTAATGAGTTAGAATACATTTTTTTTTGTTAAGCACTAACATTTTATTAAAGATAAAGTATGAGTACAAGAGGTACTCTAACCCATTATATCTTTAAAGAGAATTAACAATATATATTAAGGGACTATTAATCTAATTCACATATATAACTGAGTTTCCCAAAGATCTTGCTGTGAGCCATTTCTAAGAATGATATTTAATAGAATCAAACATTTTATTAACATTTAGTACACCGTTATCGAAGATAATATTATTCCTTTGAAGCCAAATTGTTCATACTATTGCAAACCACGCGATTAGAGCTCTCTTCTTTTTTTTTTTTTTCAAATTGAGTTTCACATACTCAGAAATGTCTAATGCAAATTTTCACATAAATATATACTGACACCAAATCATTCGAACACTATGTACTACAATCTCATAAAAATATCGCAATGTAGAAAAAAGTGCAATACCTCCTCATCTTTGATATCACAAAATCCATAAGCTTTTAAACAAATCGTCAATCTAATTTTGATTAAATTTCTCTGTATTGGAATTGCATTAAGCAACACTGAGTTTGAAAACTTCAATCCTCTCCAAACCTATTTACTCGATAAGTTCCAATTAAACCATTCCACATTTCGCACCCTAAAATCATTCTCATTCTTTGGCATGCATACTCTTTCCCATTTAATTCAAGTTATTTTTTATGATTCCTTTACGCCACTCCAAAGAAATCAACGTTGAATCTTCACTACTTCCTTGATGACAACTGATGACATTCTCCAAAAAGATAAATAATATAGTGGAAGGCTATTTAGAATAACATTAAATAGTGTTACTTTACCCCAATAAAAATATATTTGGCCTTCTAAGATGTTAGTTTGTGATTAAACACCTCAATAAGCTTTTGCCTAATACTTCTTCTCGGTCTGTCTCCAATATAGATACCTAAATACCGAAATGGCAAAGATCACACCTTGCAATTTAGAAAACAAGATAGCGTATCTAGAAAGCGTATCTAGAAATTTGCTTGTCACATTCACCCTTACAATATAACTCTTATAGAAATTAACGTTAAGTCCATATATAAGCTCAAACCTTTGGATAATAGCCTTTATTATCTACAAATTTTGCTCAATAGTTTTGCATATAATTAAAATATCATATGCAAATTGTAACAATGAGATTTAGGATCCATCACCCCATGAAAAAGTCCCTTTGAAACATCACTCCTCATCAATCTCCCAAATCTTCAGCCGTCAATAAAAATAAGAAAGAAGATAAAAGATCGCCTTATTTAAGACCTTTACCAATCGCCACTTCCTCCGTGAGACTTCCATTAACAAGGATTGATAAATGACCATCACATATATAAGCTTCCATCCACCTTACCCACTTCTTCCCAAATCCAAACTTTCAGAACATATATAACATATATTTCTAATCTACTAAATCTTAAGCTTTTTCATAGTTTACTTTCAATACAAAACATTTATTTTTAATCTTCTTAGCATAATCTATCACCTCATTGGCAACATTATTTAATTTTATCTTATTATCTTGTATAAATTTTTAAGTAAATTTTTATGTTTATATTGTAAAATTTTCTTAATATCTTCCTTAAACTTTCAAATTTTTAAAAAGATCTATATTTATATTTATAATTTTTCTTATTATACTTGTATAAAATAGAAATTTTTTAAATATCTTTATTTATATATAAAATTTATAATATTTAATATGTTACTTTTATTATTTTAAAATAAATTATATTTTAAATTATTGTAATTTCATTGAATCTTTTGCATTTTAATACACACGGTTTGTGATTATAAAGTTAAGTTAATATTATTTTTTTAAAAAATAAATGTTTAAATAATTTTAATATCTATATAATTATTTACAAAAAAATTATTTTTTAATTATTAAATTATATATATTTATTTTAAAATAAAATACTTCTGCATTGTCTTCTTAAACTGGAAAGTCATGCGAGAGAGAGACTCTGATTTGGCGTACAAAATTTATTGCTTTTGCTTTTACTCTTTCGCTGATATAATGGTTTTTTCATTATTTAAAATAGTATATAATGATATAAATTTAATAAAAAAAATATATATATATCATAATATAGATAATTTTCATTATTAGAATAAAAAATTATTATAGACTCAACCAAAATACTAAAAATCAATTATCAATATTAAGGGAGTAAATATGTTAAAATAAATAAATAAATAAAAGTGAGCTCTACGTACGTCAAATTTTAAATTAATTTATTTTAAATTTCAAATATAACTCGATTGAATATTATAAATAATTTTCAATATTATAACATGGTACAATTTCTAAAATTTATATTAGAAAAAAATTATAAAATACGTATTCGTATTGCATATAATTTAAAAACTTAATGAAACGGTAATTATATATAAAAAAATGAATGGCGACGTATAAGCCTTTTTGATTGAATAATCTCTGCAGATAGAGGGTTAATAATTTTACTACTTTTATTTATTCTTTAGTCTTTTATTGATTTAACGATTCCTTAAATAATAATCAAGTTTATTTTCATAAATTTCAAATTTTTATTTTTATTTTTTAAGGATCTATGATTTTATACTTAAATAACTCTGCGCATAGAACGAGTAAAATGTAAATAAATGTAAATTTAAAAATTGTTTTAGAGAAATATAATTAAATTATTTGGTTTAAAAATTATAATTTTGGAAAAATTTAAAATTTAGTTTACTTTATTTAAATTGTAATAACTGAGAGTAAACATAAAATTTATATTAATTTAAAATATAAATACTCACTTTTTTTTTACATGCAAATGGATAAAAAATAATATATTTTTATTATACTGACTTTTAATCACGTAAGTTGAATGACAGTAATTTCACACAATAGCTGTAGTTCTATAATTTCATATCAAAGAAATAAAACATTAGCCTTTTTATTTCTTTTTAATTGTCGTTTTGGTAATCATATACAAATTAAAAAAAATATAATTAATACTTTATTTAGTTTTTAGTATTTCCTTTGTTTTTTATATTTGGGCATATCTTTTATTAATTAATTTTTAATGTATTACTATAAATTTTATGTATTTATTTATTTATTATTATTATTATTATTATTTATCTCTCATTTATAATAAATGTGTAAAAAAGTTAATAATTAGATACAAAAATATTCAACAAAGTTTAATTAATATTATTTTATTTTTTAAAATAATTTATAAATAATAAAAATAAATCCATCCCTATATTATAAATTTGAGTTATCACAGTGAGAATGCTCTAAGGAGTTATTTTTGTCCATATACGTCACGTGACTTCTTTTGCAATTAACTTATACTTTTATTTTAATTTTTTTCTTCTTATATTGATATCTTTCTGTTTAGATAAAGCAAATTTGATGTTATGATAACTTGAAAATATTATCAGTCTCTATACTTTATATATAAATTGTAAATATTTATTTATTTTGAAAATGAGTGTTTAATTAAATATTAAGGTTTTTTTTTTCTTTTTATCATACTAAGGTTCTAGCGGATAAAACTAATTAAAACTTATAACTTTATAATTAATAATTGAATTAGACAATTTTGGTATATTGAATGTTTAAGAGATTGTTTCGAAATTTTGTGTTTATTTTTAAATTAATATTAATTAAATTTATTTTTATAATATTTTAATTTAATATAGTTTTATTATTAATAATTATAATAATTTTTAAAATTTAATTTAATAAATATTTTATACATTTTCCTTTATTAATTTGTAGAAATTAATTATATCTCATAATTTTATCATATTTTATCAAATATTTGGTGAGATTTTGATGTGTGAGACTTAATTTCAATAATTAAGAATTTAAGATTAAATATAAAAAATTAAAATATAAAAACTTAAACTGAAAATAAACCATGAATTTAAAATTTTATACAGGCATGTGTAATGCATAGAAAATTTACTAGTTATTTTAAAATGATAATAAAGAAAAGAGATAATAACATATATAGATGAGACTGATTCTAAACCTATTTATGAGTAATTCATTGTTTTAGTTAATTATTAAGAATAATTATTTTATGAAAAAATATGTGAAGAAGGGTTTTACTAAGACGACTTAATCTGTTTTCATCTCTATGCACAATACACATAACATAAAATGACAAACTTTTAAAGAAGTCATTGTTTTTAATAAAATATTTTTTAAAAATTAGAAAATTACAATGAACAAATAAAAGTTAGGGGATGAAACAATACTTAAATTAAAATTAGAGGACAAAAACATTAATTTTGGCTTTTAATTTTTTAATCAATTGATTAATAATAAATATTACATTAAATGATTGATAATAAATAAAAAAATTAAATGATATTTAATTTAATATTGTATTATATATAATTTTTTAATTATTTAGTTTATTTTAATTAGTTATACTAACATATATATACAATTAATTTACCAAATAGGTCTAATTTAATAAATTAACTACATAGAAAATGATTTACAACAAGAAACTGCAGACTCGTAACTGAGTGAATTTTACCAAATAAAATTATTATAAAAAAATATTAATGTGAGTACTATATATCAAGTATCTTTTTCTTAATAAAAGAAACAATTTTTGTTGTTTAAATCTACTCGATAATATTAGAAAGAATGTTTTACTTTATATATTTTTTTTATTTGTCTATTTTGAAAGATAACATACAGAGTAAAAAAATAATTAATATCTTTATTCGTATGAATTTCTTTTAACTTCCTAATACCATATATATTACTTTTCCTTTTTCATTTTTGGTTTTTGCATAAAATATTTAAAAATCAGTTAAAAAAAGTATAATTAAAAAAAATACTATTTACTATTATTTTGAAATTATAAATTATGTAATTAATGAAAACAAAATTTCCATACAGAAGTGGACAAATAAGAAAATAAAAAATTAGTCTTGTATATTATTAAATTTCTTAAAAATATTGATTAAAAAAATTAAATAACCTTATTAAATGCTTACAAACTTTTTTAAATGGGTTTTTTTTTAATTTATTTTACGAGCTTTCTATTTTTATTTATTTCATAAAGCTGACACTAGTTAACATTTTCTTAAAAAATATATGACAAGTAATATTTAATGTAAGCAAAATTACATTTAATGCTATATAAGCTGTAGAGATTATTTGCATTAATGATTTTCAGTATTCAGAGGGTATGAGTGTAGGTTATGGCAAAAATAAATAGAAAGAGAATAAGAAAATTTCATATGTATTTTCTATCTCACAAACTTTTCTTTCTTTCAATCAAATTTTAATTACTGTTTATGTGAGAAACAATGACATCTGATGATGAAAGGAGAGTATGTCGCCTTTCAGAAAGTAATTTGACTCCCTTCAATGTCAATATTTTGGTGGTTGATGGTGATGCTGCTTCTCTAGACACAACAATGGAGATATTAACTTCCTTGAACTACACAGGTACAATATATTTTGATGTTGCTGTTTTCTTTTTGGCATTGTATTCATCTTATCAAAAAGGTAAATTCTACCGTGTTCTCTAAAATGAGGAGTATTATATGTTCTCTTACGTAATGAGGTTAGTAATTTATTTGAAAAATACATAATTATCATTTAATTTTTAAGATATTAAAAAAATCACACTTCTCAATCTAAAAACAATACAACACCCTCTTAATTTTAGGAGTACTATAGCTAACAACAGATAAAAATTACATTTACTGGAGTTAGTACTAATTTAAGTAAAAAGATTTAGAAATAGCATCAAATATTTAACACTGTCAAATTTATTTTTAAAGACAAAAGCTACTAATATTTGAATTGTAATTTTTAATTATTTTTATTTTTATGTAATCGATTCTTAAGACACTTGCATAATTTTTTTATATTTCTTATTTTAAATAACAATTTTTTATCACTTAAAAAAAAGAAATTAAATTAAATTTTATTCTAGTTTAATTTGTGGTCTTGAATTTAAGATTCAATGAATGTAATCATGTTAAATACTTAAATAGAAAATTTTATAGTCTGTAATAATCCTACTTAATTGCTTCTCACAGGGGTACATATGATTGAAATAAAATAAATAATTTATTAGAAAAATATGTAAATATACTATCAATCAAGCATTAAAATAATAATAAAAAATAATAAATAAAATTATTTACTTGATTGAATCTATTAAGAATTTTTATCCTCTTTTAGATTCTGACTAAACTAAAGGAAGAATTCACCCATGTTAAAATTGAGTTACCAAACTTATAATGTGTTGCATTAGTATTTGATAGAATTACTTTCTAATAATTTACTATTTTTTGAATAAAAAATAATACTTTTTGGAAACCATAAGATACAATTAAATGAAAGAAATTTTGTGTGAGAGAGAGAGAGAAAGAGAAAGAGTAAAAGAAATTTATTGCAACTCTCTCAGCTCTAAAGTGAAAATTAACTCCAACGATACTCTCCTTTGTCTTTGAAATTAAGAGGATGCATATGTACAAGGTGGCTTGATAACAAGTTTCTCTAATTTATATTTTAAATTTTGAAAAAGGCATGCATCCATTTATTTGTTTGGGAAACATTTTAATGTGTGATATTACAATAAATGAGCTATAATGGATTAATGCAATGTATAATGTATCTTTATAATTGCAATAACATCATTACTTGGTATTTCAGCTGTAGGTACTACACACTCCTCAGTTGCTTTAGAAAAACTTCGAAATAATGAAGAATATTTTCAACTCATTGTTACTGAAGTTCACATGCCAAATCTCGACGGATTCAAATTGAAAGAAGTAGTTGAAAAAGAATTTACAATTCCAATTATAAGTAAGTTCCATTCTAAATTAATTTACTTATTCTTCGATAACATTGACAATGTTAATTTGTTTAAAGTTAAAGGATGACATTTCATATGTTTCAAAACAATAGTTCAATTCTTTTTAATTTTATATAGTTTAGCTTGAATTGAAACTTAAAACATAAATAAATTTTTTAACTCACATGTATTAGTTCAAGTAGAAGTAGCTTGTACTTTTTATATATTTAAAATTTGAAAAAGTCTCTACTTTAGTACTTGATCATGAGAAAATATGGTTTCTTACCTATCAAATGAATGGGATACTCTAGATTTTTTTTTTCAATTTTGTTAAACAAGAGCTTGAAATTTAGATTAATGACATATATGTTTTCTATTAACAATATCTTACCCATTCAGTGATTTCATTTGACAACAATGAGAAAATCCAAGAAAAAGCTCTAGCATCTGGTGTAGTGCGTTATATCATAAAACCAGCAACACTAGAGGACTTCAAAGGTATTTGGCAATTTGCAATTTCTGGAATGAAAGGTAAAGAGCCAATTAACACAAAAATAATGAGAAATATTATCGAAGAATCAAGTTGTGGGAGAAAGCATCACAAAGAGTTGAGATCTTCAACACTAAAAGAAAAACTAGTTAGCCAAAAGAGTGATATGGGAAAAGAATCAACAAACACTTTGGAAAATAATGGATTTGGTACCGAAAAGAAGATCAAAGTTGTTTGGACAAATAAACTTCAAAGCAAATTCATGGAAGCCATAAATATTATTGGCTTAAAGAGTAAGTTTAGTTAACTTTTGCTTTATATTATTTCTTATTTTTCTATTTTGTTACCTAGAAAGAAAATTTGTTGTGCATTATATGTAATTATTATAAACTGATTAATTACTTTGTTATCAATTTTTGTTACAATCAGATGCAGTTCCCAAAAAGATTCTCCAAGTCATGAATGTTGAAGGGTTAACTAGAGAAAATGTGGCAAGTCATTTGCAGGTTTGTTGATTTTGTGTCCTCTTCTAAATGTTTATTTGTATGAAATTTGGTTTATTCTTGCATGTGTTTCAATAAAGATTTTTTTTTTTTTTTTAGTTTTGACTTAAATTGTCTCTAAAAATTGCATTCTTTTGTGCTGTTTATAACACAGATTATCAAATATTTTTTGAATTAATTTTGATATCAAATTAGAAATTTAAGCTTACATAAATGCACCAAAACTAAACTAGTAATAAGTTAACATGCTATATGTATGTTAGCTGCGCCAAGAATATCATAACTAATCTCAATTTTGGATAGAAGAGGATATCCATTTTTTTTTTAGCTTGGCATTTTAGGATATCCATTAGTAGCTAGTCACATGTAGAAACTATCTATTCCCTTTTTCTTGTTTTTAAAAAATAAAATAAAATCATATGTACCATTTCTTATCATTTTTCCTAATTTGTATAATTGAGTCTATACTCAAATACTGCAGTTTATACATATTTAAACTCCTACAAGTCAAGTCCATGTTAATAATCTACACATACAAAGAGAATAAATTTAACAATTTATTATAATAATAATAATAATAATAATTATTATTATGAGTGATACTATTCTATGTGTTTTTTTTTTTGCATTTTGTGTAATCATGGTATTATTCCATGAATTTTGCAGAAACATCGACTTTTTTTAAAGAGAGTTACAGGTTTGTTTGTCATGATTGTAAACAAAGCAAAGGAAGACAATGATATCCTTTTGTCTAAGATGGCATCAGCATACCCAGCATTGATGTTGCAAATCATTCAAGAAGATATGGAAAAAACTATAAAGCAAAGTGGAAGGAGAAATTTAAATTTAGAATCCAACAGCACATACATTGCGCACTTAAGATTCAAGTTATCTTGGTTATTGAGTAATGATGTTACTAACTCTACGCAACATTGTCATAGCAAAATGGATCCTCATGTTAATAATGTAGAGGTTTCATCAAGCAAAATCAATAACCTTGGTATCACAACCAATCCAACTACACTATACCATTCATATCTCAATGTGAATGATGCATATAAACTTAGAAGTGGTTCAAATTTAGGGCAAAATATTTACAATCGGCCATCTCAAAACTCTCCAATTAGCCCTTCAGGATTAGCTAGTAATAAGTTCAACAACACAGTAGGACTATGTCAAACATCAAGCTCAAATTTATCTAATTGCAATGCTATAACAACTTTTCAAGGAAGGAATGGGTCAAAAGGACTCTTGATACCAAATGATAGTAGTTTGGTTGGAGTAGTGTCTGCTACCAATGAGGTTAATAGCACAAATCAATCTTCCCCTGTATCAATGGACAATAACATTAAAAACATTGACATGAAGGAGTTATTTCGGCCTCAACAACCTCAGCATCAGATTCATAGTCAAAGATATCATCAAATTTCAGCAACAATGAATAACACTATTGCTTCTCAAGTAACTTCTGATGAATCCTTTTTCGAAGGACTTGATGATGATTCTTTTTCAGTGGAAAACATTCTTAATCAAGTCACTATGCAGGTATGTAAAATAATTTCTCAAGTTTCCTTAATAATTATTTTTTATTTCATATTTGAATCATATTGGAAATTTTAAATATCAATTTGTAATGTGATTACAAATTTTATTTAAAACCTTTTTGGGAATTTATAAATTTTTTTTATATATTTTTCTCCCACCCTTTTACAACATATTTTCTCTTTCTAAAATTTTTATTGTTATATATTCATGAAAAATGGATGACTTCATTAACATGTAAAAAGATAACTATATATAAAATTTATATTCTTACCTAACATGTATCTTGTTACTGAATTTTGCACTAAAGAAATAATTCAGTTTAATGTTTCATTAATTTTAGTTTTCTATTTGTTAATTATTTTTATGTAAGGATGAAAATAAAGGAGATGACACAAGAGAAGATACCATTCCTTTAGATTGTATCATGGATACAAATATAACCAATGTCGAGCCTATAACAGAGGTAAAAAAACATACTCATTTTAACATACTGATCTGATATTGATTCATAGTATTGACTTGCATGAGAAGTTCTTAAATATTTAAAATTCTTTAATTAAATTCACTTTTTATCTTTCGTTTTCGCCTTAGATGTCTTATAGTTGAAATCAAATAATTTAATTATACAAGTGTCTTTTACTGTAAAAGGAATTTTAAATCATTTACGTCTTTTTCTTCACCACTTTACAGCAAAGTAGTTGATCTTCATAAATAGAAATATATCTTTTGCATCTAGATGATCAATTTTTATTTTTTATTTTTATAAAAGTATAAACATGTAGTTCATTGAAAAGATTTCTAAATGTTCATGTGATTCTCAAAATATTATTACATCAATTTATTCATTAAGTAACAATAACTTTTGCCCAAAAAATAGTCTAAATATTGTGGGGTTAGCTAAAAACAGTTTAAGAATTAACTTTTCTGGTACATGAGAGTTAATTTAACTATTATCATTAAACTCATCAAAATTTGTACATGCTTCAATAACTTTTAATAATTGGACGCAGTTCATTCTTTTTTCAAAGTTTTTGAGTCACAACATATTTCCTCCTTTACTTACAAGCATATGTCATGCAATATATGTCTATTTATTTATGTCTTTTTTTCTTACCTCAGTTGGAATGGGACTATGGCTTCATTGAATCCATTCTCAACGATATGGCGTAAAAGGAAATCAAGATCGTAGAAGAGCTTTATCAAATCGAGTTTGAGCATACTCCTTTTCTGTTTGTCTCAAACTACATATGATAGTTTGCAAATAAACAGTGTGTTGAAGCTTGAATATTTCAGTTTCATGTTCTTGCCTAAACTTGGTAGTTTTGTTAATTTACATGAAAAATCTAGTTTAGTTCATGCATCAGCTGAGTCAATTCAAGATTTGAGCTTACAAAAATGATTGCTTAACTTTTTGGAATTTTGACAAACTTAGCCTGTATTGAGCTTGATTAGATTAGATTAAAAGATTCAAATTTTGACTTGATTCTATATTGACTCATTTTACTAGCTTTAGTTATATAAATTTCATAAGCAATCATAAGCAAATTTCTAAATTTCATGGCAAGCTGATACAATAAGTATGTGAGCATGTCAAGTTCGATAGCCAACCCTTTTCATCTCTTCAAAGGCACACACACACTAATATCATACTCTTCAAGAATACATAAACTTTATTGAGCTTTTCTGTGTTGAGATTCAAGAGGAGCCTAAACCGTTATTCAAAAATTATTTTATTATTGTATCACTTATTAAATAGCTTACATAAACTTATATAATATCAAAATAAATGTTAATATGCTGGGTTAAACGAGGTGACTTAAATATTTAAAGTTCAAGCTATCTTGTAAAAAATAAATAAATTTAAATTTAACTTATTTATTTAAATAAGTTAAATTTCAAGTTTGAGCTTAATTTGATTAATAATTTTGAAATTTTAATTTTACTCATTATTTTATTTATAATTTTTGTATAAGTTTTAAATAATTTTTATATTACTTTAATATTTAATGAATATTTTTATGCTAAAAAAAGTAAAGGAAAACGGTAATGATAAAATATAATTTTATCTATATGAAGACAATTTAAGGTTAAAAATAATTTTTTAATTATAAAAATAGTATATATATATATATATATATATATATTTTAAAAAATCATAGTCACTTATATAAAATACAACTCTTAAAATTTAAAATTTTATATATATACGAGTTATTTACATGTTACTAATATTAAGTTTATAACCAAGTACACTTTTAAATCCTCAAAAAATTAACGACTTATAGTTCTATTCTTTTTCTCTTCCTAATTTTTATATTTTATCTCTATTTTTTTTCTCTCCTGAACATTTCTGCAAAACTTTCTTTTAAATTTCAAGCATTACATATTTAACTCTATTAGAAAATTATAATTAATATATATTATTACGTGATAGAAAATAATAAAAATATCTTAATAGAGTTAATATTTTTAATAAAAAAAAACTTATTTAAAATATTTTTAAAATTTAAAAAATTAAAATAAACTAAAATAAAGTTCAAGTATAAAATTGAAACTTACTTAAGATAAAAACATTAATTCTATTTTTTTTGTTATGATCGTTATATTTTTGTAAATTTTTGTTTTTAACCTCACCTTTTATGCAGTACAATAAAAATATAAGTAAATAATTTCGAGGGACTAATACTAAAATACATTAAATATAAAGATTAAAAGTATATTTAATAATTTAAATACACTAAATTAATATATTATTTCATTAATTTTATGATTATTATTATATATTAATTATTGATATTTAATTAAATGTTTATACTATATTATAAAAATATTATTTTAATATAAAATATATTATGTAACCAAACGAATAAATTATATTCTAAAATTACATAATTTTATTAAATCTTTATATTTTGATGTATATTATTCGCAGTTATAAAGTTATGTTAAAATAAATTTTTTATTTCAATTAATAAAATATGAATTTATATCATATATATATACACATTAGATTGCTAATTAATTGCAAAATCATGATAGACATATTTTAAATACCACATGTCCACATCAGTAATGTTTATCTAAAAAGTCAAACATTTATTAAAATTACTTTTTGTTACGATTTGTCGTATGTATTTTTTAAGGTTAAAATTATTTAAAATACTATGTGTAAATTCTTTATCAATAATTTTGCGTTTTTTCATTTTTTAAATAATTTTGTTCTAGTGTTGAAAGTAAAAAGTATGACTTAATTTTTTTTTTTTTTTTATGAAAACTTTCAGATTTTAATAAATTTTTATATTTACTTTTATAAAATTTCTTTTAATATTTTTTAAAACTTTCAATTTTTAATAAATATCTATGTTTATATTTATAAATTTTTTATTATACTTGTATAAAATTTTAAAATTTTTAAATATATTTATTTATATACAAAATTCACAATATTTAATATATTATTTTTATTATTTTAAAATAAATTATATTTTAAATTATTGTAATTTTATTCAATCTTTCACATTTTAATACACACAGTTTGTGATTATAAAGTTAAGTTATTATTTTTAAAAATTAATTTTAAATAATTTTATTATATATCAAGATTTACAAAAATATAGTTTTTATTTATTAAATTATATATATTTATTTTAAAGTAAAATACTTTGCATTGCCTTGTTACACTGCAAAGTCATGTGAGAGATGTGTACACATTTTATTGCTTTTACTTTTACTCTTTCGTTGATATCATGGTTTTTTTTAAAATTATTTTAAATAGTATTTAATGATACAAATTTAATATATATATATATATATATATATATATATATCATAATATAGATAATTATCATTATTAGAATGAAAATTTATTATATATTAAACCAAAATATTAAAAATCAATTATCAATTTAAGGTAGTAAATATGTTAAAAAAAAGGAAATAAAAGTGAATTCTACATACGTCAAATTTAAAATTAATTTATTTTAAATTTCAAATACAACTCGATTGAATATTATAAATAATTTTCAATATTATAACATGATTTAGTTTCTAAAATTTATGTCAGGAAAAAATTATAAAATAAGTATTGGTATTGCATATAATTTAAAAATATAAAAAAATTAATAAAACAGTAATTAAATACAAAAATAAATGGCGACCTATATCAAACACTTCATAATTAATTTAAACTTTTTGATGGAATAATTTCTGCTGATAGAGGGTTAATAATTTCACTAATTTTATACCTAACCTCAATCTCATGTTTTTAAAATTTTCAATTTATATAAATTTTGTATAACTTTCATTTTTGCTTTATCTTTTTGAAAATTTTCCTTCTCTATCTTTATATATTAGTCATCTTCTCTATTATTAAAATATAAGACCTCTTTTTACTAAATTTATATTTGATTTTTAATAAATATTCCACTATATTTAATGTTGATTTATTCATACTAAATATTAATTAAAGAGACTAGGAATATAAAAATATCATCGCACAACACATTTTTTTAGTCAAATTATATTTTAAAGAGGATAGGTGTAAATTATAAAAATATATTCTATTTTAATTTGATTAATATTTTCTTGAAAAGTAAATAAAATTAATTAATATTTGAATTAATAAAATAATTTTACTGAGCTATACTTACTCTTTATTGTATTCATTAATTATAATAGGGAGGACGGGTGCCTTCAAATTAGTGAGGTGAGGATAGTTTTGAAACAATAATAGTGTTAATGTAGTTTGGTCAACTTTTGATGGTAATTTGTTTTATTTATTAAATATTTTATTAAAATTTAAAACTTATTTCATATGATTTTTTATTCAAATGTTACCTGACTTGAAATAGAGGGAATAAAAGTTAATAAAATGTGTCATAAAATAAAAGAAAAAAATATATACAACTGAGATAAACACAAAATTTATATTAATTTAAAAAATAAATACTTCCATTTTTTTTTTACATTGAAATGGATAAAAAATAATATATTATTATTATACAGACTTTTAATCACGTAAGTTGAATGACAATAATTTCACACAATAGCTCTAGTTCTATAATTTCATATCAAAGAAATAAAACATTAGCATTTTTATTTTTTTTAATTGTCGTTTTGGTAATCATTACAACTTAAGAAATCTAATTAATACTGTATTTATTTTATAGTATTTCCTTTATTTTTTTATATTTGGGCATCTCTTTTATTAATTAATTTTTAATTTATTACTATAAATTTTACGTATTTAATTATTTATTATTATTATTTATCTCTCATTTGTAATAAATGTGTAAAAAATTTAATAATTAGATACAAAAATATTTAACAAAGTGTATTTAATATTATTTTATTTTTTAAAATAATTTATAAATAATAAAAATAAATCCATCCCTGTATTATAGTTATCACAGTGAGAATGCTCCAAGGAGTTATTTTTATCCTTATAAGTCACGTGACTTCTTTTGCAATTAACATATACTTTTATTTTAATTTTTTTTCTTATATTGATATCTTTCTGTTTACATAAAGCAATTTTGATGTTATGATAACTTGAAAATATATCAATCTCTATACTTTATATATAAATTGTAAATATTTATTTTTGAACGAAACTATTTAATTTTTTTAAACATGAGCGTTTAATTAAATATTAGGTTTTTTTCCTGCTGTTTATCATACCAACGTTTCCAGTCGATAAAACTAATTAAAATTTTATAACTTTATAATTAATTAATTGAATTAGATAATTTTGGTTAAATTAATTAAAATGCATTGAATGTTTAAGATATTGTTTCGATATTATGTGTTTATTTTTAATTTAATATTAATTAAAATTTACTTTTTATAACTTATTTTAATTTAATATATTTTTATTATAATAATTTTCCATAAAAAAAAAATTATAATAATTTTAAATTTATTAAATTTCAAAACAGTCATATAGCATAGTTTTAATTATTATTTTAAAATTTAATTTAAGTTAATGATACATGAGAAATACTATTATCAATATAGACAAGATACTTGATTAAAATAATTTATTTCAATAATTACATCTCAGTTTGAAAAGTCTTATTTATTTATTCTTATCTAATATAATAGAATATACATGATTAATAATAAAAAAATAATAAATATTTTAATTTATTTTTTATTTATGATTTCTTAAA